AGGTATGACTGCATTTCTGATCAATATAAAATTCAGTGTGGCGCGAGCACATTCTTATTCTGAAAGCGTGGCCCAGGGTAAAAAGTTTGAGAACCGTTCATCTGGAGCAGGGGTCAGCAAACGTTTTCAGCAGGGGGCCGGTCCACTGTCCCTCAGACCTTGTGGGGGGCCGGATGATATTTTGAAGAAGAAGAAAAAATGAATGAATTCTTATGCCCCCCAAATAACCCAGAGATGCATTTGAAATAAAAGCACACCTTCTACTCATGTAAAAACACGCTGATTCCTGGACCATCCGTGGGCCGGATTTAGAAGGCGATTGGGCTGGATCCGGCCCCTGGGCCTTAGTTTGCCTACCCATGATCTGGAGGATCAGAAGTTCTCCACCCCTCTACAGTGCAGTCCCTAAGGCGGTTGGATGGCGCCTTGTGCGCCTCCTTCCATCATCTCCTGCAGCCCAGCTGGTACCCAACGTCTTGCTCTGCTTTCCTTTGGACCCCATCAGTGAGGCCAAGAGGGGGGTCTTGTCATCTGGGCAGCCCAGGACCTCCAGACACACTGGCCAGCCTGCGCCCCAGGGAGGTCACAGCGGTTTGGCTTCACCCCCGGAGGCGGACTCCGTTGTCTCTCGAGACTGATGCATCCTGGCAAGCATCGTGCCACAGTTATTTCATGCACCGTATTTTTCGCTCTATAGGACGCACCGGACCATAGGAGGGGGATAACAGGGGAAAAAATTCTCCCCCTCTCTGCACAGCGCCCCTTCAGCGAAGCGGCAGGAGAAACGGAGCCCCTTCCATTTCTCCTCCCGCTTCGCTGAAGGGGCGCTGCACAGATAGGGAAAACTGCAGCGCCTCTCCAGCGAAGCAAAGCCAGGAGAGCAAGAAGGGTCGGTGTGCACCGACCCCTCTTGCTCTCCTGGCTTCAGGTGGCTATCCGCAAGCCTTCGGAGCGCAGCGGGAATTCCTGCTGCGCTCCGAAACCTTGCAGATAGCTGCCTGAAGCCCCCGGAGTGCAGTGGGAGTTCCCGCTGCGCTCCGGGGGCTTCAGGCGGCTTCAGCGAAAGCAACACAAAGCCTCCAGAGCGCGGGGGGAGCTATCCCTCTGCGCTTCAGAGGCTCCGTGTTGCTATCGCTGAAGCCAAGGAGCCTGCATTCGCTCCATAGGACACACACACATTTCCCCTTAATTTTTGGAGGGGAAAAAGTGCGTCCTATAGAGCGAAAAATACGGTATTCACTGCATTTTTCGCTCTATAAGACGCACCAGACCACAAGACGCACCTAGTTTTTGGAGGAGAAAAAATATTCTGAATCTCAGAAGCCAGAACAGCAAGAGGGAACGCTGTGCAGCGAAAGCAGCAATCCCTCTTGCTGTTCTGGCTTCTGGGATAGCTGCGCAGCCTGCATTCGCTCCATAAGACGCACACACATTTCCCCTTACTTTTTAGGAGGGAAAATGTGAGTCTTATAGAGCAAAAAATACGGTATATCCCACTTTTTCCACCAAGGAGCTACATGGTTCTCCCCCTCATCATTGAATACCCTCAACAACCCTGTGAGGTGGCTTAGGCTGACCGCAGTGACTGACTCCCGAGGCCTCCCAGTGAGGGATTGAACCCTGGTCTCCCAGGTCCCAGTCCGCCACCCTAACCACTACACCACAGGGGCTCTCTAGTGATGATAACGCACGTCTCTCTCTTTCCCTTTCTGCAGTTCATCCAGTGTGTGATGAGCATCTAATTCAAGATGAAGGAAGAAACGGGCGAGCATGAGCCACATTCCAATTTGTTTTTGCTTTGCACCAAAAAAAAAAAAAGTTATCATGGCTGTGTAACTAAATAGTGGTATTTGCCTATTTTATAAATATTGATTTATATGCTTTTTATAGTTTTGATAACTAACAAAACACAATAAATCCTGTTTTGGAGTTGATTTGTCTAGCATATTTATAATTTTGCTTGATACGGACTTTTTAAAAAGTTGACTCTGTTTTTTTCTTTCTTTTTACCATCTCTTCTTGTACTGTTTTTTAAACTATTCATATTGGAACATACTCTTTGTACCTGTGCCATATAGAGACCGGCCAGAGGCGAGGAATTGTGTGAAAACAAATGCAGAAAGCGTCAGTGGAAGCTGCCTGCAAGTCTTGGAATAAAGCGATCAAGGTCTTGCTTCTGAAAAAAGAACGTTCTGCTTGCCCTTCTGATATTTATCATGTTTTCTAAATGCAGGGAATATTCACTGATGATTGGTCCAGCTAATTGTGCCAAGCTGCATATTATGAATTAAAGAGTTTTCTGACGTAAGAGAGTGCTTAGGTCTTTCGGTCATGCTTCCTGCTACCTTGTAAACATAAAACTTCCTCGTTTTCCTGTGCTAAAAAGCCATGCATAAAAAGTTAGATACAAGGCTATAATCTCGTCAAGATTTGGGCGGAAACCTTGAATGAATGCCTTATATTCGTCTGTAGGAAAGGATTTTATTTCTCCGCTCCACGGAAACACAACTTCTGTGTTGTGCTCCTTACTTCCCATGCGCTTGCAGCTTCATTAAAATGAAGTTATTTGCCGAACGTTGCTTGGCATACCTTATTTTGCTTAAATATTCTGGTTGCTTGTGCATGGAATGTGCTCATTCGCAATTATGCTAGGAAGTGGAGTATGGTAGCGCTCTTATTTAATTGCAGGAAGTATTCTTTAATCTTGATGAACGGAGCAAAACCTATGTGCTTTTTAGGTGCCCACTGAATTTTAGGTGCTGGAGAGGGGTTAAAATGGGCAGCCCCCCTGCCTTTGACATCTGCATTGAGGAAGGAAGGAAGGAAGGAAGGAAGGAAGGAAGGAAGGAAAGGGGCTGGGTTAGTTACATTCTTAGAGCTTCAGACTTCTAGGTGTGATCTCTGGATTGGCAACTGGGAACCCTGCAAAAATGTGAAAGATAATCCATGTTCTCGGTTGTGTGCTTAGTACGTTAGGCAACACTAATTTACTCAATTACCTTTATCACAGCTTGGTGGTATAATCCAACAGTTTACGGTCAGGGAGTTAGTACCGAACAAAACTGGGAGTGCCGAGTAATGCCAGGATTAGTTGCAATCAGGGAATCTGAAGTTCCAGTCTCCCTATCAACAAAAGATAATTCTAACCTGTTGGTATTCTGCCTGCTTCTTTCCCCGAAGTTGGAAAATAAAACGGTGATCATCACCTTCCAGGCAAGTGAATCTGTCTGCCCTAAATTTCCTGTTTGCATTTAAAAGATTCCGTGTCAAGATTTCAGGAACCACCTTGAGCAGGAATAGAGGAACGGAAACTCTCTACTTTGCGTGAAAAGGGTTCCAACCGCTTGAACGTATGAGAACTCTTTTATCAGTTCCTTTATGGTCCTTTAATCGTATTCAAACCTAACCACAAAGCAGTCATAGCTGGACTTTCTATATGTGTAAAATCCTTTGCTTCCTTGCTAGGAAGAAGCACAGGGGCTGATGAGCAGGTTGAGAAATGCTAGAATGTTTTATTTTGCTAGACAGATGCCGTGACTAACGCATGATACGGAAGTTAAGACTGTGCAGCTTTCTTTGGTAGTCTGAATCTAGTTTAGGCTGTTCTGAAACTACATTGACCATGAATTATCCCAAGTAATGCCGTCTTGCATCAGTCTAGGTAAAATGTTGATCTGCCGCTGTTCAAAGTGTAAGAAGAAGAAATATAAAATGTTTGTACTGCATTATCTGTACTACTATCAGTAATTATATTAATAAATTACGGTGAACAACGTTTGACAGTAACAAGCTATTCCGTTATCCCAGCCTTTGCAAAAACATGCAGTTCCTTGCAGAGATTTCCCAAAACCTCAAGATTGCACGAGCCGAATTTCCGTTGCATTTTTAAAGTGCGGTTTTTGATTCAAGAATGTAAGAAGCTGCCGGGTGAGGCCAATGGTTCATCTAGTCCTGTTCTCAAAGAGGCGAGCCGGATGTCCTAATGGGAAACCTGCAAACAGAACATGAGCACAAGGGGTCTTCTCTTTTCATGTAGTTTCTGGCAACTGTTCAGCCTACGAACAGCCCAGCTTGCAGGTAACTGGGTTTGATTCTTTGGTACCTTGGAGAGTTGTCTGCTTTCAGCTTGATGTGTCAAAAGTTGGGGAAGCCTCTAAGGGATTCGTCCAGTGCTCCTGTCGCCTAGGTTAGGAATATTATTATTATTAAATTTTATTTATACCCCAGCCTCCCCAGCCGAAGCCGGGCTCAGAGCGGCTAACAACAGTAAAACGCTAAAACATTCTAAAATCATTTTATTATAAAATTAATTCCAATCAAATTAATGGCAACCATTGGGCTAGAAGTTCTGTGAGGATTCGGTTTCATAGTGTACAGGATTAGAATGTACTGTATTTTTCGCTCTATAACACGCACGTAGTTTTTAGAGGAGGAAAACGAAAAAAAATATTCTAAACGAAACAGTGGATGTATGATTTTTGTGGTTCATGCTGTGGCCACAGACATGTGATCTGACAGTGAGTTTGGGGTAGCCCAATGCAAAAATCCTGAGGATCCATGTGGATCCGTGCTTTGTAACCACGTTTTAAGTGGGAAGGGAAGGAAAAGCACTCAAGGGACAAGGAGCACGCGTGGGCTGTGTGGAGAGGGATGCTGCTAATAATGCAGAAGAGGGGTATAAGGGAAGAAGGCTCCTCTCCTCTCCCGCTTTGCTCCTTTAAAACAAGCAGGCTCTGCTTCTCTCCCTCCTCCCTGGCTCGGCTCGCTGAAAAGCTTTGCTGCTATTTAGTGAGCTGAGTGGGGAGGAGAGAGAGACAGAGAGTACGGTTGATTTAAAGCAGCCAACCAGACAGGAGTAAGCGGCTCCTCTCCCGCTTTGCTGTTTCAAAGCGAGCCACGGAGGAGGGAAGGAAGGGGAACCATGGATCCTCTGCTCACGACTGCAGCAGCCCCTGCCACCCGTAGGCATTCGCTCCATAACACGCACAGACATTTCACCTTACTTTCTAGGAGGAAAAAAAGTGAGTGTTATGGTGCAAAAAATACAGTAGTTTCTGTGTTTCGTTGTTTGTGGGGTGTGGTGTGCATATACCGTATTGGCCTGAAAATAAGTCGCACCTTTAAAACTGGGGGGGGGAGAGAAGAATTTTTTAAAAAAATACCCGAATATAAGCCGCTCCTTTCCTCGCTGTTTTTAACTTTTCACGGTCAGAATTTGGGGGGAAAGTGAGGCTTATATTCAGGCCAATATGGTAGATTAAACCATTTAGAGACTGACTAAAGTATTAAGCAGCATATAAATACGCAAAGTCAATTGGGGCAATAAGCGTTACATGCCCTTTGGAAGCCAGACAGGCACAAACATTAAGAATGGGAAAATGGGAAAACCAGGGGCATTCAAGCAGCCTGGAGTAGCCCAGGACCAGAAGAAACAGAAGAGAACATGAATGCAGACAGAAAGCATGAAGTGATATCCTAGCAAGCTGGAAGGTAAGCAGTCCAAACGGTTGTTTACTGTGCTCTAAATCCACAAAGTCCCATTTGCCTTATTCTGTTTCTTCAGCCCCAACTCAAGACAACGCCTTTGTGTAGACCATCTGTGATTATGCACCAATGACGGACCAATACTGATGTGACTTTATAGGAAAATATCCTCCGACTACATCCTTTTGAAAAAAAACCACCCCTTTAATATGAAATGGTACAAGTCGCACCTTACACTGCTCCAACCATCTTTTGCTGCTGAGCAAACTAAACCAAAAATCATTTTTTCATTCAAAGCTGCACATAATTGTCATGTGCCTTGTGCAATTTTCACACCCGCACCCAAATTTTTTTTTTTGCTGGAATTACCACAAATCAAGCTGCAGTTCCTACAAAAATTATATCCTTGGGGTTTATTTGGGGGGGAAATTCTTATTAAAAGTAATACAAGTTCAAATATGATAAAAATTACCGCAAGGAAACCGTTTTGGCAAGTATCGTTGGACTTCCTCTTCTTCCCCTTCCTGTTTAGGAATGCTTACTGCAGAAGCTTCATTAAGCAAGATCGTTACCACTGCAACTCTTCTCATGAAACAGGTTCAAGGGTTTTTCAGAATAGCACAAGACTTGGATATAAAGTCAAGGTTCCTACTGATTATATACATATTTTTTCAGTCCTTCAAAACGAATCGTTCATGAGCAAGGTGTACATTAAAGTGAAACTACTAATTACAACTTGTGGAAGTAAACATAAATAGCAAAAGTACATACTTTATTTATTTATTATTTGTTTTTAAATCCCGAGGTCCCAAGAACTTTCTGTACAAGCTATATGCAAGAGATTTTTGTCTTTCCCGAAATTAAAAGAAAATAACGCAGTGTTCGCTGAAGCTGGGAAACTTCGAATTCCTGACAATCCTACGCCTTGATTAGAACAAGAAATAATAAATCTCTCACTTTCCCTGGTTGCAATGGAATAAAAGCACAAGTTAAAATATTGAGGGTGCTACAGATGAGCTTGTTCTGCTGATCTTTCATGTATCTCACTTCAAGCCTAGAGAGGTTTTCTCTCAACTTTGGGGTTTTAAAGGCATTTTCTTTTGCAGAGAAAATGGCGGAGAGAGAAAGAAAGAAAATAATAAATGTGCTCTTAATCACCACTAGTATTTAAAATGGGTATCTCTAAGCTGTGCAAGGAGACAGGCTGATTGGTAACATGTGAAAGGTTGTTCTCTTAAAATGTATGTCTACTTAAAGGCTATAGAGAACAAACACCAGCTAGATCTTCACCCCAGTGATGTGGTTTAAAGTCAGGAGCCAGACACTTTCTTGTATTAAGTTTTCCCCTCCCGATCTGAGGGAGAGAAGAGAACGCATGATGCAAAAAGAGAATCGCCAGAGTTCCTTTCAGTGTGGTTCACTGTTGCCAGATTTAGCAATACATTGAATATTGAGGATTACTTGGCTATGTTCTAATCTAGGACTGCTCCAGGCAGAAGGGAATACACTGGAAGATAAAGAAACGTGATTAACAACGGCACTACGTACACTGATTCTTAAGTTTGGCTGCCACCTGAAGGAAATGCTAACCTCCTATGCCCTCGTATAAGGCTAAGAACTTCAAAGGCAAGGAAGAGTGTGAGCTCACTCATTGCTTATGGCAAACACCTGCACCTCAGGCAAAGGAAATCACTAGTTCAGTCAACTCAGATCACGCCGCTTTTAAAAAATGTAATCATTGGTGATTTTTAATGAAGGCATAGCTTCGTTGACATTTTGATCCAAACGATGGTATCCGACGGTCCTGGAGCAAAGCCCATCTCGCCATCTTCTGCTCTGGACCAAGAGGATAATCTAGAGAGAAAAGAAACAATTAGCTAACGATAAAGAAATGAGGATACGGTTCAAGGGAAAACACTTTCTGCTTTGTCAACGTTTGCAAGTCATCACAACCATTTCCTTCACTAAATGCACCTACTAATTAGTTTTCGGGTCCAATTCAAAGTTTGGTTTTGACCTATAAAGTCTTAAATACTTTGAGGACTGCATCTTCCCATATGAATCGACCCAGACCCTGAGATCATCCTATGAAGCCCTTCTTCCTGTACCTCCTCTGTGAGGTCTGGAGGGTGGCTGCATAAAAAAGGGCCTTTTCTGCAGTGGCTCCCCACTTGCAGAATGCTTTTCCCAGGGAGTTTCGCCTCGCCTGTTGCCTTCACTGCACATCTTTAGTCACCAGCAGAAAATAAAACTCTTCTCCCAAGCCTTTGCCCAATTAAACAATATAGCCTTTTAAACTGTGGAGTTGTTTTCCAGAGGGGGGTGTTATTGGGTTGGGGTTTTTCCCCTCCAGTTTGCTGTTATTATGCTTTCATTTTGCATTTTTATATTGTCAACTGCCCTGTGTTCTTCGGATGAAAGTTTAAAAGACAGTGTCATCCATCATATGTCTTCTCACGTTGAGATTCTATATTATAAGCCCACTGAAGACAGGAGAGGGGAGGGATAAATGTAATGAACACACTTCAATTCCATCTCAGGGTATGGGGGAAATGTTTACATTCCTTGGAAGATTAAGCTTAAAAAGCTGCACCACCATTTTATGACTTAGAAGAGTACTGTATTTTTTGCTCCATAAGACGCACTTTTCCCCTCCTAAAAAGTAAGGGGAAATGTGTGTGCATCTTATGGAGCGAATGCAGGCGGGAGGCAGGCGGGAAAAGCCCCAAAGAGCCGCACACATGCGCCGCGCGCTCTTTAAAGGGAGCGCGGCTCTTGCGGGCTTTTCCCCGAGGAGGGAAAAGGGCAGCCCGTCACTGACTCTTGCGGCTCTTGCTGGCTTTTGCAGGAGATGGGGGAATTCCCCCACCTTTAAGAAAAGCCCACAAGAGTCGTGCGCTCTTTAAAGAGTCGCATGGAGCATGTGTGTGGCTCTCAGGGGCTTTTCCCCGAGGAGGGAGAAGGGACTGACGCGGCCCGTCAGTCCCTTCTCCCTCCTGGGGAAAAGCCTGCTAGTGCCACACACACGCTCCACGCGGCTCGTGAAAGGGAGCGCTGAGCAGAGCCTGGGATGCAGACAGACTCTGCTCAGCGCTCCCTTTAATTTTTTTTTCTTGCATTCCCCCTCTAAAAACTAGGCGCGTCTTATGGTCAGGTGCGTCTTATGGAGCGAAAAATACTGTAAATATATTGTAGGGCACCAACTCTTGAGAAGGGTTTATTATTTTTACTTAATTCTTCTCCAAATAAAACTGTCACATCTGTTCTGCTAACATTTGTAAAACGTCTCAGAAATGTCACACCTTGACCTTTTGGAATACATGGCTCCCTTGACCAACTGCATTTTCTGCGGCACTCCTGGGGGGCTCAGGAGCCCAGTTAGGTTACCCCTTGCCAGCAGAGCCAGCAGCCTCTCACCCTTTTCCAAACACCCTCTCTTGTAGAGGGTTCCTTCAGTCTCCTGTCCTCTCCCCAATCTTTGGGGGTCCTCTGGGAAGCCACTGCTGTCGCCCCTGGTTTCTGAGCTGCCCCCTCTGCCCCAAAGAGGGGTGCCTTCTCACACTGCCCCACAGGGGCCTGGGAAACACCAGCCCCAGAGACACCTTTCGCCTGCGGAGTTTGCAGCCAGGGCTGCTGCAACAAACAGCTGTGCAAGCCTTTGGGAGGCAGAGACACAACGAGGGCATCAGAGGAGAGCCTTTGGCACCCTAGTTGAAAACAACTGCCATAAAGGGTTGACTATGGACAGATTTTAAGGGACGCGGGTGGCGCTGTGGGTTAAACCACAGAGCCTAGGACTTGCCGATCAGAAGGTTGGCAGTTCAAATCCCCGCGACGGGGTGAGCTCCCGTTGCTCGATCCATCCTCCTGTCAACCTAGCAGTTTGAAAGCACGTCAAAGTGCAAGTAGATAAATAGGTATCGCTCCGGCGGGAAGGTAAACGGCGTTTCCATGCGCTGCTCTGGTTTGCCAGAAGCGGCTTAGTCATGCTGGCCACATGACCTGGAAGCTGTACGCCGGCTCCCTTGGCCAGTAAAGCGAGATGAGCGCCGCAACCCCAGAGTCGGCCATGACTGGACCTAATGGTCAGGGGTCCCTTTACCTTTTTATGGACAGATTCACAACTGCTTGCATTTACAAATTAACCTAGCTATCCCAATATGATGCACTGGAACCCTTCTTAATTTAAGATTTTCATCTTTGCAAGCCTGTACAGTGGTACCTCGGGTTACATACGCTTCAGGTTACATACGCTTCAGGTTACAGACTCCGCTAACCCAGAAATAATACCTCGGGTTAAGAACTTTGCTTCAGGATGAGAACAGAAATCGTGCTCTGGCGGCGCGGCAGCAGTGGGAGGCCCCATTAGCTAAAGTGGTGCTTCAGGTTAAAAACAGTTTCAGGTTAAGAACGGACCTCCAGAACAAATTAAGTACTTAACCTGAGGTACCACTGTATTTCCTAACTTGCTGCATTTGCCCTGATGTCCAAACACCATGGAGAACATGTGCATCTGTATATTTGAAATGCTTATGAAAATATTCCCTGTTACAGTAGAACCTCTAATGTCCTGCTCTACTTAGGCCCGTTCCAAGTCGTGACCGCGGCAAACCCGGAAGGAAACACCGGGTTTGCTGCGATTTGCGCACGCGCAGAAGTGGTGCTATCTGCACCTGTGCAGAAGTGGCTGCCACCGAATGCGCCTGCACACAACAGTGCTTCTACCAGCGACCTGTTTTGCCATACGGATGGGCCTCCGGAACAGAATGTGGTCGTGAGTAGAGGTTCCACTGTAATTACTTTGGAGCTTTTGTTGTATATCTTGTATGATAATGTCTTCTATTCCCCCCATGGTATTATGTATTTGTGCATGAGTTTTGAATGCATTTTCTTTTGCACGCCACTTTTGAGTACAAATTTGTAGAAATGGGGTATAGAAGTCAACTAATGAGAAGATTTCCAATTCTGTTCAAACACCTGCGCTGCAATTACTTGCAACATAATGTAAAACTGCCAGGGCAACTGCATACAGTGGACGCTCGGGTTGCAAATGTGATCGGTGCGGGATGCACGTTCACAACCCGTAGCAATCGCAACCCGCAGCAGCGCATCTGTACATGCGTGGGTTGCGATTTGGCGCGTCTGTGCATAGTGCGATTTAGCACTTCTACACATGCGCGACCCCCGAGACCTGGAAGTAACCTGTTCTGGTACTTCCAAGTTTTGGCGGGTCCATAACCCGAAAACACGCAACCTGAAGCGTCTGAAACCCAAGGTATGACTGTACTTATACTGCAAAGGTAAAGGTAAAGGCACCTCTGACCATTAGGTCCAGTCATGGCCGACTCTGGGGTTGCGGCGCTCATCTCACTTTCTTGGCCGAGGGAGCTGGCGTACAGCTTCCGGGTCATGTGGCCAGCATGACTAAGCCGCTTCTGGAGAAACCAGAGCAGCGCACGGAAACGCCGTTTAGCTTCCCGCTGGAGCGGTACCTATTTATCTACTTGCACTGGTGTGCTTTCGAACTGCTAGGTTGGCAGGAGCAGGGACCGAGCAACGGGAGCGCACCCCGTCACGGGGATTCGAACCTCCGACCTTCTGATCAGCAAGCCCTAAGCTCTGTGGTTTAACCCACAGCGCCACCTGCGTCCCATCCTATACTGCAAAACCATAACCTAAAAATGCGGCCTACCTTTCTTTTATTGTGATACGTGATGTAAACAACAGCTACCAAAAAGGCAACGATAACCAGATGAAAAAAGAAATGGCTATCCTCTTCCAGTTCCGAGGAAGAGGTGTCCTTCATCTCGTCAGGAAGCAATTTCTTGTTTTCATAGTTGTGCATGCTGGCCAACTCTTCCGTAAACTCCGAGATGCCTTGGTCGTCTTGATCGTCAGACGGCATCCCGTAGGGGCCGTAATAGTCTGCAGGATCTGCGGTTCCTTTGGCCGTTGGGAGGAAGCTAGGGACGTGGTCTTTGTCCACCGTGTCGTCCACCGTGTCATCTTCGTTAATATTGGTATCTTCCGAAGTATCAGCATCTGTTTGCAAAGTAGGAGTCGCAGAAGCCGGCGCCGCAGAGGTTGCCTGCTTCCCTTCTGTCGCAGTTGGCCCAGGTGACACAGAAGCCCCGCTCTTCGGGGATGCTGGTAGCATGCCTTCATTTGTTGTCATCCTTGTTCTGTCCCCACTGGGATTTGAAACAGGCGTTAAGTTGTGAGTTGTGGAACTGGATGTCGAGACATTTACACTCTCAGAAAGCTGTGCCTCGGTTGTAGTGCCTGGGAAAAGGAAATAAAAATCAGGATAATCTGGAGTTTTGAACAAAGGTTCTCATGGTGTATCTTGATTTCACGAGGGATGTCAATGATAGTACAGTGGTACCTCAGGTTAAGTACTTAATTCGTTCCAGAGGTCTGTTCTTAACCTGAAACTGTTCTTAACCTGAAGCACCACTTTAGCTAGTGGGGCCTCCTACTGCTGCTGTGCCGCCGGAGCACAATTTCTGTTCTCATCTGGAAGCAAAGTTCTTAACCCGAGGTAATATTTCTGGGTTAGTGGAGTCTGTAACCTGAAGCGTATGTAACCCAAGGTACCACTGTATTTATTTACAGTGGTACCTTGGTTTGCGGACTTCATTCGTTCCGGAAGTCCGTTCTTAAACCAAAGCGTTCTTAAACCAAGGCGTACTTTCCCAGAGCAGCAGGGGACTCAATTCACAAATGGAACACACTCAACAGGTTCTGCTTCCAAGGCAAAGTTCACAAACCAAAACACCTACTTCCGGGTTTGCAATCCCCTGCTATTGGTTCAATCGTTGGTGTTATAAACTGGGCAACGTTTAACGAAGTCCATCTACCTGAGCAACAAATATCAGCTCGTTAAACAGAACACCTGCTTTCTCTCTCCCCCACAAACACCCCAAAATCTGCTCCACAGGCTCCTTCTCAGACACTTTGCATCGTCGCCATGTCTTTACGTGCAAACCACCTACCTGTTTGTTTCCTGCAAACCAAAGTTCGTTCTTGCCTTGCCATTCACCTTTGGAGAGAAACAAACCACGATCCCAGGTTTAGTGCCTGGAGGTGGTTGGAGGATGGATGGCGGCTAACAGATTGAGGTTGAATCCTGACAAGACAGAAGTACTGTTTTTGGGGGACAGGGGGCGGGCGGGTGTGGGGGATTCCCTGGTCCTGAATGGGGTAACTGTGCCCCTGAAGGACCAGGTGCACAGCCTGGGAGTCATTTTGGACTCACCACTGTCCATGGAGGCGCAGGTCAATTCTGTGTCCAGGGCAGCTGTCTACCAGCTCCACCTGGTACACAGGCTGAGACCCTACCTACCCGCTGACTGTCTTGCCAGAGTGGTGCATGCTCTGGTTATCTCCCGCTTGGACTACTGCAACACGCTCTACGTGGGGCTACCTTTGAAGGTGACCCGGAAACTGCAATTAATCCAGAATGCGGCAGCTAGACTGGTGACTGGGAGTAGCCGCCGGGACTGCATAACACCAGTTCTGAGAGATCTTCATTGGCTCCCAGTACGTTTCCGAGCACAATTCAAAGTGTTGGTGCTGACCATTAAAGCCCTAAACAGCCTCGGTCCTGTATACCTGAAGGAGCGTCTCCACCCCCATCGTTCAGCCCGGACACTGAGATCCAGCTCCGAGGGCCTTCTGGCGGTTCCCTCATTGCGAGAAGTGAGGTTACAGGGAACCAGACAGAGGGCCTTCTCGGTAGTGGCGCCCACCCTGTGGAAACCCTCCCTTCAGATGTGAAGGAAATAAGCAGCTATCCTATCTTTAAAAGACATCTTAAGGCAGCCCTGTTCAGGGAAGTTTTTAATATTTAACACTGTATTGTTTTAAACACTTGGTTGGGAGCCGCCCAGAGTGGCTGGGGAAACTCAGCCAGATGGGCGGGGTATAAATAAATTATTATTATTATTATTATTATTATTATTTAGGCAGAATGAAAAGAAGGAGCGTGGATTATTTCCTGACAGCACAGGGAGAAGTGAACTGCGTGTGATCTCAGCTGCACGCTGCATGCGCCCATTGTCCATTGCTTATTTTAACTAGGGTTCAACGCGATGCACAAGCCGGGTCAAAGAGTCACACTGAACAGGGACAGTTGTCGCATTACAGCCAAAGCTGTTCTTTGTCGATTGAACAAATAATGAAGAGCTCGCTGAGAGAGACAGCACATCAAATGAATGAGAGTGTGGCAGCCTGTCTCAATGCTGTGAATTGAGGCGCCAATGTCAACAGAGCAGCTCTGGCGTATTTGCCCAAGAGATCATCTGAGCTATGACCATGGGCTTAAGAAGTAGGAATGCACAGATTTGGGGACAAATAGCATGCAGTGAAATAATGTTAACTATGGAAAAATACAAGGGGTTTTCACCAAGGCAGGGTGAAACTGGCTTGAGCTGCCACGATGCAAGCTGGGAAAGTCTCGTGACGCCTGTTGCTCAAGGTATCTCCCGCCTTCCGTGCACTCCATGTTGATGCAATTCTGCCACCTGAAAAGTTAATGATTGGCTCTGAATTCGGGGGGGCGGAGCCTAGGCAGGGGCTGTGCTGTTCAATGGGCTTTCCAATGCCAGTTACTGAAAGGAAAGGCAGCAGGGAGCTTGGCACAGTGTGGGAGCAACTGGGAGCAGCAGGGTACCAGGTTGGCTTTGGTGCAATGCCAGCCCTGAGCACCCCACTGCCTTGACTCTCCCTCTCTGTGCCCAGCGTTAATGAAAGATCGCCTCAGCCAAAAAATGCCCACGCAACTGCTTCGATCTGCAGAATTGGCTCTGTTACAGGTGCCACACAATACTCATTCTGCGTTGGTAAGAAATCAATCTTTTACTGTGTCAGCACCTACACTTTGGAAGTCCCTGCCTATTGACACCTTCCCTATACAGTGGTACCTCGGATTACATACGCTTCAGGTTACAGACGCTTCAGGTTACAGACTCCGCTAACCCAGAAATAGTACCTCGGGTTAAGAACTTTGCTTCAGGATGAGAACAGAAATCGCGCAGCAGCGGCGCGGCGGCAGCTGGAGGCCCCATTAGCTAAGGTGGTGCTTCAGGTTAAGAACAGTTTCAGGTTAAGAACGGACCTTCGGAACGAATTAAGTACTTAACCCGAGGTACCACCGTATACTCTTTTCAGCGCCTTCTAAAAGCTTTTTCGTTTACACAAGCATATCCTCTTTCCTTTCTGAGCAAGCAAGTCGCTCGTGAAAAATTCTCTTATTCAAGCAGAAAGAACAATGTGGGAATGCAGTTTAGCAACACCATGCCTAGCTATCCTCCTTTATAAAAATATTTATACCGTGGTACCTCAGGTTAAGAACTTAAATTTGTTCCAGAGGTCCGTTCTTAACCTGAAACTGTTCTTAACCAGAGGTACCACTTTAGCTAATGGGGCCTCCCGCTGCTGCCATGCAATTTCTGTTCTCATCCTGAAGCAAAGTTCTTAAGCCGAGGTACTATTTCTGGGTTAGTGGAGTTTGTAACCTGAAGCGCCTGTAACCCGAGGTACCACTGTATACAGCTACATCTTTTTATACCTAGCAGTAAAATATAAAACCGTACAATAAAAACCACAAAGAAGATGAAAACAGACATCAATTAACCACTGTGGAAGGGTGTATTCTTAATTGCCTGCCAGGGTTTGGCAGAAATGAAGTTTTCAGCAAGAGTTTAAAAGCTAGCATTCTTGCAACAAAAGAAGACAAAATAACCAGATCGAGTAGCAACACTCTTCTGGGTTACAAAATCAGGAAGAAGAAGCCACAAGACAACGGCATAGGGCGAGGGAAAACGGTTGAGTATCCAATCAGCATTAGCAAAATATAACATCTGAGCATAATTTCAGAGACATCTTCTTCAAGGAAAGCCCCAGGTGTAAATCGGAATTAAAGAAAACGTCTGATATATGGAAAACGCACGGGCCAAAAATGGGCTAACATCCATTTCCACTTTTTATAGCAACTTGACGTAGGAGACAGACCTTACTGGAAAAAATTAGAAGGCTTGGCATTCAAAGTACTGCAGATTGGTGCACTGAAAAACCCTCCTTCCCGCTTGGGAATAAAAATGTTAACTAGCCAGCCATGGTATACCAAAGGAGCAGCTGAACAGACGGTTCCTTGTTTGTACGGCACACCCTTTCCTATATGAAGCAGACGTTAGAATTTAGAACAGGAACACAAGTCACACGGATGTTAAGCAAACTGTGTGCGATAAGTTAGGTAAAAGAGACTTTGGGTGCTGGAATTTTCGATCTTATAGAAAGCTTAAGGAAAGCATAGCAAATTGCGGGAAGCTGCTTTAAATTAGGCTAGACAAACATGAGGCAGGATTCCAATAGGAAAAGAACCCTATGATGGCTGGGAGATCCTGCAGAAAGGAGTTGTTGTTTAGTCGTTTAGTCGTTTAGTCGTTTAGTCCGGCCCCCCACAAGGTTTGAGGGATAGTGGACCAGCCCCTTGCTGAAAAAGTTTGCTGACCCCTGGATGAGAGCATCAAGAGAAGATGCATTCAGGCACAGGAAGCATTTATGTTGAATATATATGGGGGAGAAGTACATCATGCCCCTTCTGGGGCAGGAAATGGGTTTGGCAGGGAGTGTGTGTTGTTGTTGTTTAGTTGTTTAGTTGTGTCCGCCTCTTCGTGACCCCATGGACCAGAGCACGCCAGGCATTCCTGTCTTCCACTGCCTCCCGCAGTTTGGTCAAACTCATGCTGGTAGCTTCGAGAACACTGTCCAACCATCTCGTCCTCTGTCATCCCCTTCTCCTTGTGCCCTATATCTTTCCCAACATCAGGGTCTTTTCCAGGGAGTCTTCTCTTCTCCTGAGGTGGCCAAAGTCTTGGAGCCTCAGCTTCAGGATCTGTCCTTCCAGTGAGAACTCAGGGCTGATTTCCTCAAGAATGGCTAGGTTTGATCGTCTTGCAGTCCATGGGACTCTCAAGAGTCTCCTCCAGCACCATAATTCAAAAGCATCCATTCTTCGGGGATCAGCCTTCTTTATGGTCCAGCTCTCACTTCCATACATCACTACTGGGAAAACCACAGCTTGAACTATACGAACCTTTGTCGGCAAGGTGATGTCTCTGCTTTTTAAGATGCTGTCTAGGTTTGTCATTGCTTTTCTCCCAAGAAGCAGGCGTCTTTTAATTTCGTGGCTGCTGTCACCACCTGCAGTGATCATGGAGCCCAAGAAAGTAAAATCTCTCACTGCCTCCATTTCTTCCCCTTCTATTTGCCAGGAGGTGATGGGCCCAGTGGCCATGATCTTCTTTTTTTTCATGTTGAGCTTCAGACCAGAAGTTAAAGTGCGGCAACTGAAAAAGCTGGTGTGGCTGCAGGAAAAGCTCAGTGGTGAGCTGAAAATAAAACCAGACACATCTAGGAAACAGAAGGAAGGACAGAGCAGACCTGAGAAAAGTAGCCAGGACATCTAGGGACAGGAAAGCAGAAGCTCAGAGTCACAAGGTGGTTGGGAAACTGCACTCAAAGGTTGCGCATCAATGGCTCCTTGCGAAATTGGAGGATTCAAGTGCAATGCCGCAGGGATCTACCCTGGGCCTGGGACACCTCAACTGTTCTTCATCAATGACTTGCTGAAATGGTGGAAGGAATGCTTAACAAATTAGCAGAAGACACAAAATGGGGAAGGAACGGCCAACGCCTCTGAAGACAGGAATAAAATTCCAAATGACGCTGAGGGAATGGAAGACTAGGCTGAAACCCAACAGCAACAAATTGAAAAGTTCAGCATTTGGGAAAACAAACAAACCAACCAAAACCAGACAAATGTAGGATGGGAGATACCTGGCTTAATTTGACAGCGGTATATGTAAAAAGGATCATGGGACTGCAGCAATTGAGTCAGCCAATTGCTGTGGCTGCAAAAAAAGAGAGGTTTCGTTGATTTTAAGGCCGCACTAGAAAAATAATCATTTCCAGATCATGAACCTTTTTTCTGCATGACCTATTGTGGAGCACTGTGTCAAGTTTAATATGTCAAAACGGCTCAGCGGCCTGCAGACAGGTAGGCAGAGGTAGAGAAAACATGTGCGGTGAAGGAGTGTCACAGAAATTGGATATGTTCAGCCTGGAGAAAAGAAGTCGGAGAGAACATGACTGATCCCACCTCCAGTATTTTCAAGGCTGCAGTCAGAAAGAAGGCAAAGACTTCTTGTCCATTTCCCAGAGGACAGATTTAGTAGATTTTGCTTCAACATTAGGAGAAAATAAGATTGTGGCTGAACATTTGGAGACATTTCCAAAGCGGAAGAACAATTAGCTTCTGCTGCAGGATGTTGTCTGAAATCTTTCCCATCCAGGAACTTTGTTTCTTATTCATTACAAATGAGTATTGCTTATGAGTAAAGGTACATGAAATGTCCCCAAAATGCAGACATCTATGACTTCTGGTTAAGCCGTACTGCTAAAACCACTGACTGGACCAGCCTTAGGAAGAGCGAAAAGCAACTTTGTCATGTGAGGAGGACGGACTCACTGTAAACCAAACGTATTTTGGAATGTTGATAATGAAAATGTTAAGTAAAAATGGAAAGTTAACATGATGCTCACAATACAAACAAAGTAAGGCGTTTGCGAATTTCCCATGTAGTTAAAGCAGTGCCTATGAAAGAGAGAGCCCCTTTTTACACCCAACAGATACCTGATATATTGAGACGTGTGGTATCTAACTGTGTCAGCCTACAAGGATAACAAATGCTCCCTTCCTCCTCTCCTTTCCCCTGCAGCACAGGGTGGGGAGGAAATTACCGTATTTTTTGCTCTATAAGACTCACTTTTCCCCTCCCAAAAAGTAAGGGGAAATGTGTGTGCGTCTTATGGAGCGAATGCAGGCTGCGCAGCTATCCCAGAAGCCAGAACAGCAAGAGGGATCGCTGCTTTTGCTGAGCAGCTCTTGGTGTTCTGGCTTCTGGGATTCAGAATATTTTTTTTCTTGTTTTCCTCCTCCAAAAACTAGGTGCGTCTTGTGGTCTGGTGCGTCTTATAGAGCGAAAAATACGGTAACACTTCAAGTCACCCAAACGATCTGCTTCCTTGTGCCACTAACAGCCGAAACCTAGAGCATGCAGGTTTATCAGAAGGAAGCCCCACTGCACTTACTCCCAGCTCCATGAATATAGCATTGCAGACTTAAGGAACTTCTTTCTCTGTCTGTCTGTCTGTCTGTTGTTCATGGTGGGAAATTCAACTAGGAAAGCATATCTAAAACAAGCAGATTAGGCTGCAACAGGTCTCTCCACTGAGGCAGATCAATTAAATAAACTGCTAACTCTAAAGTTATCGCTTGTATTTAATAATGCAGCAGTAGTGGTTAGAGTGTTGGGCCTAGGACCTGGGAGACCAGGGTTTGAATCCCCACTCAGCCATGAAGCTTTCATTAGGTGATCTTGAGCCAGCCATTGCCTCTCTGCCTGACCTACCTCACTGGGTTGTTGTGATATAAATGGGATTTAAGCCTCTTGAGCTCCTTGGAGGAAAAGTGGGGTACAAGTGTAATAAATAAGCAAAGGTAGAGCCCAAGGTGTGAGGCACCACTTTAAACCAACATGGTTCCCCCCGCTCCAAGAATTCTGGGAGCTGTCTTTTTTTAGGGTTCTGAGTGGTGTTAGTTGCTACAATTCGCAGAGCGGTTTAACAATGAACACTTCTTCCCTGGGAAGACAGTTGTTCCCTAACAACTCTCTGGGCCCTTGGTGAACTAAACCACACAGGATTCTTTGGAGAAAACCAGGATGGTTTAAACTTTAAAGTGGTATCCTAGTGCTTTAAATGGATGGAGACAGAAGGGGGGGGAGGACGAGGAGGAGATGAAGAAGAAGGGGAGGAGGAGAGGTGGAATAAGAGAAAGAAAAGGAGGAGGAGGAGGAAAAGAGAGAGGAGGAGGAGGAGAGGAAAAAGAAAACGTGAAATAAGAGAAGGAAGAAGAGAGGAGGGGAAGAGGAAGAAGAAGAAGAGATGAAGAAGAAGAGGAGAGAGAAGGAAGAAGAGTAGAAGAGAGAGGAGGGAAAGAGGAAGAAAAAGAAGTGGAAGAAGAGAAGAAGAGAGAGGAGGGTAAGAGGAAGAAGAAGAGACGAAGAAGAGGAGAAGGAGAAGAAGTAGAAGAAGAGAGCGGAGGGGAAGAGGAAGAAGGGACAAAAAAGAGGAGGAGGAGGAGGAGGAGGAGGAGAGAGAAGGAAGAAGAGTAGAAGAGAGAGGAGGGAAAGAGGAAGAAGAAGAAGTGGAAGAAGAGAAGAAGAGAAGAAGAGAGAGGAGGGGAAGAGGAAGAGGAAGAAGAGACGAAGAAGAGGAGAAGAATAAGAAGTGGAAGAAGAGAAGAAGAAGAGAGTGGAGGGGGGAAGAGGAAGAAGAGACGAAGAAGTGGAATAAAAGAAGAAGAAGAGAGAGGAGGAGAAGAGGAGAAGAAGAGAGAGGAGGGGAAGAAGTGGAATAAGAGAAGAAGGAGAGAAGGAAGAAGAGGAAAAGAAGAGAAAGGAGGGGAAGAGGAAGAAGAGAAGTGGAATAGGAGAAGAAGGAGAGAAGGAAGAAGAGGTGGAAAAGGAAGACGAGGAATAATAATAATAATAATGTATACCCTCCCCCCATTTGGCTGGGCTTTCCCAGCCACTCTAGGCAGCTTACAGCATATCTGAAAACAGCATATTGTATATAAAAACCAGCAGGAAGAGAGGAGGAGGAGAGGTGGAAGAAGAGAAGAGGGGCGAGGAAGAGGGGGAAGGGGCTGTTCCTGCGGGCGAGCGCGGAGCCTGACGCCCCTTCGGATCGGGACCCCGAGGCCTCCCTCCTCCTCCCTCCTCACCGTTCTCGCTCTGGCCCGCGACCGCCAGGGCCCCGTCCAGCACCACCAGCAGGAGCAGGAGGAGAGCGGCCCTTCCCGAGAGCGGCATGGCCGTCCCGGCGCCTCCTTCGCCTCCTGCTTCTCCTCCTTCTCCTCCTCGCCTCCTGCGCCTCCGCCTCCTTCGCCCGGCGGCCGCCATCTTGGCTGCCCAGCCTCGGCCGAGGATGTGGCGTCTCTCGCCCGCCCCGCCCACGCGCTGCTAGGCAACCGCATTCCGCAGCCGCGCGCGGCGTCGTGACGTCGACTCGGCCCCGCCCACTCTCAGGCATGCGCAGGAAAGGGGGTCGCGCGCGAAGGCTGAAATTCTCTTCAGTCCCGCAAATGACTCTGGAGGGGGAACACGAGAGCGGGAGCCCGTGTGGGATTTAGGTATAAACTGAGAAAGTTAATCTCATGGGGCCCTCCAAAAAATTAAAAGGAGAAAGAAAAGGATGTTCATTTCCAAAATATAAGATAAAAAACAAATAAAATAAAATAAAATAAATAAAATAAAATAAAATAAAATGGACTCACAGCTGTTAATGGAGGCGCAGGTCAATTCTGTGTCCAGGGCAAAAAACAAAAAAAGGATGTACATTTTCATAATAATAATGATGATAATAATAATACATTTTAAAATGACTCCCCAGCCAAGGCCGGGCTCAGGGCGGCTAACAAGCAATAATAAAAACAAGCTGAGTGAATACAACTTAAAAACAAGATTAAAATACAACATTGAACCATTGAAACATTAAAACCTCCCCACCTGGGAGTCATTCTGGACTCACCGCTGTCCATGGAGGCGCAGGTCAATTCTGTGTCCAGGGCAGCTTTTTACCAGCTCCATCTGGTGCGCGGGATGAGACCCTCCCTGCCCACAGACTATCTCGCCAGAGTGGTGCATGCTCTGGTTATCTCCCACTGGGACTACTGCAATGCGCTCTACGTGGGGCTACCTTTGAAGGCGACCCGGAAACTACAACTAATCCAGAATACGGCAACCAGACTGGTGACTGGGAATGGCCGCCGAGACCTATAACACCAGTCCTGAAAGACCTACATTGGCTCCCAGTACGTTTCTGAGCACAATTCAAAGTGTTGGTGCTGACCTTGAAAGCCCTAAATGGCCTTGGCCCAGTAGACCTGAAGGAGCGTCTCCACCCCCATCGTTCTGCCCGGACACTGAGGTCCAGCGCTGAGAGCCTTCTGGCGGTTCCCTCCCTGCAAGAAGCCAAGATACAGGGAACCAGGCAGAGGGCCTTCTCGGTAGTGGCGCCCGCCCTGTGGAACGCCCTCCCAGCAGATGTCAAAGTGAAAAACAACTACCAGATTTTTAGAAGACATTTGAAGGCAGCCCTGTTTAGGGAAGCTTTTAATGTTTAATAGGTGATTGTATTTTAATAGTCCGTTGGAAGCCGCCCAGAGTGGCTGGGGAAACCCAGCCAGATGGGCGGGGTGTAAATAATAAATAATTTATTATTATTATTATTATTATTATTATTATTATTATACAGCAACAGTGTTGTGTTGTGTAGGCTCCTATGATGTAAGTCAGGGGCCCTGTCCGCTAGCCTGCTCCCTAAAATATCACCAGTTTGCTCATTTCTATATATAGGGTGCCTACATTCTGCATGGACTGGTTGCATGGCAACATGTGCAAATAATAATAATAATTTATTTATACCCCGCCCATCTGGCTGAGCTTCCCCAGCCACTCTGGGCAGCTTCCAACAAAATATTAAAATACAGTTGTCTGTTAAACTTTAAAGGCTTCCCTAAACATGGCTGCCTTCAGATGTCTTCTAAAAGTCTGGTAGTTGTTCTCTTTGACAACTGGTGGGAGGGCGTTCCACAGGGCGGGCGCAACTACCGAGAAGTATGGCTTGAGATACCTATTTGGTCCATCAATTACCATACAACATTTATTCAGCACAAAAAATAGCGACAATTTGTTTCAGACAGCTGGATATATAAAGGGCCCCATTGCCTTCTGTAGCCTAGGGCCTCATCAAACCTAAATCCGGCCCTGATCCCAGCACAGCAGCCTCGTTCTCCCCTCCTGCTGTTTCCAGCTGCTTGCTGAAAAAAATATGCATTTGCAAGGTGGGGCTGGACTAGATGACCTCTGGGGGTCCCTTCCAGGTTTACAGTCCCATAAATTTCTGGCATTCAGAAGCATTGCGTAGGCATGATGGCTAGCAGCCCTCGATAGCCCTCTCCTTCTCTGTGAATTTGTCCGATCCTCTTTTAAAGCCATCCAGGTTGATGGCCATGCCTGCCTACTGAGGCAGGGAGTTCCGCAGTCAAACTCTGCGCTGAAGCTTTCTTTCGTCTGGACATTCAGCTTCGTTGGATGTCTACGGGCTCCAGCATTGTGAGGGAGAGAACCTTTTCTGCATCGACTTCTATAATGTCTCCTCTTTCTCGCCTTTTTAGCTAACAGAAAAAAGCGAGGAAAAGGTGACATGATAGGTGTTTGGGAGAGAAGTCCCAAACGCTGCAAGCTTTCTTCACTCCCATCCCCTGGATCATTTGGGATGTACTTTTCTGAACCTTTCCCAACTGTTATATCATCCTTTTTGAGGTGAGGCAACCTCATTCCTCTGCACGCAGTTTCTCCCCACCCCAGCAGTGTGTGTATGTGTGTATGTAGGTAGAGAGAGAGATATTTACAGGTGATAATTGTGATGATCATGGTGTACAGCTGATGAAAACCTCAAATTAACAATCTCAGAAAATTAGAATATTAAGTGAAATCAGCAAAACAAGGACTGCAAATAGAGCAATATTGGACGTCTGAGAAGTAGAAGCATGCATATGTACTCAGTACTTGGTTTGGGCCCCTTTTGCATCAATTACTGCCTCAATGCGGCGTGGCATGGATGCTATCAGCCTGTGGCACTGCTGAGGTGTTATGGAAGACCAGGAAGCTTCAATAGCAGCCTTCAGCTCTTCTGCATTGCTCGGTCTCATGTCTCTCATCTTTCTCTTGGCAATGCCCCATAGATTCTCTATGGGGTTCAGGTCAGGTGAGTTTGCTGGCCAATCAAGCACAGTAATCCCATGGGCACTGAACCAGGTTTTGGTACTTTTGGCAGTGTGGGCAGGTGCCAAAGTACTGCTGGAAAATGAAGTCAGCATCCCCATAAAGCCCGTCTGTGGAAGGAAGCATGAAGTGCTCCAAAATCTCCTGGTAGACGGCTGCGTTGACCCTGGACTTAATGAAGCACAGTGGACCAACACCAGCTGATGACATGGCTCCCCAAATCTCTTTTCTGATGAGAGCAGCTTTTGCATCTCATTTGCAAACCAAGGATCCAGAGTCTGGAGGAAGAATGGAGAGGCACACAATGCCAGATGCTTGAAGTCCAGTGTGAAGTTTCCACAGTCTGTGTTGATCATCACAATTATAACAAATAAAGGCTTGACATATCTCGCTTTGCATGTCATGAGTCTATCTCATATATTAGTTTCACCTTTTAAGTTAAATTACTGAAATAAATGAACTTTGCCATGATATTCTAATTTTCCGAGTTTCACCTGTAGTTGCCAATTTAGGATACCACTTGATGCATGTGCAGGAAGTCAGCGCGGTCCATGAAACCTCCTGCTCACAATAACTTTCTTAGCCTTCACGGTGCCAAAAAACTCTCTGCTGGGTTTGCTGCAGCAGATTAACACGGCTACTCTTCTGCAAAAACCATGATGTTCCATCTTTCTATCTGTGGGGAATTTCCAGATTTACACCGGATAATTTCTTTTATTGCTGCGCCAGGAAATTCGGACTTTAACAGTTCCTCTGTTTGTTTGTTTTTAACCTATCTAAAAGGAACTCGCAGTAAAAAATCCAGTTGGCATCCATCCCTGCGTTCATAGAATCATAAAAGTTGAAAAGTACCCAAAGGATTATCTAGTTCAAGTCCCTGCACAATGAGCTGAGGATGGTGTTGTTGTAAACCTAGTAAAAGCAAAGGGACCCCTGACTGTTAGAGCTTCCAGGTCATGTGGCCAGCATGATTAAGCCGCTTCTGTACTTAATTGCAAACATATAGAGCAGCACTCGGAATTCCCTTATCTGATGTAAAGTTGAATTTTGCCCCCCCTCCCAACTTCACTGCATGTTGACACATTTTAATTTTCTGCCTTCCTAAAGGAGGTACATGTGGAAGTATCAGCTTTGAACATTATTACTGCCTCTCAACGCAGAAGCCACCGGGAGAGATATTGTGGCCCCCAGATCATGCCTTACCAAATGGAATCATTTGCCCACCTTTGGGAAAACATCCTTAGGCATCACTTGCAAGATGCGGCCATCAATAGCTTACAGAATAAATACTGTTTTGAGTTGTGGGTGCCAGATTCCCTTCAATTCGTAGGTCTTAGAATTTAATCTATGCTTGGAGTGTTAAGATTCTGGTGCTGGATTTAGCCAGCGTTAAATAATACAGGCCAAACCAGTTTCCACCGTGTCCAGAAAATCAGTGAGCCATTAATCAAAGACAAGGGAAATGCAGTGGACCGTTTTAAAAGGCGGAGACAGGGGCCCCACCCTGAACTTTGAGCTAGTTAGCAGAGTTCAGTTTAGGATTGCAGTTGGGGGTGATGTAGGCTGGAGGGAAATAGTTGCAGCCTGAAAGCGGTGGCAAGGTTGAGAGAGGGGGTCAGAGCACAATGTGAGCTGGCTGTTTAAATCTGAGGCTGCAGCAATGGGAGAAACAGGACCCTCTTGGGGTTTGAATGCTGTGGATCCCTCCATCGTAGGCTCAGGCTGTATATATGTGTGAATAAACCATACATCATGAAGACACCACAGTCTCTGCAGTGCCTTGTTACCAAAAGGTAACCCAAACCATGAGTAATCTCCTGGAATCCCTCACCATTCATAGATCGGGGTGGCACATAACAATAGACTTAGTTTAGCATTAGCCGCTCGCCAGCACAAACTGGGAACCACAAATGCTAATGGACTGTAGCTGTCGTAAATGCAGGTTTTTGATTTTCGTAAATCACTTTGAGGTGGTTGATTTTAACAATCGAGTGGTGTATAAACTTTTAGCTTTTTGCATTTTATCTGTGTTGTAGGTTGTGTAAGCTTGTCTGAGAAAAAGTCAACACCAATAATAATAATAATAATAATGATGATGATGATAATAATAATTCTTATTCAACAATGCCTCAGCTGATGAGTTGCTGAGATCACGCTGCTCATGAGGCTGCTTAAAGTCTCTGGATATTACTGAGCCTGAATTTACAGTTATGTGACTGAATCCCACCTGAAAATAGTGAATCTGGAAGGAGCCCTCTAGCAAACCTGTCTCCGCTGTGTCTGGTTGTTGCCTTTTCTCTCATTTACAACAGAAAGCAGAGACCAAACAAGGAATGTCCTTTTTTCTTTTTGTTGAGAAAATAAGATACCCCTTTATCTTGTTATGGCTTTGCCAAGGGTGACAACAATGTCCTGTATTTACAGATTTAAACAGAGCGGCATCGCAGGCACACAAAGCAGATCCAGCCGTTTTCAACACAGGCCAGTCCTTTCGTGGCAGCTCGTAAAGAGCGGAGGAGACCTAAAGTTCCACCGAAGAGACAGTTACATGGGCATCATCGTGGGTGAGAAGAGATGACCTCTAGGGGCCTCTGGCTGGCAAGAGTTTGCTACGTCTGCTACGCCTTCAGCAGGTTTATTCCTCACTCCCTCCTGCAAGTGTTCAAACAAATATCATTTTGAGGGGCAAACCTAGCCAGGTGTAAAACGTGAGATCCCTGGGATTCCCCGATGACTCCCTCCCTCCACAGGGCGCTCTGGGTGGGCTTGGCTTAGTTCCGGTCCTGCTTCTGCTGCCTCAGCGCTTGCAGGAAGATGTCCTTCACCTGCCCCACCGTCTCCTGGTACAGCCGGAAGTCTTCCTCTTTGGTCTTCGCAGAGTCCTGCAAAGCCATCTTCAGGCTTTCGTTCTCGTCCATCTGGATCGCAAGCCTGCAAGGACAAAAATCGGTCATCGGACGTCGCGAAGCACTTACAAGCTGGGAAAGCAAGGCAGCCTCTTCCAGGCATTTTTATTATTATTTATTTTTTGGAAAAAGAAAACCAGTATGCAAAGCCGTCTCTCTGGCCCCGTGATGCTGGCGAATTTCCATCTTAATTATCGCGCTGATATCCCACCTTTCCCTCCAAGGAGCTAAAGCAGGGGTCAGCAAACTTTTTCAGCAGGGGGCTGAGGGGGGAGGAATGAATGAATTCCTATGCCCCACAAATAACCCAGAGATGGCAGGATTTAAATAAACATTCACATTATCAGCATCAGAAAATGTTTAGATGGCAAAATACGATGTATTCACTTTTATTTTTATGTTTTTAGGTTTGATGTTATGTAATTAATAACCGTTTCTGTTAAGAGATAGCAAAGTGGGTGAAAATAGAAACAAACCAGAAATGCAAGTTGGGGGAAGTCTTGCCGGGGAGGGAGGGAGGAATATATAGTAAATGTTAAGAATTTGAGATGTATGTAATGAATGAAAAAGAAAAATGAATTCATTTTTTAATTTTTTTTTAAAGAGAGATGCAATTTAAATAAGAGCACACATTCTACTCATGTGAAAACACCAGGCAGGCCCCACAAATAACCCAGAGATGCATTTTAAATAAAAGCACATATTCTACTCACGCAAAAACGCCAGGCAGGCCCCACAAATAACCCAGAGATGCAGTTTAAATAAAGGAACACATTCTACTCATGTAAAAACACGCTGATTCCCGGACAGTCCGGGGGCCGGATTGAGAAGGCGATTGGGCCGGATCCAGCCCTCGGGCCTTAGTTTGCCTACCCATGAGCTAAAGGTTCTCTCTGCTTTCCTCCCCTCAACAATGCTGCGAGGTAGGCTAGGCTGGAAGATGCAATGATTGGCTCAATGTCACCTGGTGGTTATAAATGTGAGCTTTCTCAAAGTGGTTAAGCATCCTACCTTGTGGATAGTTCTTCTATTTGGGACTCCAGAGGCACCTCTGATCGTTGTTCTGATGGAGGGCCGCTCCTATCACCCACGTTCCAGTCCAGCCTGCTGCTGTTGTGTGGCTGAGCTGTAGATGCGGGGCCTGTTGCTAGAGGAGAACACAGAGTTTCCCCTGCGTTTCAGAATCAACCAAGTCTCCATGTTTGTCATGGCCAAAAACAAATGCAGCAGCGTGGTATTACAACATGCCATAGACAGTACCTCCACATGTGGTGGGAGTGCCCCCAAATCCAACTATTCTGGACAACAGCCAGACGAGACATATGTAAAATAACTAAGCAAGTATTAGGAATCACCCCAGAATTGGCCCTACTAAACATCTTCCAGGACAATAATGCCCATTTACACCACAAAGAACTCATAACCCACCTACATTCAGCAGCCAGAAACACCATAATCAGACACTGGAGAGACCTGTCAGGAGTAAACATGGACCAATGGTACCAAATAGTATGGGAAACAGCCTTACTAGAAAAATTAACCAATAAACTGAAACTGACATGGGGACAAATAGAAGAAGACACCTTCACCCCGGTATGGCTCCCCTTTATCACATACCGTATTTTTCGCTCTATAAGACACACTTTTCCCCTCCTAAAAGTAAGGGGAAATGTGTGTGCGTCTTATGGAGTGAATGCAGGCGGGAGGCTCTGTCAGCGCTCCCTTTAAAGAGCCGTGTGGAGCGTGTGTGTGGCTCTTTGGGGCTTGTCCCAAGGAAGGAGAAGGGCTGCCCTTCTCCCTCCTCGGGAAAAGCCCCCAAGAGCCGCACACACATTCCACACGCTCCTTAAAGGGAGTGCGGCTCTTGGGGGAGCCTTAGCCATGCGCAGCCTCTCCCGGGCCGGGGATGAAAGCTCCCCTTGCCTGGGAGAGGCTGCGCGCGGCTAAAGAGGATGCCAGGACAGTGAGCAGGATCCATCCCGCTGGCTGTCTTGGCTTCTGCCATTGCCGCGTGCAGCCTCTCCCAGCCGGAGAGGCTGCGCGCGGCTAAAGCAGCCAGGACAGCAAGTGGGATCCTGCTGGCTGTTCTAGCTCCTGGCTTAGCCACGGGATAAAGTCTCCGCAGGGGAGCGGGGAGCCTTCATCTCGCTCCCCTGTGGAGGCTTCGTGCGGCTATCCCTGGCTTTCACGGGAGGTGGGGGAAGGGAGAGAGCGCGCGGCTCTGATCCTTCTCCCACCTCCCAGAAAAGCCCCCAAGAGCCGCGCTCCCTTTATAGAGCGCACGGCTCTTGCGGGAGGAAAGCCAGTAGGCTTGCTTTCGCTGAAGCAAGGAGGGCAAGAGGGATCGGTGCGCACCGATCCCACTTGCTCTCCTGGCTTCAGGGATAGCCCCGCAAAGCCTCCTGAGTGAAGATGGAGGAGCGCTCCCTCTTAGCTCAGGATGCTTTGTGTTCCTTTCTTATTTCTTGTTTTCCTCCGCTAAAAGCTAGGTGCGTCCAATCGTCCGGTGCGTCTAATAGAGCGAAAAAATACGGCACACAGCCCAACAAGACAATAACATGCCATATGCAGAGTGATCTCCCCGGGGCGCAAGCCTAGGCAGTGTGTCTGGAGGTCCTGGGCTGCACAGACGACAAGACCCCCCTCTCAGCCTCACTGATCCCAAAGCAAAGCAGAGCAAGACGTTTGGCGCCCGCTTGGCTGCAGGAGACGCTGGAAGGAGGCGTACAAGACGCCTTCTAACAGTCTTAGGGACTCCACTCGGGATTTGTGAAGGGTTTACCCCAGAGCCTTTTCCTCTCCTGAAGATATCCCACAAGGAAGTGAAGGTTTTCCTTCTCCTAAATGGGCTACCTGCCCAGGTAGATGAGCCCCACTCGCCCCTCACTTTGCTCTACTGCACGTGCAGAAAACACCACCACCACCACCATAATAATAATAATAATAATAATAATAATAATAATAATTTATTATTTATACCCCACCCATCTGGCTGGGTTTCCCCAGCCACCCTGGGCGGCTTCCAACGGAATATTAAAATACAATAACCTATTAAAATAAAATAATGCACCAAACATTAAAAGCTTCCCTAATAACCGTTGGAGCTACGATTGATCTCATCCTCTCAATCTTTGCATGCAGGGAAAATTCTTACCTCCCGAAGGTTTGAGACCCAATAATAATAATAATAATAATAATAATTTATTTCTGCCCCGCCCCACTCTGGGCAGCTTTCAACAGAACATTAAAAACAGAATAAAACTTCAAACATTAAAACCTTCCCTAAACAGGGCTGCCTTCAGATGTCTTCTAAAAGTCGGATTGTTGTTTATTTCTTGACACCTGAAGGGAGGGTGTTCCACAGGGTGGGTGCCACTACTGAGAAGGCCCTCTGTCTGCCTCCCTGTAACCTCACATTGGCTCCCCTCACCTGGTTTAGCCGGCTAGTTCAAGCTGTTTTCTCGGGTGTGGATGGTGTCGCATGCTGACAGCTACTGGGAGCCACAGGTGAGAGCTAAGTGCAGAATGGGGACTGCTCTGGGGCAAACTGCCCTAGAAGGAGCACGATGTGTCCCCCACTAGAGGTACTTCTTCCCCATATATATTCAACATAAATGCTTCCTGTGCTTGAATGCATCTTCTCTTGATGCTCTCATCCAGGGGTCAGCAAACTTTTTCAGCAGGGGGCCGGTCCACTTTCCCTCAGACCTTGTGGGGGGCCAGACTATATTTTTTGGGGGGAAATGAACAAATTCCTATGCCCCACAAATAACCCAGAGATGCATTTTAAATAAAAGCACACATTCTACTCATGTAAAAACATGCCAATTCCCGGACCGTCCACAGGTCAGATTTAGAAGGCGATTGGACCGGATCCGGTAAAGGGACCCCTGACCGTTAGGCCCAGTCGTGGCCGACTCTGGGGTTGCGGCGCTCATCTCGCTTCATTGGCCGAGGGAGCCAGCGTGCAGCTTCCGAGTCATGTGGCCAGCATGACAAAGCCGCTTCTAGCGAACCTGAGCAGCGCACGGAAACGCCGTTTACCTTCCCGCCAGAGCGGTACCTATTGATCTACTTGCACTTTGACGTGCTTTCGAACTGCTAGGTTGGCAGGAGCAGGGAGCTCACCCCGTCGTGGGGATTCGAACCGCCGACCTTCTGATCGGCAAGTCCTAGGCTCTGTGGTTGAACCCACAGCGCCACCCGCGTCCGTTAGTTTGCCTACCCATGCTCTAATCCATGACATTACCTGCTTTGTTCTTAGAGGGGTTTTTTGGGGCGCCAGAATTCTTCGCCGACTCCGTTTTCAGGTGTTCAAACTGCTGCTCTAGAGTGATGTACCTGCGCTGGTGCTCCTGGAGCTTCTTCTCTGCTTCCCAGACCTTGGTGGTGCTGTCGTCCACCCTGGCATTCAAAGCAGAAGGATCCATAGAATCAATCAATGGCAGAGCTGGAAGGGACACCCCAAGGTCATCTAGCCCAACCCGCTGACACGCAAGAATCGCACCTAAAGGGTCCCTGACAGGTGCCATGCAACCTTTGTTTATAAACCTCTGAGGAAGGGGAAGTCTGCCACCTTCCGATTCCGCACAGATTTTACTATATTATTATTCATAATAATAATAATAAATAAATAAATAATAATAAAATATATTTATACCCCGCCCTCCCCGGCTCAGGGCAGCTAGCACCAGTAAAATTACAGTAAAATCATAATACGGGGAAAAAACCAATTTAAAATACAGGTTAAAATGCAATTTAAAATGCAGCCTCATTTTAAAAGTAGCCCATAGATCAAAACCATAAGGGGAGGAAAACATAAGGGTCAGACTGAGTCCAAACCAAAGGCCAGGCGGAACAGCTCTGTCTTGCAGGCCCTGCGGAAAGATGTCAAGTCCCGCAGGGCCCTAGTCTCTTGTGACAGAGCGTTCCACCAAGTCGGGGCCAGTACTGAAAAGGCCCTGGCCCTAGTTGAGACCAATCTAACCACCTTGCGACCTGGGACCTCCAAAGTGTTGTCATTTGTGGACCTTAAGGTCCTCCGTGGGACATACTAGGAGAGGCGGTCCTGTAGGTACGTGGGTCCTAGGCCGCATAGGGCTTTAAAGGTCAAAACCAGCACCTTAAACCTGACCCTGTACTCCTCCGGGAGCCAGGGCAGTTGGTAAAGCACTGGATGAATGTGATCCCGCAGCAAGGACCCTGTAAAGAGCCTAGCTGCAGCATTCTGCACCCACTGGAGTTTCTGGGTCAGCTTCAAGGGCAGCCCCGCGTAGAGCAACTTACAGTAGTCAAGCCTGGAGGTGACGGTCGCATGGATCACTCTGGCCAGATCAGGGCGAGAAAGGTATTATTTATTTATTTGTCATTCAGACTTCTCAATGCAACATAAAAGGTAAATGTAAAGGGACCCTGACCATTAGGTCCAGTCGTGACCGACTCTGGGGTTGCGGCGCTCATCTTACTTTATTGGCCGAGGGAGCCGGCGTTTGTCCGGGTTTGTCTTCCGGGTCATGTGGCCAGCATGACTAAGCCGTTTCTGGCAAACCAGAGCAGCACACGGAAACACCGTTTACCTTCCCGCTGGAGCGGTACCTATTTATCTACTTGCACTTTGTGCTTTCAAACTGCTAGGTTGGCAGGAGCGGGGACTGAGCAACGGGAGCTCACCCTGTTGCAGGGATTTGAACTGCTGACCTTCCGATCGGCAAGTCCTAGGCTCTGTGGTTTAACTCACAGCGCCACCCGCATCCCTTTCAATGCAACATACAACATATATATAGCTGCGGAGCCACCACTGAAAAGGCCCTTTCCCCTTGTCACCACCCTCCGAGGCTCCCTCCAAGGGTATACCTGGAGAAGGGCCTCAGGTGAATGTTATGACTCTGGTGCTTTCACTTGCCCTCCTCACACCCTCGGTCCTTCGTCTACAAATCAGGATACACAGAGGCCAACCTCGCAGGGTTGTTGTGGGAGCAAACAGAATAAAGACTCTGGGGCTGCAATCTTCTACACACTTAAGTTGAGAGTCAGCCCCACTGAACTCCACAGGGCTTACTTCTGGGTCAACAGATGTGCACTGTAAGAAAAGTTAACATTGTTCTCAGTTGCAAGTGTGGTTTTAGCTGTTGTGATTCCTTTGTAGTTGCAGTTTTTATCATTGTATTGTGTTTTTAATTGTCTCTAAGGCACCCATAGAACTCAGGTACGTGGGCAAGAGGTAAACGTAATAAATGTGTTTAATTTGTTTGCAAGTTAAAAGGTTGAACGCCCACAGAAGATGCTTCCTGCTCACAGGAGGCCTGTTTATAGCTCACAAGCAGCCTCACGCCCAGCAATGCAAAGGAATTTTAAAGAACCAACAAATCAGCACAGTTTTGAAATAAGAAGATAAAATCGGTGCAGTTTTTAAAGGCCCAGCCCACCATTGTGATTAAAAATGGCGTCTAATTGTATCCCAGCTTTAGAACTGTGTCACCAAGCATATTTTTTACTTTCAGACGCTGTGGGTTAAACCACAGAGCCTAGGACTTGCTGATCAGAAGGTCGGCGGTTCGAATCCCCGCGACGGGGTGAGCTCCCGTTGCTCGGTCCCTGCTCCTGCCAACCTAGCAGTTCGAAAGCACGTCAAAGTGCAAGTAGATCAATAGGTACCGCTCCGGCGGGAAGGTAAATGGTGCTTCCGTGTGCTGCTCTGGTTCGCCAGAAGTGGCTTAGTCATGCTGGCCACATGACCCGGAAGCTGTATGCCGGCTCCCTCGGCCAATAAAGCGAGATGAGCGCCGCAACCCCAGAGTCGGCCACGACTGGACCTAATGGTCAGGGGTACCTTTACCCTTTACCCTTACACAGTTCTGGAGACCCACAACTGAAAACAACTGTCCAAACTGGCCTACTTTGGGAAATTCCTATGTAGCAACTCTAGAAAGATGGGCAGCACTTGGGTCAGCAGTAGAGTTGGAAGGGACCATGAGGGTCATCCATACTAAATTCCTGCAATACAGAAATATTTTGCCTAACACGGGGCTCAAATCCACCATCCTGATGCTAAGAGTCTCATGCTCTACTGAGCTAAGGTAGCCTTCGTGGAAGTACAACCCCTCACTGCTGTTTATTCATAAACACTACCATGAATAGTTAATGCCAGACCTCTCCTGTGTTAGTAACGGGCAGAGTCAGATTTTTAACATGCCCATAAAATCACCAATGCCCATCTTCAGGGAGGGTGCCTTTGCCACAGCTGCCTCCGGGATCAGAGGCCAGTTGCAGAGGAGCAACAACGCGAGGTTATTGTCCTCACGTCTTGGTTTATGGGTTTGCTGCGGTTGGCCACAGTGAGGAACAGAACCCTGGACCAGGCAGGCCTTTATGTGTGATCACAATATCGGACAGGACAGCCAAGTGTTTTGCAGCCCCCTCTCCTGCAACGCTGGGACACAGGTGGGTTAAATCACAGAGCCTAGTGTTATGTACTAAAGTTCTCACCCTGGGCCAGCAGGGGGATACTGTAGATAGTTTTCACTCAGGTCCACATATGCAAATAAGGGATTGAAAGTGACGTTCAGTGATTGGATAGTTACAGAAAGTGGTTACTGTGCGTTGTAGTGGAGCTCTATATAAGCAGGCTGGCTGAACCCTTCAGTTCAGTTCTGTTCTGGCCTGTGAATAAACAAGAGCTGTTTGAAGAATCACTGTGTCGTCTGATATGGTCACCCACAACTTAACACCTAGGACTTGCCGATCAGAGGGTCGGCGGTTCGAATCCCCACGACGGGGTGAGCTCCCGTTGCTCGGTCCCTGCTCCTGCCAACCTAGCAGTTCGAAAGCACGTCAAAGTGCAAGTAGATAAATAGATCCCGCTCTGGCGGGAAGGTAAACGGCGTTTCCGTGCGCTGCTCTGGTTCTCCAGAAGCGGCTTAGTCTTGCTGGCCACATGACCCGGAAGCTGTACGCCGGCTCCCTCGGCCAGTAAAGCGAGATGAGCGCTGCAACCCCAGAGTCGGCCACAACTGGACCTAATGGTCAGGGGTCCCTTTACCTTTACCTCCTGCAATGCAGGAATCACAACTAAAGAATCCCGGATCCAGAAGTCATAGGCTCTTCTTATGCCTTACAGTTCTTCCCAACTTTATTTTTTTCAAATTGCAAAAGAAGAAGAAAAGCGCCTTACAGTTCCTTGGTTTTCCAAGGCAAGAGAGACTTGGGAAAGGGGAGGAGAGGAGCCTGTTTCAAGGTGCTGTAATGTTATGCGCTCACCTTTTCTGCAGGATGTTGACCATTTCTATTAGCTTGCCCCTTTCTGCTTCAGCGGCTTGTCCCAGGGCCTTGTACTCTGCAATCTGGATCTTCACGGTTTTCATGTCCAGATTATCAGGCTCAACAATCCTAAAAAGGAGAAAAAAGAAAAAGAAAAAAAGGACCTGAGTTGGTAGGGGAGGGAGAAGGGAACCCCGATATACCAGTGTACTGGAAGAAGCAAAGATCACCAGTGTGGAAGCAATAATTCTTCAACATCCACTTTGTTGGACTGGTCATGTTGTGCGGATGCCTGATGATCGTCTTCCAAAGCAACTACTCTATTCTGAACTTTAAAATGGAAAGCATAATGCTGGTAGTCAACAAAAGAGGTTTAAAGACTCTCTCAAGGCAAATCTTAAAAAATGTAGTATAAAAACCAACAACTGGGAAACACTGGCCTGTGAGCGCTCCAATTGGAGAACAACCTTTACCAAAGGTGTCATGGGCTTTGAAGACACTCGAACTCAGGATGCAAGGCAGAAACGTGCTAAGAGGAAGGAACGCTTGGCAAACCCTCACCGGGATCAACTCCCACCCGGAAACCAATGTCCCCAGTGTGGAAGGATGTGTGGATCCAGAATTGGCCTCCAGAGTCACTTACGGACCCACTGTTAAAACCGTGTTTATGAAAGACAATCTTACTCCATGAGTGGTCACCAAAGAAGAAGAAGAAGACAAGAGTTTCAGCCAACTCCAGATAGCTGCCACATACCTCCCAGGAGAGACAGTGGTTGGGAATGAGGTCGCCACGGAGTCCACGAGGGTGTGACCCATCTTAGACACCATCCTGGGGAAGGCAAAGAATTGCAAACATCTCAGCAACAGCCTGCGTGCTTAGCTTGCCCATCTTCCAACATCTGTGCACGCTGCCACGTATCTGGGGAGCGGGAAGAAGGCTCTGAAACCCTGCCGGTTTACAGATGCTGATGCGACGTATAATAATAATAATAATAATAATAATAATAATAATAATAATATATTACTTATACCCTGCGCATCTGGCTGGGTTTCCCCAGTCGCTCTGGGCAGCTTCCAACAAGAGATTAAAAATACATTAAAACATCCGTCATTAAAAACTAAATAGGGCTGCATTCAGGTGCCTTCTAAAAGTCAGATAGTTGCTTAGTTCCTTGACAGCTGATGGAAGGGCGTTCCACAGGGCGGGTGCCACTACCAAGAAGGCCCTTTGCCTGGTTCCCTGTAACCTCACTTCTCGCAATGAGGGAACCGCCAGAAGGCCCTCGGAGCTGGACCTCCGTGTCCAGGCAGAACGATGGGGGTGGAGACGCTCCTTCAGGTATACTGGGCCGAGGCTATACACTGACTTACACAACTTTTAGAAGACGTCTGAAGGCAGCCCTGTATAGGAAGGTTTTTAATGTTTGCTGTTATATTATGTTTTCGCATATGCTAGAAGCCGCCTAGAGTGGCTGGGGCAACCCAGTCAGGTGGGCGGGGTACAAATGATAAAATTATTATTATTAAACCAAAGCTCTTCTGATGTGATACCTACAACTTAGGGACGTGGGTAGCACTGTGGGTTAAACCACAGAGCCTAGGACTTGCCAATCAGAAGGTCGGTGGTTCGAATCCCCACGACGGGGTAAGCTCCTGTTGCTCGGTCCCTGCTCCTGCCCACCTAGCAGTTCGAAAGCACGTCAAAGTGCAAGTAGATAAATAGGTACCACTCCAGCGGGAAGGTAAATGGCGTTTCTGTGCGCCAGAAGTGCCTTAGTCAGGCTGGCCACATGACCCGGAAGCTGTACGCCGGCTCCCTCAGCCAATAAAGCAAAATGAGCGCTGCAACCCCAGAGTCGGCCACGACTGGACCTAATGGTCAGGGGTCCCTTTACCTTTACCTACAACTTAGTTCTCTCACTGAGGCAGAAAGCTTGCGTCTGGAATGTACCACTGCAGAGTACAGCTGGGGGTAGGTGTCAAAGCAAATGCTCCTCTAGTGCAAAAGGATTTATTGCACGTGAAATATAGGAACGTCAAGGCGATAATCTCTCTCTGACGTGTAAGTTTTCTATGTGCAACGAAATTTGTTGGTATTAAGGACCGCCTGATCACAAAAGTCTCCAAGCAGCTGAATTGGTATATTCCCTTACACAGGATTATCTGTCTCAGTGAGAACTAGGCTAATGGACACAGCCGGTTAGAAATAAAATCTGAATTCTCCATAAATGTACTGGCTGGTGAGGCATTACACAACACACTACTGCCCTTCAGCAGAAACTAACTTTGGAACAATGCACGCAGAAGGGGTTATTCATCATCTGTTTCCCTGGACTAGCAATCCCTTCTCAGACTCTGAATTATTTGTTTGTGGGATTATTAAGTGAAGGTGAGAAGAAGTAAAGGAATAGAAGACTCCCTGATTGAACTGAATTGCTAACTTCTTTGTCAGACTGAGAGAAGTCCTAGCCGCATAGATATAAAAGTCTCTGGTTTGTAAGACTGGATGGAAAGTATTAGCTCAAACGACAGAGGTGACTGTGAATAATCTGAGGCAGTATACAAAGGGCTGAGAGATTCCCTGGAAATTCCTTGTCTGTTCAAAGGATGCTGATTTCATTCATGATAAGGATCCAGCTATCAAATCTGAGAAATAATATATCATATTTAGAGAATTGTTACTCTTGGGGGATTTTGAGCCAAGCCTTCTGAACTATTCTGCAGAAATCCAACAGGCGCCCTCTGGCAAGGAGAAACTGCACACGTCAAATGTCTGCCTGCCTCTTCGGGGGAAAAGGTGTCAAGGTGCTATCCTGATTGTATAAACTACCCTATGGCGCTGTGGGTTAAACCACAGAGCCTAGGACTTGCTGATCAGAAGGTCGGCGGTTCAAATCCCCGCAACGGGGTGAGCTCCCGTTGCTCGGTCCCTGCTCCTGCCAACCTAGCAGTTCAAAAGCACGTCAAAGTGCAAGTAGATAAATAGGTACCGCTCCAGCGGGAAGGTAAACGGCGTTTCCATGCACTGCTCTGGTTCGCCAGAAGCGGCTTAGTCCTGCTGGCCACATGACCCGGAAGCTGTACGCCGGCTCCCTCGGCCAGTAAAGCGAGATGAGCGCCGCAACCCCAGAGTCGGCCACGACTGGACCTAATGGTCAGGGGTCCCTTTACCTTTTTATATGACTCACTGCTGGAGACGGGATGTCAGAGTTGGGCTGAGCTGAAGCCATTAAGAACTTCACTTCCAGATGGAGGGCTTGATAGAAGATTTGAATAGTCCGTCAGATCTATCAGGTTGGAATACAGTCATACCTTGGCTCCCGAACGCCGTGGGAGTCGAACGTTTCGGCTCCCGAATGGTTGAAAACTGGAAGTGATTGTTCTGGTTTTCGAACGTTCTTTTGGAAGCTGAACATCCGATGGGGCTTCCGATTGGCTGCAGGAGCTTCCTGCGGCCAATCAGAAGCTGCGCTTGGATGTTGAACGTTTCGGAAGTCGAATGGATTTCCGGAACGGATTCTGTTCGACTTCCGAGGTACGACTGTATATGGGATCCAGAAGGAGCTTGACATCCTGGGCCAAACTGGCAGCCTTCCCTAATATGGTGCCCTCAAAATGTTTTGGGAGTACAATTCCCAGCATGCTGGCTGGGGCTAATGGGAGTTGTAGTCCCAAGCTTTTGGAAGACACCAGGTGGGGGGAATCTGTGCTTAAGTCCCTGCTCAGTTGATGACTGATTTCCAGGAAGAAAGGCCAGGAAATCATCTTAATTGTGAAGATTTTCTTGATGAGTGTCAGCTGCACAGTAAGCTAAAGGTAAAGGGACCCCTGACCATTAGGTCCAGTTGTGGCCGACTCTGGGGTTGCGGCGCTCATCTCACTTTATTGCCCGAGGGAGCCGGCATACAGCTTCCGGGTCATGTGGCCAGCATGACTAAGCCGCTTCTGGCGAACCAGAACAGCGCATGAACATGCCGTTTACCTTCCCGCCGGAGTGGTACCTATTTATCTACTTGCACTTTGACATGCTTTCGAACTGCTAGGTTGGCAGGAGCAGGGACCGAGCAATGGGAGCTCACCCCGTCGCAGGGATTTGAACCGCCGACCTTCTGATCGGCAAGTCCTAGGCTCTGTGGTTTAACCCACAGCACCACCTGCGTCCCAAAGCTGCATAGTAGGCTTGCAAAATAAGTGTGGCTGCCCCAATAGTCCTTTTTGGGGGACCATGACAAATGCCTAGCTCCTAAAGCAATTTCCACAAACTGTGACCAAACTGCCAAAGTCCTCTGAACACTTTATTCTGACAGGCAGCTGTATTCATATAAACTGAGGATTTTAAAGTGTTTTTTACCTCGCAGAGCTATTACTTCCAACGAGGTCATCCCTCCGGGATCCTGAGGAACCATTTCCTTCTTCTAAAGACTCGGCTGACAGGGTAGAAAGAGAGTCTGGACTGCTTTCCTCTTTTCGATGGTGCTGGCGTAAAGACATCAACCAAGTCAGACTTTACGCATTTTGAGCGCAACGAGGTCGATTCCCCACTCCCCATCTCCTCTTTGCTTTCATCCCCTTGGATGGTTTCAAATGTCCCATTTTTTTCGTCCCATTTCATAGACAACAGTCACATCCACAACAAGTTATCACAGGCCCATTGGCGACCCAACCAGAGTCTGTTTGTGGAAAGGATTTTTTCATCCCACTTCTGCCACCAAGTAATGGATTCTCTCTCTCTCGAGTGTCCTTAGACCTAAACCTCACAGGAATTCCTTTGGTGTGAGGAATCCTGTATGAAAAATGAGCAGGTTGAAAACCAATCCTACCAGGCAGTACCAGTATTATTTATTGCATTTACCGTATTTTTTGCTCTATAAGACTCACTTTTCCCCTCCCAAAAAGTAAGGGGAAATGTGTGTGCGTCTTATGGAGCGAATGCAGGCTGCGCAGCTATCCCAGAAGCCAGAACAGCAAGAGGGATCGCTGCTTTTGCTGAGCAGCGATCCCTCTTGGTGTTCTGGCTTCTGGGATTCAGAATATTTTTTTTCTTGTTTTCCTCCTCCAAAAACTAGGTGCGTCTTGTGGTCTGGTGCGTCTTATAGAGCGAAAAATACGGTATATCCCTCCAATTTTTTTCCTTAAAGGGACTCAAAGTGGTGTACATGGTTCTCTCCCTCCTCATTTAATCTAACCACTGCACCTGCCAGGGGAAACACACCTTGGGATTCACAAAGACAAGAGCCAAACAGCCCACTCACTGTCTTTTCTTGCAATTTACTCAGTAGCATAGAATCAAACAGCCAGATTCAGAACCCACATCAGGATAAATACAATACCTTTATTCAGAAGAACCCAATACCAATAAAAGCCAGTTAAGAAAAGGCACATGGTGTAGAGATACCTTTGGTAATTGCAAAACAGAAAACAACAAAGCTAGCTTGCCTCACCCTAATGCTAACCATTGAGCGACACAGTCCTCACTGAATCAGCAATCTGCATTCAAGCACACATAGGTATTGCCATTCACCTTTGTCTATACGCCTGTTAACGCTCTCAAAGAAAGCTAATAGGTTCGTGAGACAGGACTTGCCCTTGCAGAAGCCATGCTGGCTGCTTCAACAAGGCTTGTTCTTCTATACAGTGGTACCTTGGTTTATGAACGTAATCTGTTCCAGAAGTCCATTCTTAAACCAAACCAACACAGTCTGAACAGAGAGAGCCAGTGTGGTGTAGTGGTTAAGAGCGGTAGTCTCGTAATCTGGGGAACCGGGTTCACGTTTCTGCTCCTCCACATGCAGCTGCTGGGTGACCTTGGGCCAGTCACACTTCTTTGAAGTCTCTCAGCCCCACTCACCCCAAAGAGTGTTTGTTGTGGGGGAGGAAGGGAAAGGAGAATGTTAGCCGCTTTGAGACTCCTTAAAGGGAGTGAAAGGCGGGATATCAAATCCAAACTCTTCTTCTTCTTCTTCTTAAACCAAGGCGTGCTTTCCCAGAGCAGTGGGGGACTCAATTTACACTCAACAGGAAGAGGAACATGTTCTGCTTCCAAGGCAAAGTTCACAAACCAAAACACCAACTTCCGGCTTTGCAGTGTTCTTAATCCAAGTTGTTCATAAACTAAGCTGTTCTTAAACCAAGGTACCACAGTTGTACCTTGGTTTTTCAACAGCTTAGTTCTCGAACGTTTTGGCTCCTGAACGCCGCAAACCCGAAAGTGACTGTTCCGGTTTGCAAACTGTTTTTGGAAGCCCAACGTCCGAGGGGGCTTCTGCAGCTTCCGGTTGGCTGTATGAGCTTCCTGCAGCCAATCAGAAGTTGCGCTTTGTTTTCCGAACGTTTTGGAAGTCGAACGGACTTCCATTCGACTTCCAAGGTACGACTGTACTTGGTTACTGTATATTCCACAATACTTTCCACCAGTTTTCCTGGGACAGACATAAAACCAACCGGCCTGTAATTTCCACAAGCTGCTGTGCTCATTAAGCCAGAAACTCAGCCAAGCCTGTGAAGATCATGTTTCGCTAATAGTTAACTCCGTATTTGAACTGTGTGATTTACTGGCCGGCTTGCTCTGTTCAAGAAGGACACTGACAAACTGGAACGTGTCCAGAGGAGGGCAACCAAAATGGTCAAAGGCCTGGAAATGATGCCTTATGAGGAACGGCTAAGGGAGCTGGGCATGTTTAGCCTGGAGAAGAGGAGGTTAAGGGGTGATATGATAGCCATGTTCAAATATATAAAAGGATGTCACATTGAGGAGGGAGAAAGGTTGTTTTCTGCTGCTCCAGAGAAGCGGACACGGAGCAATGGATCCAAACTACAAGAAAGAAGATTCCACCTAAACATTAGGAAGAACTTCCTGACAGTAAGAGCTGTTTGACAGTGGAATTTGCTGCCAAGGAGTGTGGTGGAGTCTCCTTCTTTGGAGGTCTTTAAGCAGAGGCTTGACAACCATATGTCAGGAGTGCTCTGATGGTGTTTCCTGCTTGGCAGGGGGTTGGACTCGATGGCCCTGGTGGTCTCTTCCAACTCTATGATTCTATGATTCTATATTAAGCGATCCGATCTGGTTTACCTGCGAAGTGAACTGCTGGACCTCCTCCTCCAGTTCTTTCACCCTGGCCTCTCTCTCGGCCACCATCTGCTTGAGCTGCTCGATGAGGCAGTTTTGCTTCTGGACCTCCACGCTCAGCTGCTGCTCCAGGTTCTGGTGAGATTCCTTGGTCCTCTCGTCTTGCTGACTCAGGTTCTTCAAGATGGCTTGCATCTCCTTCTGCTGGCTCTGGGGGAGCGGAAAAGGCATGGGGTTTGCACACATGCATCATTAAACGCAGGTGAAGGTGGCGTTTGACCCCTAAAGGTAATAATAATAATAATAATTTTTTATTTATACCCCACCCTTTCTGGTTCAGAAAACCGGGCTCAGGGCGGCTAACAACAAATTTAAAACACTTAATTGAGACAACAAAAAACAGCATAAAATACAGTATAAAACGTGAATAACAATAAATTCAGAATTCAAAATCAATTTAGGGGGGAAATCCATCCAATAAACATTAGATGATCACCAGGGTTAGTGGCTAAATTAGTCCTATTTGGGCCAGCGAGGAGACCAGGGGAGAATTAGCTGTGGGATCCCAGAGCGGGTAATCTTCATAAAAAGGGGAGGGGAGAAAAGGAAGGGGAATAAAAGATCAGGCTAAGTTCAAATTGAAAGCCAGGTGGAATAGCTCTGTCTTACAGGCCCTGTGGAAGGAAGTGAAATCCTACAGGGCCCTGGTCTCCTGGGACAGAGCATTCCACCAGGTCGGAGCCATCACTGAGAAGGCCCTGGTGGAGGATAATCTGACTTCCTTAGGGCCCGGGACCTCTAAACTATGATTATTCATGGACCTTAAGGTCCTCTGCGGGGCAGACCAGGAGAGGCGGTCCTGTAAATACGAAGTACACCCTTGTGCAAATTAATTGAAACAAACAATGTAGTTTATTGTACAAAACTCACATATACGTACATTAGTAACGGATATGACCTCCGCTATTTTTAAGCAGCATTTGAACACGGTTTGGCATGGAGTCTACTAGTTTCGAAAAGTCACTGTTGATTTTCGGATCCCTGTACCACACTTGAATCAGCGATTGAATGAGCTTCTCTATAGTCGTACAGTCTACAGCACAGAGGCGACTTTTGCATATAGCCCGCAAATTCTCAATGGGATTTATTATATTTGTTAGTTGCTTTATCTTGCCCAGGGAAACCCAAAGTGACCTATAAGATATATAGCAGCAATCCTAGAACCCTAGAATTGTAGAGTTGGACGGGACCACGAGGGCCATACAGTCCAATCCCCTGCAATGCAGGAATATTTTGCCCAATGTCGTGGGCTCGAACCCACGACCCTGAGATTAAGAGTCTCACGCTCTACCAACTGAGCTACGCAGATACTGGTAGCATTCTGGAATTTGAAATAGCCTTGAGCAGTAGCTGTTGCCAAACCCCTGGGGTGTGGAACAGCTAGATCGTACCAGCAGAGCATCAACAAGTTCGTCATCATGCTTCCCTTTGTCCAGGAGGGTCGAGATCTGCTCCTTCAGGGTTTTCACTTCGTGAGACAAAACTTTGTTCCGAGCTTTGGAGCCGTCCAATTTCTGTTTCAGCTCTTCGTAATCCTTCAGGAGGCTGTTATGTTCCCCTGAAAGCTTCTGCAATTAAGCAGAGAAAAGAAAGTCAGACTTGACGTGGTAGGGAATTTATTTACTTAATCATGTATCCCACCTATTTTTCTAAGGAGCTCGAGCTGGAATATATCATAGAATAATAGTAATAAAAATAATCATAATTTATTATTTATACCCTGCCCATCTGGCTGAGTTTCCCCAGCCACTCTGGGCGGCTCCCAATCGAGTGTTAAAAACAATACAGCATTAAATATTAAAAACTTCCCTGAACAGGGCGCCCTTCAGATGTCTTCCAAAAGTCTGGCAGTTATTTTTCTCTTTGACATCTGGTGGGAGGGCGTTCCACAGGGTGGGCGCCACTACCGAGAAGGCCCTCTGCCTGGTTCCCTGTAATCTCACTTCTCGCAATGAGGGGACCGCCAGAAGGCCCTCAGAGCTGGACCTCAGTGTCTGGGCTGGATGGTGGAGGTGAAGACGCTCCTTCAGGGATACAGGACTGAGGCCGTTTAGGGCTTTAAAGGTCAGCACCAACACTTTGAATTGTGCTCGGAAACGTGCTGGGAGCCAATGCAGATCTCTCAGGACCAGTGTTATATGGTCCCGGCGGCCGCTCCCAGTCACCAGTCTGGCTGCCGCATTCTGGATTAATTGCAGTTTCCGGGTCACCTTTAAAGGTAGCCCCACACAGAGCACATTGCAGTAGTCCAAGCGGGAGATAACCAGAGCATGCACCACTCTGACGAGACAGTCTGAGGGCAGGGAGGGTCTCAACCTGCGCACCAGAAGGAGCTGGTAGACAGCTGCCCTGGACACAGATTAACCTGCGCCTCCATGGACAGCTTAGAGTTAGAAGGGACCCCGAGGGTCATCCAGTCCAACCCCCTGCAATGCAGGAATCTCAGCTAAAGCATCCATGACAGACGACCATCCAACCTCTGCTTAAAAATCTCCAAGGAAGGAGAGTCCACAACCTCAACATAACAACCTTGTGAGGTCGGTTAGGCTGGAATGAGGGCCTGGCAAGGGACCACAGGCTATGGTTGAATCAGAGGGCAATGGGGCCCTATGTTCTTAAATCCAGCCGTGTTTTTCTCAAAAACAACAACTACAACAATAAGGAAGCCCTGAAAAGAGGGTGCGTTTTATCATATGTGGTGATCATGTGGGGTGGTAAAAGCTTTCTGGGAAATGATATATAATGAGTTGGGGGGAAATGTTTAAGATAACTTTTGTTAAAAATAAAAGACTGTGGAAAGAAGAAGTGCCAACCAGAAAAGAGTGACAGACTAAGCTGATGGAAGAAGCAGAAATGGCAGAAAAAGAAGGAACATTTTATCATATGTGGTGGGAATGTAAAAAAGTAAAGAACTTCTGGGAAATGATAAATAATGAGATGAAAAAGATGTTGAAATATACATTTTTTTAAAAACCAGAAGCATTTTTACTTGGTATTATAGGTCAGGACATTAATAGGCAAGATGTTAAATTCTTTTTGTATGCAACAACTGCGGCAAGAGTATTGTTAGCCCAGAAATGGAAACAAGAAGAAATTCTGATGAAAGTAGAACGGCAGACGAAATTAATGGACTGTGCAGAATTGGACAAAATGACAGGAAGAATTCAAAACCTGTGGGGCCAGAGATTGACAGAAGATTGGAAGAAGTATATGAATTATTTGAAGAGCAACTGTAATCAACAAATTACGCTAGTAGGACTACAAGAAGTTTTGTAAGGAGAAATATACGAAGTGTTACAAAGTAGAAAAAGATAGAGATATTGGTTATGAGTTTGAAATGTAATAGGGAAAATAAGAAAATAATATATTTGAGATACATACATACAGTCAGGAAGCCCAGGCCTCAGATCTGAGCTCCCCTGGCTCCTGCAAAAAGGTTCTCAGCCCTTCCTCACCTCTAGAGCTTCTTTCTTTTCTTTTTCCAAGCTACGAATCCTCTGCAGGTTCTTTTTTGAGGCAGACGTCTTCCTCGAGTCCGCCAGGCTTACAGCCTCTTCCTCAGTGCTGCTCTCAGACAACCGGCTTCTGCTGTGGCCCAGCTGGTTCTCTAGATCCCGGACCTGAGGGAGGAAGTGGAAAATGTGCACCATTGCAAGTGTTGCTTAGCTGTGCGAAAACTGCTCCACTTATTAATTAATATAACAGTGTATGTCAGTGTTGACATGGGAGGAGTGCAAAAGGGGTGGGAGAGGGTCCCACTATGTTATTGTTATTATTAAAGGTAAAAGGTACCCCTGCCCGTACGGGCCAGTCTTGACAGACTCTAGGGTTGTGCGCCCATCTCACTTAAGAGGCTGGGGGCCAGCGCTGTCCGGAGACACTTCCGGGTCACGTGGCCAGCGTGACGAAGCTGCTCTGGCGAGCCAGCGCAGCACATGGAAACGCCGTTTACCTTCCCGCTATAAAGCGGTACCTATTTATCTACTTGCACTTAGGGGTGCTTTCGAACTGCTAGGTGGGCAGGAGCTGGGACCGAACGACGGGAGCTCACCCCGCCGCGGGGATTCAAACCGCCGACCATACGATCGGCAAGTCCTAGGTGCTGAGGCTTTTACCCACAGCGCCACCCGGGTCCCTATATATTGTTATTATTACCAACAACCAAAACACATACAGTGAAACCCCCCATGCAGGCTGATACATTGGGTATACTTAATCAATAATAACATACAGTGGTGCCCCGCAAGACGAATGCCTCGCAAGACGAAAAACTCGCTAGACGAAAGGTTTTTCCGTTTTTTGAGTTGCTTCGAAAGACGAATTTCCCTATGGGCTTGCTTCGCAAGACGAAACGTCTTGCGAGTTCTTGCGAGTTTGTTTCCTTTTTCTTAAAGCCGCTAAGCCGTTAATAGCCACTAAGCCGCTAAGCCGCTAAGCCGTTAAAAGCCGCTAAGCCGCTAATAGCCGCTAATAGCCGCTAATAGCCGTGCTTCGCAAGACGAAAAAACCGCAAGACGAAGAGACTCGCGGAACGGATTAATTTCATCTTGCGAGGCACCGCTGTATTCAATTCAACCACATGTACAATTCTATATACATTAACCCTCCACCCTCCACATGGTTATTTAACTTTTAACCTTTTAATTACCCCAAACTGGCTCTCTTAGCCTGAGTAGCACTGAGTTAAAAACAAAAGAGGAATGTAAATGGGTAAAATTGACGGTAATTGCAGCCAGAAAGGTTAGAGCGAGTAACTGGAAAAACGCAGAAGAGCTAGGGGTGAACCAATGGAGGGGAAAACTGAAAAAAATATTATAATTTTAGAATATCTAACTGTGAAGATATTCACAGATATGATATCTTCTAGATATGAAGTCTTCAAGATATGAGTCTTCAAGATATGAAGACTCTTGAGAGACTCTTGGGAGTCTCATGGACTGCAAGAAGATCAAACCTATCCACTCTTAAGGAAATCAGCCCTGAGTGCTCCCTGGAAGGACAGATCCTGAAGCTGAGGCTCCAAGACTTTGGCCACCTCAGGAGAAGAGAAGACTCCCTGGAAAAGACCCTGATGTTGGGAAAGATGGAGGGCACAAGGAGAAGGGGACGACAGAGGACGATATGGTTGGACAGTGTTCTCGAAGCATGAGTCTGACCAAACTGCGGGAGGCAGTGGAAGACAGGAGTGCCTGGCGTGCTCTGGTCCATGGGGTCACAAAGAGTCAGACATGACTAAACAACAACAACAACAACAACTGTGAAGATACACAGAATGAAAGGGTTTAAGGTCAGTGAGAAAAAGGAGGATTTGATTGAGAAGATATTGAATTATTTGGGTAGGAGGGGGTCCCACTAAGAATCCGATCAGCAAGCATGGAAATAGAAGGATCTGTCTTGATCCACCTGGTGTAACAGAATTTACAATAGGCACCTGCTATCCAAAGTTTCGGAGGAGGGTGCCTCTCAGACCTACCTGGAGATACGTACCAGGGATTGAACGGGGAACTTTTTGCATGTAAGGCATGCGCTCTGCAACCCTGCTAATCGACTGACAACGGACCAGAGCTGCGTGTGCAAACGGCCTGGTGAAATTCTGCAATAATAGGTCCGACTCTGCCATGCAATGTTCGGAAGAGCGGGGGAACAAAGACAATTGACTCACTTTCCCTTGTAGGATCAGAATCTGCTGAGCCCGCCCACGCCAGGTGCCAGGGGTGGACAACAGATTTTGAATGTTGACGTCCTCTCCAACTTCATTGGCTAAAAGCTGAAAACCAGATACAGAACGTAATTATGTCATGGAAAATCTTTTGTGCTGAAGGTTTCGATTTATCAGTTATTTAATTTAACCTTTTAAAAAAATCTTGCTCTTCAGCGAAATAAAGGTCCTCAAAGCAGCCTAAAAATATAGTGTGTGTGTGTGTGTGTGTGTGTGTGTGTGTGTAAAGGACAGTCCCTGCTATCAGTCTGACAATCGAAAAAGACACGACACAAAAGGAAAATGGACCGGGCAGGAGGAGAAAATAAGCAAACCCAGGTTCAAGTTCTTAGCTAATGTGTTGCAGAAAGTGCCCTTTCCAAAATCTTTCTTAAGACCATAAGAGGAGCCCAATTAGCTTCTGGCTCCATGTTTTTAAAGCTTATTATTTATACTCCATTTTTCTGTTAAAATAATTGAAATGGCATTTTCACACAGCAGTTTTGTGAGTCGTTTTGCCAGGCTGCTACAAACAACCCAGGAACACAGCTGAGGCAAAGTCACTCCAGAAAAATCTGAAGTACCTGCTGCCCCAGGACAGCTGTTCTGTTTCTTCAGCTCCTGCTGCCACATACGTCACTAAACCAGCCCAGGACACCTCCAGTGTTCAAGGTAAAGGTAAAGGGACCCCTGACCATTAGGTCCAGTCGTGGCCAACTCTGGGGTTGTGGTGCTCATCTCACTTTATTGGCCGAGGGAGCCGGCGTACAGCTTCCGGGTCATGTGGCCAGTATGACTAAGCCGCTTCTGGCGAACCAGAGCAGCGCACGGAAACGCCGTTTACCTTCCCGCCGGAGTGGTACCTATTTATCTACTTGCACTTTGACGTGCTTTCGAAATGCTAGGTTGGCAGGAGCAGGGACCGAGCAACGGGAGCTCACCCTGTGGCGTGGATTCGAATCGCCGACCTTCTGATCGGCAAGTCCTAGGCTCTGTGGTTTAACGCACAGCGCCACCCGCGTCCCCATGTTCAAGGAGAGGACAACTAATACTGGCGGATAATGTATACCCTGAAAGTGACTTTAGGGGTGGGTCAATGAGGGTGACCTCACTGATTTGAATTGCTTGTTGGATGTCCGTAACTGTTAGGCCCAAGCGTCATGAACATCTCTAGTGGGAAAAAGCAATGGGATGCTTAGAGTTATGGAATCTCTACACATCAGATCAATACTTACTGCACTAAGAAATGCAAACTAACAGAAGACCCTACCTTCTGTGTCATCTTCAGCTCCTGCTTTGTGGTCTGGAGCTGGTTGCGAAATTCAGACACTTTGAAGTTGGCTGCTGTTAACTTTTCTTGCAAGGCTTTCATCTCTGGGCTCTTGAGATTCAAGAGGAAGAGGTGTTTTTCCATCAGTACAGATAAAGAACAAATGGCACGTTACAAGGCATTGTTTATTTATTTACAGTCGGACCTCGGATCCCGAACGCCTTGCGAGTCGAACCTATTGGCTCCCAAATGCCGCAAACCCAGAAGTGAGTGTTCTGGTTTGCAAACGTTTTTTGGAACCCGAACGTCCGACACGGCTTCCGGTTGGCTGCAGGAGCTTCCTGCAGCCAATCAGAAGCTGCGTCTTGGTTTCCGAATGTTTTCGGAAGTCGAACGGACTTCCGGTATGAATTTGGTTCGACTTCTGAGGTGCCACTGTATTTACATTTATACACCACCAATTATATCTGAAGATCCACCATGAAAGGTGGTGAACTCTCCCTCCTTGGAGGTGTTAAAGCAGAGGTTGGATAGCCATCACTCATGGATGCTTTAGCTGAGATCCCTGCATTGCAGGGGGCTGGACTATTCGAACTCTAAGATTCTATGATTCTATCTCAGGGTAGTTCACAAGATAAAAACACAAAATTAAAAGTTAAAACAGGAAGTTAGATTAGTCTCAACCAGAGCCAGGGCCTTTTCAACACTGGCTCCGACTTGGTGGAACGCTCTGCCTTATGAGACCAGGGCCCTGCAGGATCTGATTTCTTTCCACAGAATCCGTGACCAGGGAGAAGAGTCGGTGGAAGAAGATTGGAAGAAATTCAAAGATTATTTACAGAAATATTGCAAAATTAAAGAATGTTAGAGTGATGATGGATTGAAATTAAGTGGCTTCTAGCTGTACAGGCTTTAAAGTTATATATAGATCAAGATTAAGGATTAGGATTAAAAAGGTTAAAAGAATGGAAAATTGGTTTTTAATAGGTAAAAATTTAATGTTATATTATATTAAGATTAAGGATTGGGATTAAAAAGGAGGGAAAGGAATTGCTGGACAAACAAACTGAATTGGAATACAAAAGAGGGAGGTATGAGGAGGTCCAGGAAATAAGTAAATGTAAAAGTAGTGATGAAAAGATGGAATTGTTTTTAACTGTTTTTTCTTTTTTCTTTTTGTATTTTGTATTGTGTATTTTTATTTTTAAATTCTCTTTTTTTATTAATGTGTCTCTTTTCATGTGAAACTTTAATAAATATCATTTAAAAAAAAAAAAGGATCTGATTTCTTTCCGCAGGGCCTGTAAGACAGAGTTGTTCCGCCTGGCCTTTGGCTTGGAGCCAATTTGATTCCCTCCCCCTCTTTCCTTTTTCCTTTCTCCTCCTGTGATGAGGCTGCATTTTAATATTTTAAAGTTTCAATATTTTAATGTTGTATTTTAATCTTGTTTTTAAGTTGTATTCATTCAACTTGTTTTTATTATTGCTTGTGAGCCGCCCTGAGCCCGGCCTTGGCTGGGGAGGGCGGGGTATAAATAAAAATTATTATTATTATTATTAACGCTCCTTCCCACAAGCATATTTGAAAGGCAGCAGGATATTCATCCGCCAAAGGCCGGGTTGAAGAGGAATGTTATCAGAGCTCAAGGTCACATTCCAGCCGGGGGGGGGGGGATGCTCAAGGGGGGGGGGAAGTAAATCAGTGAGGGGTGGGGCTTGGGGGAAGGGAGTGTGGTCTGGGGAAAATCCCAAAGGCAGATGCTGTACCATTGAAACACCTGGATTAGATTAGATTAGGATTACCAGACATCCCCAGTTCCCAGGGACAGTCCCTGGATTTGCAAACCTGTCCCCGGACAAATTCCGTCCCTGGAATGTCCCCAGATTTGCAAATCTGTCCCCTGGAAATGTGGCAGTGGCAGCCTCAGCAGCCCAGAGCCAGCCTGGTAGCGCAGTTGGCTCTGGCTGGCTTCAGGAGCTGCTCACTGCCGCCGCCACTGCCGAAGGGGAACCGGGGACGTCCGGCGGCACAGATCTCCTGCCCCCTTCCCCCTTTGTTTTGACAGATCGGGGGAGGCTCGGGAGTCACAGGTGAGCGGACGCTGCCCAGGAGGGGTGCAAGGCGCATGGTTTCTCTGCCAGGCAAGCTGCAAAGCCCCTCTTTTGCACCCTGTGAAACATAAATGTGTACAGGTTTTTTAAAAAAAACAACTGGGCAACATCCTCACGCCCATGACTCCCAAGCCTCCCCCGATCAGTCAGTACAAAGGAGGAATTGGGCAGGAGATCGGGGGAGGCTTGGGAGTCACAGGCACGCAGTGCACCGTTTTCAGTTTTTAAAGAACTGCGCATTTATGTTTCACAGGGTGCGAAAGAAGGGCTTTGCACCTTTATACAATATGTATGTGTGCTTGTGTCTTTTGCCTCACCGTTCCCCACTACTGACTCCCTGTTGCTACTCAGCTTAAAAAAAAAAGGGGTCCCCGGATTCATTGAAAACAATCTGGTAACCATACATTAGATTCCCCAGTCCTGCTTTAAAAGCCTTATCGCTACTACGTTGAGAACACAGAGTGATTCATTCTTACCAGAGGCACTTCTGTCGCCTTACGAACAGGCTGACTGTCTTTCTCCTCAAGTGACTGCGGCTTGAGAGATGACAATTGTAACTAGAATACACACACACATATATACACACAATTAGATAAATGCCAGCTTTACAGTGCAACTACAAAGCAGATCAAGGAGAAAAGTTACAGGCAGGTAATCATAATTATGATAATTTTTTATTTATAGCCTTCCCTTCCTGGTTCAGAAAACTGGGCTCAGGGCGGCTAACAACAAATTTAAAACACTTAATTGTAAAAGCAGCATACAATACAATATAAAAACAATAAAATTCAAAGTTCAGAAATCAATTTCGGGGAAATCCATCTAATAAGCATTAGATAATCCCCAGGGCTAGCTGGCTAAATTAGTCCTACTTGGGCCAGCGGGGAGGCCAGGGGAGAATTAGCTGTGGGGTCTCAGAGCTGGTGATCTTCATAAAAGGGGAGGGGGAAGGAAGGGAAGGGAAATAAGAGATCAGGCTGAATTCAAATCAAAGGCCAGGCGGAATAGGTCTGTCTTACAGGCCCGACAGAAGGAGGTTAAATCCTGCAGGGCCCTGGTCTCATGGGACAAAGCATTCCACCAGGTCGGAGCCATCACTGAAAAGGCCCTGGCCCTGGTGGAGGATAGTCTGACTTCCTTAGGGCCCGGGACCTCTAAACTATGGTTGTTCATGGATCTTAAGGTCTTCTGTGGGGCAGACCAGGAGAGGCGGTCCTGTAAATAGGTAGCTGTGTTGGTCTGCCATAGTTGAAACAAAATAAAAAAACTCCTTCCAGTAGCACCTTAGTGACCAACTCAGTTTGTTACTGGTATGAGCTTATGGTCTTAAGTACATCATATTAAGTCCCCACCAGATATAGTACTGCACTTTGTTTTGTATTTTTATTGTCTCTGCTGTATTGATTTGTTTGATTTATTCACTAAAACCTTTAAAAAAAAAGGAGAATGGAATGCCACACAGACAGAGGCTCGAAGGTGAGGTATTTCACCAAGGAGGCAATAGGAAATGGGTTAGCAGCAAAGGGGATCAAAATGAAACCACGGGCAAGATCCTAGCTGCCTGCTGAGTGAGGAGACAGGGAGGAGGCGAGGCGATGGCATATGCACTGAGGACCAGCTCCGAGGGCCTTCTGGCGGTTCCCTTCCTGCGAGAAGCAAAGCTACAGGGAACTAGGCAGAGGGCCTTCTCGGTGGTGGCACCGGCCCTGTGGAACGCCCTCCCATCAGCTGTCAAAGAGAAGAACAACTACTTGACATTTAGAAGACATCTGAAGGCAGCCCTGTTTAGGGAAGCTTTTAATGTTTAACAGACCACTGTATTTTAATACTTTGTTGGAAGCCGCCCAGAGTGGCTGGGGAAGCCCAGCCAGATGGGTGGGGTATAAATAATAAATTATTACAGTGGTACCTCTGGTTACGTACTTAATTCGTTCCGGAGGTCCGTACTTAACCTGAAACTGTTCTTAACCTGAAGCACCACTTTAGCTAATGGGGCCTCCTGCTGCTGCCGCGCCGCCGGAGCACGATTTCTGTTCTCATCCTGAAGCAAAGTTCTTAACCTGAAGCACTATTTCTGGGTCAGCGGAGTCTGTAACCTGAAGCGTATGTAACCTGAAGCGTATGTAACCCGATGTACCACTGTATTATTATTATTATTATTATTATTATTATTATTATCCTTCTCAGCAGAAACAGAGGCCTCACCTCTTTTTCCAGCTCCTTGATTCTGTTGTTCAGCTGCTTCACTTTGGTTTTCTCCTTCTCAACCTCCGCAGTCATGTGCCGGTTCTGCTTCGCCAATTCCACTATTTTTGTGGCCGCCACGTCTCCCGGGACGCCCGAGGTCCCTACGGAAAGAAGCAGCGACAGTGGGCTATGCAATGGCCTTGGAGGCCAGATCCGCTAGCCCTGTGGATCCTGCCGCCTGAGGCAGTCACCTCACTTTGTCTCATGGGTGGGCCCGGCCCTGGTAGAAGGCAAGGGAGCCTGCAAATAGATCGTACAGACAATGGCAGGGGTATGCAAAGCATTTCCATTTACCCAGCAGCGCCAGCCTCTCTTCCTCAATCTTCTTGTGCAGCTGCTTGATTTCAAAGTCCCGCTCCTTGAGCACCTTATGCAGCCTGCCGTTTTCATCTACAGTCTCTCGAAGCTGCTGCTGGAGCTGGTCATTTTCATTTTCAAGTAACCTGGGGAGGGTGGGGAGGAGAAAATACAGAACAGCTATTGGGGCAGATAGGAAGCCCAGAGCACTTTTTCTTTAGATGTCCCTTTTATGAAGAGGCACTATAATGGTATGGGGTTGCTCGTGTGTAAGTTGCCGCCTCTCCTGGCTATGTTGCCTTGTTAAACCTTTCTGTCTGGACAGCCCTTCAATTCGTGGCTGCCTCAGTCGCTAGCAGAATCCGTCAGTGGGCGTTTCTTAAACCTTTTCCAACATAAAGTTGTTTGACACCCAGTCTCCTCCTACTTTCTGCGCGGAAGTCTTCTGCGCAGGGAGGGCGTGGTAGCGGAGGACCAGTGCTCTCCCCGCTGGTGTCCAGTGAAGAGTCTAGGAGCCCTCTGCCGATTCCCCATCTGCCCCTCCTTAGTCCTGGTGTTGCACTGAATTGCTTCCCCATCTGCTGAGCTGCCTCTCTCCCTGCTGGGCCCTTCTCCAGCATCATTAGAGAGCCTCCCCTCCACCTCTAGCTCCGATGTCAGTTCCCTGACAGGCACGTAGTGAGACCATTGAACACCCTTCAGAAACTGGGTTTTGCCCCTCAAGCCCTTCTAAGTCTGGGGTTGGGCCAGGCAAAAGCTACAGTCAGGCAAAGAATCATAGACACCGAAAGACAACAGGACTGCCCAAGGTGCCCCGACTATAAAACTGGAGAAATCGAGAGAGAGATATAGCCACACCGGCAGCATATCTCTTCTTTCTCGTATCCAAAAATGCAAGAAGGGCCTTTACACTCGCCAGAAGCTTGGCTCTGCCCTCGCCGGTCCTGGAAGGATCCTTTTAAAAAGTCCCATATGCTCAGAGACTTTGCACCTGTTCACTGGGGGAGATAGGAAGCCCAGAGCAGTTGTTCTTTAGATGTCCCTTTTATGAAGAGGCACGTAGTGAGACCATTGATCCCCTGCTGGTGAGGCTTGCTGACCTCCCGGAAAAGCAAAAATTTGACCTTTTCCTGTTAGGCAAAGATCGTAAGACGACCCGGATGGTCGCCAGATTCTGTGTACAGATCTGTAGGCGCAGACCATCCCCTGACCCAAACTAGTTCGTTAAGAAAATCCCCAGACTCAGTTCCATGGGTGACTCTGGGTCATCTCTCTGCGGCAGCTTATCTTAAAGTTTTAAGTGTCTATACGCTTATCGCATTTATAAATTTTAAATTTAGTGATGGACTTTTTGGAGCTGGCCGACCTGGTCACGCAAGAATCTGTGGCCAGAAAAAAGAGGAGACACAAGAGGACTGGAATAAATTTAAAGAATATTTAGCTAAATATTGTAATATACGATAAAGAGTAATAAATAGGTTTAGGGGTAGATTAAGAATATGTTGTTAATAAAGATTAAGGATTAGAATATTAATAAATGAGAAAAGGTTAGAAAATGAAAGAAGTTAATACTATTAGAAATACGAATTTGGATAACTGCTAAACAGGTGATATAATGACATTCAGTTAGAGGGGATTTGAGGAAGTGTGTTATCAATGTAATGAAATTAGGGATTGGAAGTAATATTGTTTATGTCTTTTTATTTATTTTTGTGTTTTGTAACGTTTTTCTTTTTTCTTTTTTCTGTGATAAATGTGAAAACCAATAAAAAAATTTGGGGAAAAATATATAAATTTTAAATTTATTGTTGTACTGTGGTACCTCGGGTTACATACACTTCAGGTTACATACGCTTCAGGTTACAGACTCCGCTAACCCAGAAATAGTGCTTCAGGTTAAGAACTTTGCTTCAGGATGAGAACAGAAATCGTGCTCCGGCAGCGCGGCAGCAGCAGGAGGCCCCATTAGCTAAAGTGGTGCTTCAGGTTAAGAACAGTTTCAGGTTAAGAACGGACCTCCGGAATGAATTAAGTACTTAACCCGAGGTACCACTGTACATTGTTTTAAATGTTTGTTTTCCTTCTGGGATTGTACCCCCAAGTGTGTTTTATAAGCTGGTCTCCGACCGGAATAAATTATCTATCTATCTATCTATCTATCTATCTATCTATCACGGCCTAGGACCCTCGTACCTACAGGACCGCCTCTCCTGGTATGCCCCACGGAGAGCCTCAAGGTCCATAAATAACAACACCCTAGTGGTCCCAGGCCCTAAGGAAGTTAGATTGGCTTCAACCAGAGCCAGGGCCTTTTCAGTGATGGCCCCGGCCTGGTGGAACGCTCTGTCTCATGAGACCAGGGCCCTGCGGGATCTGATTTCTTTCCGCAGGGCCTGTAAGACAGAGTTGTTCCGCCTGGCCTTTGGCATGGAGCCAATTTGATTCCCTCCCTCCCTCTCTTTCTTTTTTCTTTTCCTTCTCATCCAGCGATGAGGCTACATTTTAATATTTTAATGTTCCATTATTTTAATGTTGTATTTTATTTTTATTTTTAAGTTGTAATCATTCATCTTGTTTTTATTATTGCTTGTAAGCCGCTCTGAACCTGGCCTTGGCTGGGGAGGGCGGGGTATAAATAAAATATTATTATTATTATTATTATTATTATTATTATTATTATTATCATCATCTATCGATCTATCTATCAGAACAGTTATAAACTATGTCCCAGACAGAGAAAAACACTTGAGGAAAGGCAGGAAGCAGGACTGGTGGGTTGGTGTGGTCTGGGAAGAGTCCGAAGGCTGGGTAGAGGGGCCTGGAGGGACAGTCCTGGGGCTCCCTGCTCTAGCTCCACAGCAGAGAGATAAGAAGGTCAGCTCAAGAGGTTTAACGTACAAGGATATTCTGGGAAGCTGGAGGTTCCCCATTCTATGTGTTTTAACCCCATGCAACCATTCTTCTGCAAGCTGAGTTGCACCCAAACGTCCAGCGCATCCTTTGACATTTCCCTGATGAATACCTTTTGCTAATGTCCTCCTTAGACATCTCACTGCCCACGGTGTATAAGCCGAGATCATCTTGGACCCCAAAGGCTTCCTCTGGACTGCCCTTTTCACTTTGTTTCACGCTCTGTTGTTGTTTTTCTTTCTTCTTCTCCATCAGGTTCTGCATCCTCTTCTGCTGCTGTTCCTGGAGAGCCTTAAGCTGCATTCTTAAATTTTCGTTCACTTCCTCATCCGGCTCCATTATGCACTCTTGAAAGGAAAACAAAGAGAAAAAAATAAAAAATCAGAATGCTCTCAAGAACGGTTCCAAGACAGCTAATAATAATAATAATAATAATAATTTATTATTTATACCCCGCCCATCTGGCTGGGCTTCCCCAGCCACTCTGGGCGGCTTCCAAAAAAATATTAAAATACTGTAACACATCAAACATTAAAATCTTCCCTAAACAGGGCTGCCTTCAGATGTCTTCTAAAAGTTTGGTAGTTGTTGTTCTCTTTGACACCTGATGGGAGGGCGTTCCACAGGGCGGGTGCCACCACCGAGAAGGCCCTCTGCCTGGTTTCCTGTAACTTGGCTTCTCGCAGTGAGGGAACCGCCAGAAGGCCCTCGGCGCTGGACCTCAGCGTCCGGGTAGAACAATGGGGGTGAAGATGCTCCTTCAGATATACTGGACCGAGGCCGTTTAGGGCTTTCAAGGTCAGCACCAACACTTTGAATTGTGCTCGGAAACGTACTGGGAGCCAATGTAGGTCTTTCAAGACCGGTGTTATATGGTCTCGGCGGCCGCTCCCAGTCCCCAGTCTAGCTGCCGCATTCTGGATTAGTTGTAGTTTCCGGGTCACCTTCAAAGGTAGCCCCACATAGAGCGCATTGCAGTAGTCCAAGTGGGAGATAACTAGAGCATGCACCATTCTGGCGAGACAATGTGCAGGCAGGTAGGGTCTCAGTCTGCGTACCAAGTGGAGCTGGTAAACAGCTGCCCTGGACACAGATTTGACCTGTGCCTCCATGGACAGCTGTGAGTCCAAAGTGACTCCCAGGCTGCGCACCTGGTCCTTCAGCTCTCTCCATAACCACGGTGCCCCCTCTGAATGCCCTTCTTATTGTGCACTCATGATGAATTGTGTTCATGGTGGTATCAGGGGGGGTTATACACAATTGCATTTTCAATAATATTTGTGCCTGCAAAGATTTTTGGGGTGGATATATTGTTTCATTTCCAATTAGCGCATGTCTTTGTTTCTACACAATGTCACACAACATCCTGCTGAAGTTCTGTAACCTTTTATAATGCTAATGTTTCAGTTTATTTTTTTGTCCCACTTTTGTTGCCCAATAGTGCAAGAATAACCCTCCAGATGGAAATAATGCAATAAACTGGGGAAGCATCACACAACAGCTAATAAAACAAAATACTGGTGGTCTTAATATTTCCTATTTGCACAGTAATTCATTTTGCTACAGTAGATACCTATAATAATAATAATTATTATTATTATTATACCCCACCCTCCCTGGCCAGAGCCGGGCTCAGGGCGGCTAACACCAGTAAAATTACAATAAAAACATAATAGGGGGGAACAAACAACAGCCAATTTATTAAAATGCAGATTAAAATGCAATTTAAAATGCAGCCTCATTTTAATAGTAGCCCATAGATCAAAGCCATACGGGGAGGGAAACATAAGGGTCAGACTGAGTCCAAACCAAAGACCAGGCGGAACAGCTCTGTCTTGCAGGCCCTGCGGAAATATGTTTATTATTTATTAAATTATTATTATTATTATTATTATTGTTATTGTTATTAGTTTGCGCCCCTCAGCTCAGCGCACTGTGAGGGGAAACCTCTTGCACCACTCTAAATCTAATGCTGACAGCATGAAAAGGAAGGTGTGGCCCCTGACTCTCTTCTGCCATCTGCATCCTTACATTCACACATGCATGCCTGTTCTTATTCAGGGGTTTCACTTCTGAGAGAAGGCAACTGAAGCCTAGAGAACTCAAAGGTGCGATGTTTGTGTCTCACACACATCTAATGACTTTTAGAAGACATCTGAAGGCAGCCCTGTTTAGGGAAGCTTATAATGTTTAATAGACTATTGTATTTTAATATTCTGTTGAAAGCCGCCCAGAGTGGCTGGGGAAACCCAGCCAGATGGGAGGAGTATAAATAAATAAATTATTATTATTATTATTATTATTATTATTAATGAAAAGTCACACCCACCCACTGATGCCTTAGGCGGGAGGGGGGTGAGTAAGGCTTTATCCCTGGTAAAAGTGAGTGGGTACAACTGAACCAGCTTTGAGACCAGCAAGCATGTGAAAAGGATCTAGGAGTCTTGGTTGACCACAAACTTGACATGAGCCAACAGTGTGACGCGGCAGCTAAAAAAGCCAATGCAATTCTGGGCTGCATCAATAGGAGTATAGCATCTAGATCAAGGGAAGTAATAGTGCCATGGTTTCTGCTCTGGTCAGACCTCACCTGGAGTACTGTGCCCAGTTCTAGGCACCACAGTTCAAGAAGGACACTGACAAACTGGAACGTGTCCAGAGGAGGGCAACCAAAATGGTCAAAGGCCTGGAAACGATGCCTTATGAGGAACGGCTAAGAGAGCTGGGCATGTTTAGCCTGGAGAAGAGGAGGTTAAGGGGTGATATGATAGCCATGTTCAAATATATAAACGGATGTCACATAGAGGAGGGAGAAAGGTTGTTTTCTGCTGCTCCAGAGAAGCAGACACGGAGCAATGGATCCAAAGTACAAGAAAGAAGATTCCACCTAAACATTAGGAAGAACTTCCTGACAGTAAGAGCTGTTCGACAGTGGAATTTGCTGCCAAGGAGTGTGGTGGAGTCTCCTTCTTTGGAGGTCTTTAAGCAGAGGCTTGACAACCATATGTCAGGAGTGCTCTGATGGTGTTTCCTGCTTGGCAGGGGGTTGGACTCGATGGCCCTTGTGGTCTCTTCCAACTCTATGATTCTATGAAATATGTAATTCCCCCTTCCTATAACCATATTTATATGTTCCCAATAGGAGGAGGGAGAATTCAAATGGGGAGGGGAAGAAACAGGCATAGCTCCCTGGGCACCACGCGCCTTTTCTTTTCTTTTTAACCATGTTTATCAATTTTGAACAACAAGCATTCATAGGATTAGTTCCCGCCCCCCATCCCACCCTTACAAAATTTAAACACAGTCCATCAACACACACAGAGAAAGTTAAGGCCACTTTAAATCACATGTAAAAGTGTATCAATCTGTAAGATTTTGGGCAGTTTATAAGCATGCTTCCTCCCCGCCCCCTTCTTTTGAGGCATATGAAATAAAATTAAGCCACGTATTTATTAAATAACTAAATAAATTTTTATTTATACCCCGCCCTTCTGGCTTCAGAAAACTGGGCTCAGGGCGGCTAACAACAAATTGAAAACACTTAACTGATGCAACAAAAAAACAGCATAAAATATAGCATAAAACATGTCACTGAGCTGCTTCTGCTACCTTCCCTCGTGGGTTTTCTCCTCCATTAAGATCAGGTTCCCATTCATAGATTTAATAATAATAATAATAATGATAATTTTTATTTATACCCTGCCCTCCCCAGCCAAGGCCGGGCTCAGGGCGGCTAACAAGCAATAATAAAAACAAGTTGAATGAATACAACTTAGAAACAAGATTAGAATACAACATTAAAATATTGAAACATTAAAATATTAATATTTGTGTCCCTTTATGGCATAGCTGTCAACTTTTCCCTTTTCTTGCGAGGAATCCTATTGGGAATAAGGGAATTTCCTTTTTTTTAAAAAGGGAAACGTTGACAGCTATGCTTTATGCCTTTTTTATTTTATTTTTTGGGAGGGGGGTGTCATAGACATTTGTTGGGTGGGGCAGAAAAGCATCTCTCTCTCTCTCTCTCTCTCTCTCTCTCTCCTTCCCCCTTTATTAGTACCATGCATTTGTAAGTTGGAGGGGCACCCAAAGTCATCTAGTCCAGCCCCCTAGGAGGCTGCCAGGCTCCCCGGGAAATTTCCACACACCCACCCCGGCCAGTCCTCACCTCTTTCCGGGCCTAGGGCCGGGTCTCCCCACGCAACCCCCTTCCTGGGGGCAGAGGAAGGCTACGCGAGTCCCGGGCCTGGAAGGCGGCAGGGCCGGACTAGGCCGCAAGCCCGCCCTCGGAGTCCCAGAGCGGGACGCGGTTGCCTCGGCAACCGTTGCCATGGCAGCATCCTCCGGGCTCCGCTCAGGGAGAAAGGATGCGATGGATCAGCGAGGCAGCGGTGCGCAGTTTAACCCTTCAACGTCCAAATTCCAAATAAAAATTAAATAAAAAAGGAGGGGTGCCCAAAAGTTGCGACGCTGCTCGGGGTTTCTAAAGAGATAACGTAATTTAGGTTCGCTTGGGAAGCGAAATGTGTGTAAAATGGCACAGAAATAGTTAAAAATAAATAAATTGCCAAATACCAACGCATTCCAAAAAGACTGGAGATCACACGTTTCGAAAGAAATCTTAATCAGAGCAGGCTTCGCTTTTCTATACAAGAATTAAGAAAAGGTTTTTTAAAAAAGCAAAAAAAAAAGCAAAAAATAAATAAATGGGGGAAATGCAGAGAATACTTCACAAAACGGTGCCCTAAAATACACGCCTGGACTTGTTTCGATTAACGTCTGCAGGAGACTTGGTGGATATTTAAGTTATAATTGGAACAAAATCTTAATTATTATTAGGAAACAGTTTATAAGGAGTAAATAAGGAGGCCAGATACAGGGTAAAAGGAAGTCTTTTATTTGGTTGTTTGTATTGTTAGGTTCACTGTATGTTATGTTCACGTTTAATGAGGGTGGATTTGTTTATGTTATGTTGTAAATAAAATTCCAAAAAAAATTTAAAAAGGAAGAAAAAAGACTGGTGTAAATTTATACAGTATTTGAAGGACCATTGTAAGCAATTGACAACGCCAGCAGGGTTGTCAGAAGACTTGTAATGATAATTGTTACTACCTTTTTATATTTATTTAAAAGTTGTGATATTCTGAAGGAGTGAAACGTCAAATGGAAAATATATAAATGCTATGATGTAAAAAATTAACTTTGAAAACAATGAGGCGGGAGGGAGGGAAGTTGACAGGAAAGTCATACGAGGAAACGAAGAAAGGTGGACAATAAGAATGTGTTTAATTATTATAAAATGGAAATCTAATAAAAAATATTATAAAAAATAAATGAAAACAATTGCCAAGTACTTGTGTACTATATTAGTGATATTATCTTTTATTGCTCATTATCATTATTATTATTTAGCATTACCTGACATATTCAGGTGAAGTTTTCAGTTTTCCAAGAGCAGTTTATGCACTTTTTTGGAGTCGTCGTCCCCCGCCAAGCTAAATGTTGTCCAATGGCATATTTGCATTCCTCACACCCCAAAACGTATTTTTAAGACCCCTCACTGAATAAATTTGCAAAATTAAGTTTCGGGAAGCTTTTAATGTTTGATGTATTATAGTATTTTAATATTCTTTTGGAAGCCACCCAGAGTGGCCGGGGAAGCCCAGCCAAATGGGCGGGGTATAAATAATAAATTATTATTATTATTATTATTATTATTATTATTATTTCACCCCCTAAAATGACAGGCCATACTGAAGGAGGGTTTGCGGGGTGGGGGGAGCCTTTGCACAGGAGGAAAACTGAGGCTAGGATGTTGGGGGGGCATTGTTGCTGTTGTTTTTATATTATTATTTATTAAATTTGGATACCGCCCTTCATTCATGGATCTGAGGGCAGTTCACAGCACAAAATCACAAAATCAGTAACACAAAATCAATAACAAAAAAATAACCCCCTTTTTCGTACCTTTATTTTAGAACTTGAGTGGGGATTTGAACCCTAGTCTCCTGCGTCCTGCAAGTATTCCTGACTACTACATCCCTCTCTTGCAACTTAAGGGCTGAGTCTCTACCCATTCTCTCCATGTTATGCAAAATTTAATAAATTTATTTCATGTTTCCTCTTACTTGCCTTTTCTCCAAACTAGTAAGTCCCAAAGCAACCTTTCTTTCCAGGGGGGTTGCTCTGTTCCCTTGATTATTTTGGTGGCTCTTTTCTTAACTTTCACTGACACAGCAACATCTGTTTTGAGGTGATAAAACCAGCTAATAGTGATAACAGAGGTTGTTGTTTTTCCCCAGTCAATGGTGTATAAATTATATGAAATAAAAATAAGTATTTGCAAACAGCTTCAGCCGTAGTACTTCAATTAATCCCACATTTTCATGCATACATACATTTGTATACTGCCTTTACACAGCTGAAGCCGTGCTCAAGGCAGCTTACGACAGGGAGAAAACCTAACCGCAACATAACAAAAGTAGTTATAAACAGGGAATAAAATATTGAAACACAACCAACTTGCCTAGCCTACCTCACAAGGTTGTCGTTGTTAGAATTCCTGCTCCATGATTGCAGTCGTGGGGTTGTTGTCTTTCACATGACGGTATGTGTTTTGACTCCACAGAGTGGGAAGTGACGGAGACAGGATTTTGTGTTACTGTTTCCGTGAAGTGGGACTGTTGTCCTTAGTTTTTCCTCTTTGCTGTTTGATGCTAGAGAGGGAGCCATGTTGCAGTGCTCCGTGTGCCGCTGTGATGTTCGGGCTGAAGAAAGCTTATGAAGCTCCCGATTGACCAGTAGGGAACATGCCAGTCGGGCATGTGTCTCTGCCAGGGTCCTACTCGAGCGTAGGCTGAACTCCTGACAGTGACATGTTACGGAACCCATCACTGGGCACCCACAGCAAGGGGCCATGTCGGCCTCCCTCCCTGTCGAGCTCCTTGGAGGAAAAGGTGGGATGGAATAACAGTAGAAAATTTGTCCTATCGGTTCTCCCCAGATCTAGCATCTATAGCCCTAAACATGAGTTTGGCAGGGACTTACTTGCCCCACTTGTGGAGTGACTGAGACAAACCCTTGATCCCTTCATGTAAGCAAAGTTCCAAACATTTGGGGGATGTTAATCTGCCTTTTTCAGTATGTGCTTTACAATTAATACTAATACCAATCAACCTTAGTTAATCTATGCCAACACCAACTACGGGAAATGCATTTCTTATGGAAAACTCAAGGCTGAGGTTTTGTGTCATTGCTTTGTTGCTGTCCGGCTCAGGAATCCTTGATGCGCATGTTTTAATAAAGTAAACAGACCTCCTGCTTTATCAAAACCTACCCTCCTGTTCTAGCTAGAGAACAGGATGCATTCCATAACTCTGGGCCCCCACAGATCTGCCTATTTTCTTTTCTACTTCCGCTCACAAGGGCAGGCAAGTATGCCACAGAACAACACAAAAGACAAAATAACAGACTACACAGATGTGGCTTGTGGGAGAGTACAATTGTTCTCATGTACATATATTTCATAAAACCAGTCACTGAATTAGATTTACACTGCATTATTTAACATCACTCAGAACATGATGATATAATCAAGGAATGCAGGCTGCCTGGCAGAAATTTTACAGACCTGAAATTCCATTTCAGCCACAGCTGTTAAGTCCCATCTATTAGTGGTAAGCAACAGGATGACGACTGAGTGTTTCGTGAATTTTTTTGGGGGGGTATAATCAGCATCACCTGGCCGCTAACAAATACATTTTTTTAAAAAAACCAACTTCTTGAAGGGCAAGCAATCTCCCCAACTTCATGCTGAAACACTGAGTGAGCCAGTTCAAGGTTCTGCATGGTGAGTATTCTTGACATTGTCTTCTCCTACAGCTTTGAGCTGGCGAGGAAGACAGGGGGCTGGCTTCAACACTGAGGTTTGGGGTGATGTGACAATCAAGACCTCACCTGCTCAAGGGGAGGATCAGTTGGTGGCAACAGCATCATTTTGGCTAGCTACTGGGAGCTGGCACAACCAAATCTATGAATCCCCTGCCCAGGAGATCTTGTTTCAGCATTCCACGTTTTCCATCAAATGTTGAGAACCGTGGTCTGTTTTTGATTTGGCCCCGTTATTTCACTGCAAGGGTTTTCCATATGGGGCCCCCACCCTGTGCAAACAAGCCTCTTTAAAATATATGCAATACAAAGTGTGTAATTAGTATTATTATTTTTAAAAAAGAATTCAAGAAACTACAATCCCCTCCAGTGAAAATAAGTGAGTTTTAGAATTTAATATTGTGTAATAAATAAAAGACAGCAAATAATTTAATCTATGGTAAGAGTTCCTTGTCCACAACATTTGTTCCAAGGGAGTTTAAAGAATTCAGTGAGAGAGTTAGATTTTGTGTTCTGTTAAACCCTGTACACCTCTACCAACATTGTCTCGCTTGATTATTTCGCAAAGTAAAGGAAGAGTTTCTGAAGAGGAAATTCTGGACCTCTAAGTCGCAGAGTGCCTAAGTGCCAGGGATGCATAGCGATAAAGGGCTGGATGCTATTTTTTTAAAAAAGTATCAGCTGATGGTGTCACTCAAGCCAGAGAGAAGAACAGGTTTGAAGTCACTGACAACTTAATGTAGAGCAACACTGGCAGCGTAGAGGTTAACACCGTGCGTGACGTGGACAGAGTTACAGAGCCGCTCCCTTGTGCTTGTTATCACTGCAGAGCCATTTCCATGTGAGGTCTATCGCTAGAGAGTACATAAGAACACCAGCACACACAGGTTTCAACTGATGGCTTGCTAGGGCTTGGGCTTGGGCTTGGCCCAGTATTCTTGATACATGGAATAAAGGACACCTGGAAGAAGAAAAGAAAAAGAGGGTTAAGAGTTCATAGAATCATAGAGTTCGAAGGGAGCCTGATACAGGAATCTCAGCTGAAGCAGCCATGGCAGATGGCCACCCAACCTCTGCTTAAAAACCTCCAAGGAAGGAGAGTCCACAATCTCCAGAGGGAGACTGTTCCACTGTCAACCAGCTGTTACTGTCAGAAAGTTTTTCCTGATCTTTAGTCTAGATCTCCTTTTTCGTAACTTGAAGCCTTCGGTTTGAGTCCTACCTTCCGGAGCAGGAGAAAACAAGCTCAAAGCTATCTTTCTTTTGCTGGAAATCCTTTTTTCTTTCTTTTTGTCTTTTGGAATATTTTATTAGTTGAATATAAGAACAACATATAATCAAATAGGTAAAGGGACCCCTGACCATTAGGTCCAGTCATGGCCGACTCTGTGGTTGCAGTGCTCATCTTGCTTTACTGGCTGAGAGATCCGGCGTTTGTCCGCTTCTGCAGACAGTTTTTCCAGGTCATGTGGCCAGCATGACTAAGCCGCTTCTGGCGAACCAGAGCAGCGCACAGAAACACCGTTTACCTTCCTGCCGGAATGGTACCTATTGATCTACTTGCACTTTGACGTGCTTTCGAACTACTAGGTTGGCAGGAGCAGGGACCGAGCAACGGGAGCTCACCCCGTCGCGGGGATTCAAACCGCCGACCTTCTGATCGGCAAGTCTAGGGTCTGTGGTTTAACCCACAGCGCCACCCGCGTCCCATATAATCAAATACAAGCAATCAAATACAGTTTTCCCCTAACCCCGCCCCCAAACAGCCCAAACTACGTTCAGGTAATTACATTAGTAATATAGTCAAATAAAAAATTATTTCTACAGTTGCTGGTTTAAAAAAATAGCATTCCACATGCTCCCATGTGTCTTAGGTGGTTTAAATGCATGTTCTTTCTTTGATGCATATGTAATAAAGGAGGACCACGTTATGTAAAGTTTTTGTAGTTTCTCACGTTGTTTTCTTTCGCGTCCAGCATACTCCTCTCACAGCGTCCCAGCAGATGTCTGTGGAAAATCTGCAAGTAGGAGTCAAGCCCAAGAGCCCTCTCTCCTCCTGTGGTTTTCAGTAACTGAAGCCAAGTAGTCTTCAATAGTCCTCTTCTCCACAAAACAGTGGACCTCACAACCTAGCAGGCCTATGCCGCCCTACCAAGGAAGTCAGATTTAACATAGTGTGTTCCATTACATGTTCTTACTATGTGAGACCGACATCTTCTTGTAGAGTAAATCAACAGGGTGTGTGTCAAGGTATCTGCCAGGGATCAGTTTAGCTGTTTCTTGTTTAAGCACCTCATCTATTATATCTCTGCAACCTTCTTTGAAGTGAAGGACGTGAGGCAGGAATTGGTAATGCAGGTGAGCTGTGCACAGACAAGCTGCCAGCTAGTTCTGCCAAGGCTCGTTTTTTAGCACAATATGCAAAACGAGTCAGATACATTTTGGACTGTGCCCTTTACATCTTCCAATCACGCGATGGTGGGGTGGTACAAAGTTATTTTGGCACCTGTTTCCACTGCATCATTTTCCCCTTGAACAATGTATGACGGAGACAAAGGTCAAAGACAGACCACAGAGAAAGCCAAAGGTCAGATAGAGGGCATGATGTTCAGACAGCTGTGGCTTGTCTGCGGGTAGAAGTGGTCTCCACACCCGGCGGTCATTCCTTCACTTCTATCTATTAAGACATACAGTGGTACCTCTGGATGCAAACGGGATCCGTTCCGGAGCCCCGTTCACATCCTGAGCAGAACGCAACCTGCGTCTGTGCATGTGCATGTGCGGGTCGCGATTCGCCACTTCTGTGCATGATGTCATTTTGAGCGGCTGCGCATGCATGAGCGGCGAAACCCGGAAGTAACGTGCTCCATTACTTCCGGGTTGCCGCGGAGTGCAACCCGAAAGCGCGCAACCTGAAGGTATGACTGTACATAGACTCTGCCTAACTATGCAATCAAGGGGGATGTTTGTCGTGCTGGCCAATGGAGGCAGAGTTAAGATTTAGGAACTGAAGGATTCTTAGATCCTTCAGAGCCCTCCATCATGCCCATGAAAAACACCTGCCCAGGCTGCACACAAAGCAGTAAGAGATCCACTTCCATACTAGGAGGGAGAGGAACTCACGGAAGCACATATATCCTGATCAGTGACCCGAGTGATGCACCATCTGATTATCAGGGCTCTTGTGGCTTCCTTTAGGATCACAGAAAACAGAGTGCCCAAGCCAGGACCATCCCAAATCAAGACACCCTCTCTCAGGGACCTTGGCAAACTGAAAGGTTTGGAGGGAAAGACGACTTGCCGCGTACCTTAACAAGACACAAGACTTTCTGGTTTTGGTACGTACCGCAGGTCATGGCCCCCACAACGAAGCCCTGTGCTGCCACACGCATATGAATCAGATGAACGGACATTTTGGTGTCCCCTCTGTGCTTCAGCTTGTAGAGCCCATAGGCCACCACGGCTGCAAAACCTGAAATGCCTGGAGAATAGGGGAAGGAAGAGTCAGAAGTGTCCTATGAATTCTATATTTCTTGTATGGCAGTGCAGCCAGCCACTGCAGCACCCTCAACAGAACTCTTGATTAAAGTGGCTGGGGCTGACGACAAATAGTAGTGCTTGGGATCCCAAAAGTTGCTGAGGTTCATGGAAGATGTCTGCACTGAACATCTCTTTCCCTCACTCCTCTATACAGTGTCACAAACTGCTTTTGAAATGCCTTTCAGTTTCAAAAGCAGCTTATTACGTAGCACAAGGCATGTGGAGTCTCAGGGCCACAGGCCAATCTTGACTCATTAGGCCATTTCCCCAAAGCATATTTATCACACTGCCCACTATATACAGAGGTGATTTTTAAATCCCTTGCTTGTCCAGGAAAGGTGTCTCTCCCCGGTGGAGAGGGTTTTCTGGCTGATCAGTGACGCTAATGCTCCAGTGACACTTACAATGTGGCCGACTTTGTGCTGGTGGCAAGAAAGATCAGTAAGAAGAACCTGGACAAAATTGCACTAAGCTGCAAGGGAGATTCAGAGGTCTAAATAGGAAAATATTGTATGCCGTGTGGAGTCCCCAATCTATGGGTGCGCCTGCATTTTATGATTTTCATGGTTCAGGCAGTGGCTGTTTTTTATATACAGTTATATAGTTATATAGATACTTCTCTGATAGTGTTTTTATGGTTTCCCCATGGTCTTTGGCTAGTACAATAAAGCTTATTTACTGACCCAAAGCATGGCAACCCCACATTTGATGTCCCATGTGACTCCGCCTTCCTGGAACAAGCAGGCTTCACATTAGGTGTGGGGCAAGAACTGACGTGGCTTTAAAGGAATGATCAGGAGCTTGCAGTGAGCTCTCGATTGTTCCTTGGCTAGGCCAAGAGGCACATGGGAGCATAAAACTGTTGTTAAAATGGAGGGTGTGTGTTAGTTTAGGAGCCATTTCAACTGAAACCACTTCCTCTTACCATTGAGAAACCTGTTTCTGGAGCTTTAAAAGCTGTGTGGCACACTTTGCAAAAGGGTTTTCAAACAACCCGACGATGCGCTCTGAAGTCCCAATAGATGGGCTTCAAAATGCAGCGTCGCGAGACAGCATAGCACAGTGGTACCTCTAGATGTGAACAGGATCCGTTCTGGAGCCCTGTTCGCATCTAGAAGCAAATGTAACCTGTGTCCGCACATCACGTTTTGGTGCTTCTGCGCATGCGTGTGACGTCATTTTGAGCGTCTGTGCATGCGCAAGCGGCGAAACCCGGAAGTAACGCGCTCCGTCACTTCCGGGTTGCTGCGGAGCGCAACTCCAATGCGCTCATCCTGAAGCACATTCAACCCAAGGCATGACTGTATTGTGAGTGACAAGTATGTGGCCCTGCCAATTTGTCCAACCAGGGGGTGGGGAGATAAGGATCAGGTCCACCAGTCAGAAAACGTTAAAGTATCCCCCACAAGGATGTAACACCAAGGTCTGCCATCTGAAAAAAATCAAGACTAAAGCCCATCCCACTCTACTCTACTGGTGACGGAATTAGATGGTTCTTTGGATTCTGGCCAAAGTTTAAGGACACCAGTGAAACTTGACTCATTAGAGACTACCGTAACTACTTCCATGAACAGTGTGCCTTGATATTAAGCAGGATATAGAGTCAGATCTGGCTTGAAAAGACTTTACCAATGCTCCATAATCAGTTAGGCTGTGTATCTACAGCAGTGACCACAGGAGGGATAATGACTTGGAGGAGAGCTGTGGTGAATCTGCAGCAGAAAAACCGGACGCCTTCATCTGCCCCAGCTGCAGCAAAACATGTCTCTCCCATATCAGTCCCTACAGCCACAGCAGGCACTGTGACTCTCCAACGGTTTGACTTCACCTCCGACGGCACACTCTTCCACTGGCTCCTGAGACAGACGGATGCCAGCCATTTCTAGGTGCAGTGTCAGTCCCCAATTTTTAAGGCATCGAGGATCAGGGTGGGGTGGGCTTGTACCAAAGCCATTTGAAAATCAAGGAAAGGGCCAATTTAAAACAAGTGAGTCACTGACAATTGTAGAAATGCGACCACTAAATCATGTTAAATCCACAGCTATATGAGAGAGTTATATACATCAGTATGCACCGACTTTTTGCCCTATAGACATTTAGGACTGTACCTCCTATATTCCCAACCAAAACACGAAGAGGGCAATTGTGTATCTCAAAAAAATGGTAATTGCAAGTGTCAGAGGGGCTTACCAATTGGGACAAATGGAGACTCCCGGGATTTTCTTATTAGTTTTGAGGTTTGGCTGTCGTCTGTCTCATAGGTAGGGAGTGGACTTTCTGAATTGGATGCCATGATAACTTCAAGGAAAGAAGTGAACACACATTTAAAAACAACAACAACAACAACAACTGATTCATGCCCTAACTCAATTTTTCCTTTAAGAGGATATTGACTTTTGAATTTGCTATAATAAATTTTAAGCAGAGGCTTGACAACCATATGTCAGGAGTGCTCTGATGGTGTTTCCTGCTTGGCAGGGGGTTGGACTCGATGGCCCTTGTGGTCTCTTCCAACTCTATGGTTCTATGAAATTACATATAAACACGTAACACTGTCGTTCAAATATCAGATATACAGTCAAACCTCAAATATCAGTCAAACCTCAAATATCAGATATACAGTCAAACCTCAGCTCCCAAATGCCTCCGTTTTGGAACATTTTGGTACCCAAACGCCAGAAACCCAGAAGGAAGTGTTCCAGTTTTCGAATGTTTTTTGGAAGCCAAACCTCCGAAGCTACTGCAACCAGTCAGAAGCCGTGCCTCAGCTGTCGAACATTTCAGAAGCCGAATGGGCTTCGGGAAGGGATTACATCTGACAACCGAGGTTTGACTGTATGCAAGAACAGAAACATTTTATTTACTTTATTATTTAACAACATGTCCAGCTTGATAGTAACAAAACAACAACCCTCAAGTGGTTTACAAGAGGAGTAAAACAATATAGATATTTTTTATAAAGACAACAATTCAAAACATTTTTAAAACAGTACAATTGGCCAGAAGCAAAAAACACTCATCAGTATTCTACAAATTTGGCTAAGTTTGTCCAAACAAAAATGGTTTATAGAAGGCACTACAAATAATACAGTAAAAGCACCCAGCCAACATCTACAGGCAAGGAGTTTCAAAGCATGGGTAATGCCATACTAAATGATCCCTTTCTTACGAATTAAACAAGGATTATGTGACACCTATTAACAGTGCCAATCTCGCAGATCGAAGCAGTCACGGCAGCACATATGTATGCGGTAAGGTGATCTCCCAGGTTAAGTTATCAATACTAACCATCCAACAAAGGTTATAGTTTAAAGACAAGGCAAAAGCACTGAAGTTGGCCACAGAATCGTAGACTTGGAAGGAACCACGAGGGTCATCTAGTCCAGCCGCCTGCAATGCAAGAATCTCTTGCCCAACATGGGGTTCAAACCTATGATCCTAAGATTAATAGTCTTATGCCCTACCAACTAAGCTACACACTATGGCACCAGGAGAGCTGAGGGCCAGATGGGAGTGGCTGGAGGGCCTCATCCTGGTCTTCAGTTCCCCAGACCCACTGGCCTTTAATCTGAATTCAGCCTGATCTTTTATTTCCATTCTCTTCCCTCCCCCTCCCCTTTTATGAAGATCACCCGCTCTGAGACCCCACAGCTAATTCTCCCCTGGCCTCCTCTCTGGCCCAAGTAGGACAAATTCAGCCAGCTAGCCCTGGTGATTATCTAATGCTTATTAGATGGATTTCCCCTAAATTGATTTCTGAATTTTATTGTTGTTCATGTCTTTATACTGCGTTTTTATGCTGCTTCTACAAATGGGTGTTTTAAATTTGTTGTTAGCCGCCCTGAGCCCGGTTTTCTGAACCAGGAATGGTGGGGTATAAATAAAAAAATATTATTTTTTAATTTTTAAAGGGAAGATTAATTTAACCCAGGCATAGGCAAACTCAGCCCACCAGCTGTTTTGGGACTACAGCTCCCATCATCCCTGACCACTGGTCCTGTTAGCTAGGGATGATGGGAGTTGTAGTCCCAAAACAGCTGGAGGGCCCAGTTTGCCTATGCCTGATTTAACCACTCCTTTCCCAATACACATGGGTGAGTTATGTCCCTGGACTATGGGGGAAAGTTTGGAAGGTAGGTACTTGCAGAGCCCACCCTCCTTCTGTATCCAGTCACACAACACTGGATCCATACTTCTAGCTGCCTGATTCTTCCAGACCCTTCCCCAGTTATCACGGAAGAGCCAATTCTCTTACTATTTTGAAGAAATGGCTACCTTATCGCATACCAGGCCACCTTATCTCAGTCTGTACTCTCATACAGAGAAAGCCTGCATAGCTCCAGCTGCTTGCCCTTGAATATATTCAAAAGTATCTGCCTACTGTGTCTCTGCAGAACATTTTGCTCTGAGCTTGACCCCCACAATCTGCAAGGTTGCGGGGAGGGAAGCAAGAAATATCCGCTGCCCTTTTTGCCCCTGGAGCAATCAGTCGCTCCCAACAGAGACAGCAGAATTATTTGACCCCCAAGGACTCGGTTCATTGATGCAGGAACACCAGAGTTACAAAGGCAGGTTAAAGATTCACTGCTTAAGAGGGAGTCTGCATTTGAGGGATATCAGTCAGTCACACCACCAGGTTTCATCCAGGAAAAAAGTCTCCCTTACCAGAAGTCTTACACCAGGGGTCAGCAACTTAGGGCCCATGGGGGTCTTTAACCGGCCCATGGACCCCCGCCGCCCGCTTGGTCAGCTCCCGTGCGCCGCACTGAACCGGCGTGGAGCAGAGTAGGGACCGCCTTCCGCGACTCTGGCCAGCTTCCCATTGGTGGCAGGAAGCTCCTGCAGCCAATAGGAAGCTGCACACGCCTCCTCCGCGAAGGAAACAGCGTTTGCGCATGCGTGCATGCGCACGCATTCCGGCCCACCCGGTCTGCGGGACCGTGAACCGGCCCAAGCCACAAAAACTTTGCCAACCCCATCTTAGGGTAAGGGGTACCCCTGACCATTAGGTCCAGTCGTGACTGACTCTGGGGTTGCGGTGCCCATCTCGCTTTATTTGCCGAGGGAGCCAGCGTACAGCTTCTGGGTCATGTGGCCAGCATGACTAAGCCGCTTCTGGCGAACCAGAGCAACGCACGGAAACACCGTTTACCTTCCCACCGGAGCGGTACCTATTTATCTACTTGCACTTTGACGTCCTTTCGAACTGCTAGGTTGGCAGGAGCAGGGACCGAGCAACAGTAGCTCACCCCGTTGCGGGGATTCGAACCACCGACCTTCTGATTGGTAAGTCCTAGGCTCTGTGGTTTAACCCACAGCGCCACCCGCGTCCTGACCCCATCTTACACCAACTTTAAATAAGCTTTTGTTGCTACATACAGGGTTTCCCCCACTACTTCTTCTGAGGACACAAAGTTCCCATTGCCTTCAGTTGTTTTAGCAGTCCATCCTGTTTGCGTCACCTGCCCCCATAATCTTTGCTCCAGTTGCATCAGAACTTCACTGCATGCTGCCTTCCGGATGTGCGTGTCTCCAATTGCATCATCACAGAAATGCCGGCTTTCCTGGCTATACAAACTGCAAGTCTCTGCTCTGCAACTTGCCAGCTACTCCCAGAACCACGTGCCTAGACTCATTTTACAGTAGCAGTGACTTTAGCACCTTCAGTCACTCCCATTTCCTCCTCCAGCACTTCACTTCTTTTCCCAATTCCTTCCTTTCTACTGCCCCTAATGAAGAGCTTGGGGGAATGAGAGTCATTTTAAAGGAGGAGTCCTTTATTTTTTTCAATGTGGTGTATATGTCTCAGACAAGATCCTTAAGAATCTACCCTTTAAAGTATCCCTCGATTGAGAATTTGTAGGTGGTTATGGCAGGGAGATTACTCCCTAAACTATAATGTCTCAAGCAATTCTTCATTCAACCTCCTGTAAGAGGAAACAATGAGTGGTTTCGGAAATAAGATGCCAGAAAGAATTTCCAGACACCAAAGCTATTGCTTATTGAAGACTATAAAATTATTAGTATTAATTGAAAGCATTAGTTGCCCTTTTTGCCACAGCAACTCAAAGAAACACACATTACAACATTCCACCCGCTCTAAAAGGACATGGATTGTTAAAAGCAAAAGCCCTCGTTAAAATGGGATTTTTTTTGCCTAAATTATCTTGAAGTCACAATTGTATCACTGGCTGTCCGGCATTTAGGAAGGGTCCAGAGGGGGGAAAGGATAAACGGGACTTTACAAAGCGTTGCTCCACGATGGGTGGCTATCAACTCCAGCCCCCCCAAAACCTACAATTTCAGTTAATATTTAAATCTTAGAATAGCTTTGGAAGTGGATTTAGGCTGTAGGGTTAGAAGTAGAAGATAGTGTATTTTAAAACAGTCTTATTTGCAAGTGATAAAATGTGAAGATTTTTATGGTTAAAGTAAGCGTGATTAAAAAAATGGTTAGAAATTATGATATATGTAAACTGCTAAAGATGAGGTAAAATGAAAATCAGATAGGGGGGACTTGGGGAAGCCCACCTAACAATGTTTAGAAAAAATAAGGACAAGACAAGAATTTGTTTGTATTGTTTGTTTTTCCTGTTTGTGTTGTTTTATTTGTGTTATAAAATGAATAATTTTTTTTTTGGGGGGGGGAATCTACAATTTCAGAAACTCTGGGGCCTCCCACCCACCCCTTCCCTTTCTCAGCAGTGACTCCAGAACTCCAGCATGTGGTTGCGGTTAAAGGGCTGGACTGGGGGGGGGGGGCAGCCATGGGTTCGACTCCTGCCTGGCCCTGAAGCTCCAAGGGTGACCTTGGCCTCTCTTTGAGCCTCCTGGCCTACCTGGCAGGGTCGTTTTGCAGGAAGCAAAATGGGGAAGCTAAACCACCTGTGGTGGGGGAGAGAAGGCAAGGCATGTATTTCAATTGTGTATTTTAATCTCCACCCCCATTGTTCTGCTATCGGGAACCAGGCAGAGGGCCTTCTCGGTGGTGGCACCTGCCCTGTGGAACGCCCTCCCACCAGATGTCAAAGAGAACAACAACTACCAAACTTTTAGAAGACATCTGAAGGCAGCCTTGTTTAGGGAAGCTTTTAATGTTTGATGTATTACAGTGTTTTAATATTTTTTTGGAAGCCGCCCAGAGTGGCTGGGGAAGCCCAGCCAGATGGGCGGGGTATAAATAAATTATCATCATCATCATCATCATCTTGTTTTTAAGTTGTATTTCAATCAATTGTTTTTATACCTGGTGTTAGCTGCCCTGAGCCTGGTCTTGGCTAGGGAGAGAGGGGTATAAATAAAATTTTATTATTATTATTATTGAGGGGAGAGAGGAGTATAAATAAAACTTATTATTATTATTATTATTATTGAGGGGAGAGAGGGTATAAATAAAACTTATTATTATTATTATTATTGAGGGGAGAGAGGGGTATAAATAAAACTTATTATTATTATTATTATTATTGAGGGGAGAGAGGAGTATAAATAAAACTTATTATTATTATTATTATTATTATTATTATTATTATAGAGGGGAGAGAGGGGTATAAATAAAACTTATTATTATTATTACTATTATTGAGGGGAGAGAGGGGTATAAATACAATTTTATTATTATTATAGAACAGCCAAAGGAAACTTTGCAAAAATAAAGTTTCACCCAGTCAGTCAGATTAAAACCTTTTTATTATTATTCAAGCAGGCTCCCCCTCCCCCAGAAGAAAGGCCTCCTTCAACAGGCCCCCTCCCCGAAAACAAACCCCCCTAGCGAGGCCCCAGCCCCTCACCTGACCCCGAAGGAGACCCTGCAACTCACGTGCGTCACAGCCGCCTCCCAACCGGCTTTCTGCCGAGCTCGACCGCTGCGCATGCGCCTGCCTTCCACTTCGCCCCGCCCCTTCCGGCCCTGGCGCCGGGAAGACCGCAACTCCCAGAAAGCACCGCGCCGCCCCGAGTTTCCCCATTGGTGCACGTGACCCGGATGGGCCTCCCGGTGTCGCAACTGGCCGCCTTTTCCCTCTCCGAGCTTGGGTTTAAGTGTCAATCACCGTATCCCGCGGCCAATCACCGGGAAGAAGGGCGGTTACGCAAGGCCGGCGCGGGTTTCTTAATGGAAGGGGAGTGAAGGGCAAAGGGAGGGGCTTCCTCTCCACTCCCCCCTCCCTCCCTTGAGAAGAGGAGGGGGGCAGTGCGGTGCAGTGGTTAGAGTTAGCATGAAGCTCGCAGGGCGACCATTGGGCTGATATCTCTTTCTCTCTCTGGCCTACCTTTGTTAATTTATTCATTAAATTTTATTCATTTTAATTTATTCATTTTAGAATGTTGGATTATTTTGATTGTTGTTAGCCGCCCTGAGCCCAGCTTCGGCTGGGGAGGGCGGGATATAAATTAAAAAAAAATTTATTATTATTATTATTATTATTAAAGGGAGGGGCTCCCTCTCCACTCCCCCCTCCCTCCCTTAAGAAGAGGGGGCTTGCTCTGCAGGGTGTTGCAGGAATTTATGTATAGGGGGCGTTGCCCCTCCAGCAGATTTCATGCACATGCAGCCCTTCTTGCGTATCCAACATAGCGGTCCGTTTGGAGGTTGGGCAAATTCCTATCAGTACTCGGATATGGATATTGAAGATCCATTATTGGCTAAAGCTTATTTTCCTTTTTTTTTTTTTAAGGTATTTATTAAAGTTTCAAGAAATACCAAAAAAAAAATACAGAGTACAAAAAAAGAAGAATAACGTTTTTAAAATATAACGAAAAAAATAAAGAATAAAAAGAAAACATACAGAATAAAACAGTTAAAAAGACATTAATTTTCCAAACCTATCTTCCCTACACTTATTTCCCCGGACCTCCTCATACCTCCCTTTTTTGTATTCCAGTTCAGTTTGTTAGTTCAGCAAATCCTTACCATTAAACTTTTACCCAATTGTTAACCTTTTTTCATATCTCTTAAAGCATTACAGCTAAAAACCTCTTAGTTTCTATCCAACATCCTTCTAAGATTCCTTAATTTTGCAATATTGCTGTAAATAGTCTTTAAATTTCTTCCAGCTAAAGCTTATTTTCTTCCCGGTTGGGCTGGCACCTTTAACCTTATTGGATACCTACCAATCCAAATGGAAAGCTATACTGCTGGAAAAGCTTAAAGGCTTGGGGATCCCACAGCAGACCCTGATAGCGACAGGCTTCGAGAAAGCTAGGACTACAATTCGCCAGCGTATCTGGGACGTAGAATTACAATGCCACATGAGCGAAATGATCAAACATCCAGCAATAAGGGACCATGGGAGAGGTTTCTCTCCAGCTAACTATCTGTCAGGTCTTCAGGTACCCAAATACAGACGGTCTTTTACCCTCACGGTCTTTTACCCTCGCCAGATTCAACGTTCTCCCTTCTGCCTTACTTCAGGGCAGATTTGAGGGTAAACCATACACAGCACGGGTTTGCCCCTGTGGCTCGTTGGAAGTTGAAACGGCTTCACATGTACTATTACGTTGTTGTTTCTATGAGGATATACGTTTGACTTTTATTACACCTGTTTTGCAAAAGTCCAGGAAAGAATCGGAACACCATAGTTTAAAATTACTGTTAGAGGACAAGAATCCCAAGACTACATTAAATGTAGCCAAATTCTGTGCGTCTGCAATTAATCGCAGGAAGCAAGTGGTATCCCATAATGACCAAACCCCCAAATGTTAATTATAGGGGGCACGCTAATAATTAACTTTAATTTTTTATATTTAAATCCTTGTTATATTTATATTGTCCTCTGTATTTCTGATATATATATATATATTTATGATCTGTGATATTGTGTGTGTTGACGCTGGTCTGTGACCGTATTAATAAATTCATTCATTCATTCACATGCAGCCCAATACCAAAATCAGCACAATCACTTTTGTGACTTGTCCCCACAAAACACCCCATCACAGTTTGTTCCTATCTATTCAAAGCGCCTTTGCTGCACGATACCAAATGTAAGAATTCGCTGATAAATGTATCACTGGCTCACTGGGAAAACTTCGGATAAATGGCTCACTGGGAAAACTTCGGAAATTCATATAGACAGGTGAGCTCAGCTCCTCAGCAGCCCCTCTGCCTGAGTGATAATCCCTGGCATCCTGATACCTGAGTGCCAGACAGGTAGCCATTCCAGAAACAACAAACCCAGATGAAGACAAAAGGGTGTGATTAACTTGGCTGGGAAACAGGGAAATGTAAATATATTTTTTGTTACACTTGATGGGTGTTTGGTGGAGGGCAAGGGGAACCATGGGGCAGGGTCCAGGATGCTCAGATTACTGCTACCAGACCTCCCCTTTCATGATGTAACCATGATGTATGAGTGATGTAGTTGGGGGGGGGGTAACATGGGGATTAGCAGCTAATAAAAGTTTGGGTTCTCTTTTGTCTGGGGCTTCCATCTTGTTCTACCTTGTAGCAGGTGGGAGTCCTGTTGCGACAGTCTTCAATAAAGACCAAGCCTACTGGCTGCTGTTTTGCTCTGGTACTCCTGGCTGGTGTCCTTGTTTTTTGTCCAAGGGAGCCCTCAGATTTCTCCGTTAACAAGGGGCAGTGCGGTGCAATGCTTAGCGTGGCCGCCTAGGGCCTGGGAAGAAACCCAGCGTCACTCATGAAGTCCCCAGGGTGACCTTGAGCTGGTTACATGCATTCTCTCTCTCTCTCTCTCTCTCTCTCTCTCTCTCTCATTCTAATCTACCTCGCAGGGTTGTTGTTTGTTTATTAAATTTGTTTTTGTTTTATCATGTATTTTGTGTTCTCGTTTTGTAATGTACTTTTCTGGCGTGAACTGCTCCAATATCTTCAAACGAAGGAGTTTGCGTGAGGGGGTTATTGGCAAATTGGGTTTGCTTGTTATGTTATGCATTCTGTATTTTTATGTGACGGATAAATTAGGGCGGTATATAAATGTAATAAATGTCTTGAGGTCCTGGGCTGCCCAGATGAGACTATTGCACCCCAAAAAGAGGCAGCCTGTGCAAAAGATCCACAGGAGGGAGCGTCTCTCTGTCTTTCCCCCTCCCTGCAAAATCCACACACCCCCTCCAAGTTGGGGCTGCAAAACTAAGTGCACCAGAGGCATTTGTAAAGATTTAAAAAAAACAAAACAGGGCGATCCCTTTCCCCACCTGCTTACAGTCAACAATGGGAAAGGGAGAGAACAGGGAAACAAGGAAATTGTGGCAATATCTCTTCATAAAGTGCCATGAACGATTAACCCAAGCCATGTCCAAAGTCCATTTTGGGGGCCTAATCCAGCCCCTGTGGCAGTTTATTTCCTGGGGTACTCAACAACTTTGGGATAAAATCCTAAAAAAGGTGAGCAACTTTGATTGGCCCTTTGGTTGTCCCCCACGGCCCTTCACTTTGCAAAAAAAATGCACACCACTGGAACCATTTGGTGAAGGTGGAAAGCCCCTGAGGGAATCAGTTCTGGCAGAAGAGGAGCCAAAATGCCTAACCTCTCCCTCAGTTTCTAATTCCAGATAGGTGTGTCGTGCAATGAGGTAGAAGCACCAATGCAAATAAACTTGCGTGATAAGGCGAAAACCAGTGTGAATGATGAGTATGTTGTAGTTTTGTCGTTTTATATCCTTTCAATCGATTGATTGTACTGTGAGGGGTTTTTTAATTTTTTATTTCACATTGACATGCTCTTCCTTCGCCATTTCCCCCGTCTTTGGGCCCAAAAGCAGTATAGAAATAAACCACATCATAATACATGCTGTAATTTGTCTGCTGAGTGGAGCTGAGAAAGAGGTTCTGGTCTAATACCCCCCGTGATCTCTTCCTTGAAATCGGAAACTGAGTTGTTGTTTTTTTACATGGTTTGATTTTTTTAACAGAACAGTCCAGCTATCAAAAACATAACATACATCTTAATTTTATATCTTCACTAACATCTTAATCTCCAGAGTAATTATGCATTATTATTATTTTTATTTTTATTGATATAACAATGTTACCGGAAAAATCCGAGGGCTCCCTTGGACAAAACAAAGACACCAACCAGGATAACTTGGAGCAAATCAGCAGCCTGTAGGCTTGGCCTTTATTGAACTGTTGCAACAGGGTGTTCCCCTCACTTGCAGGAGAGAGGAAAAGACACAGAAAAATGGTGTGCAAGACCTTATAAAAACTTTTGAAATTCCCATCCTGTAGGTCAAGCCCACCCCCAGAAACATCATGCATACATTACAGAAAGGAGGGGTTGAGGGAGGAGTTGTGGTGGTAACCTGAGTGTCCTGTCACCTGGCTGGTTCCTCCTTTCCCCCTCCCCATGAGTCACTTCCAGGAGACAAAGGGGAGTTGGCAGTTTCCTGCCCCCAGAGGGAAGATCTGATCATTGTCCTTTGTTCCAGTCCATGCTGAATCCACTCCCATATGCAAGTTCTTTGTGATCTTGATTGTCTTCTGTCTAGGACCATCAGGGTTGGCATAGCAACTGGGCAGGGCTCCTGTGGATGTGCTGGGCTGGCCTGTATCAAACCTTCCCCATTTTGTAGTCCTTCCTTCATGGAGTAAAATAAAAGTGGGACAGTGCAAATCCGATGTATGGTTGATTTTCTATGAATTTATAACAGAAGCGTAGCGTATGTAGTGTGTGAGTGTGTGTGTGTGTGAAGTTTGTACAAACTGAATGATGGGGGCGGTTTCCTGCTACAACAAGGAAAAAAACCACAAATACCAAATTACACACAGGAATAACCATAGATACATAATTTTCTTAACAATCGATAAAACATATATTGGTCTTAACACTAAAGACCCCAACCTCCTGTCTATTCCATATTTCAATTTCCTATTACTTATTGCCAATACACACTTTTATCATAATTAAACTTTTTCTTAATATATCTAATTTCTTATATCTACCTTGCAACTATTACTGAAGTTCCTCGAATGCTGCAACAGAATTTAAACTACTATATTTCTTTTTCAAATATTCTTTGAAAACCTCCCATTTTGAAACAAATTCCTGTTTTGATTTAGTCTTTATTTTTTCTGATAGCCCATCTAATTCGGCATATTCTGTCAGCTTTTGGATCCAATCTTGAATAGAGGGGAATTCATTAAATTATGCATTGTATGAACAAAAGTTCAAAACAAAAACAATCAAACAGAATTAAAAGAACACACCTGCAGCCACTCAGCCGAAAATGGAAACTGAGTCGTCCATCAACAAGATATTGCCTTCGCTTGTGTATTTTTCTTCCTCCCTCTCTGGATAACACCAGGCAAACATATGGAGGGTAAGGGGAACTACAACCCCCAGCATGCATCTGGGCTGCTGTCAGAATGGCTTGCTCAGCCATGCTAGCACTGAGCATGAGCAAGTTTGTGTCCTGCTGGGGATCTGTGGCTGCTGAAAAAGCAAGGACTGTAAACCGGGGAGCGCATGCAAGGACCCCCAGTTGCATGCACCTGCCTTTTCCTGCATGAGCAAAACCAAGACAGGCAGAGGGGACCCTTTTGCTTTGATTCCTGCAAGCTTCTGCGCTGAAAAAGTTGCACAGAGAATGCGCTTCTGAAGCCAGGAGAAGAGGACTGCTGCAGTGCCCTAAAGGTAAAGGGACCCCTGACCATTAGGTCCAGTCGTGGCCGACTCTGGGGTTGCGGCGCTCATCTCGATTTACTGTCCGAAGGAGCCGGCATCCAGCTTCCGGGACATGTGGCCAGCATGACTAAGCCGCTTCTGGCGAACCAGAGCAGCGCACGGTAACACCGCTTACCTTCCCGCTGGAGTGGTGCCTATTTATCTACTTGCACTGGTGTGCTTTCGAACTGCTAGGTGGGCAGGAGCAGGGACCAAGCAATGGGAGTTCACCCTGTCGCGGGGATTTGAAGCACCAATCTTATGATCAGCAAGTCCTAGGCTCTGTGGTTTAACCCACAGTGCCACCCGCGTCCCCTGCTGCAGTGCCCTAAAGGTAAAGGGACCCCTGACCATTAGGTCCAGTCGTGACCGACTCTGGGGTTGCAGCGCTCATCTTGCTTTATTAGCCGAGGGAGCCAGCGTACAGCTTCTGGGTCATGTGGCCAGCATGACTAAGCTGCTTCTGGAGAACCAGAGCAGCGCACGGAAACGCCATTTACCTTCCCGCTGGAGTGGTACCTATTTATCTACTTGCACTTTGACGTGCTTTCAAACTGCTAGGTTGCCCAGCAAAAACAGCAACATCTTCCATGTCAGGCGAAGGGAGAGGCTTGGCATCTAGCTGGTAGAGGGGGTTACAGGTTTCGGGGGCAGCCAGTGGCAACGGGATCGCTTGCCTGATCAACGCCACTTATGCCAGAGTTCTGGAATCGAACGCTTATCTCTAGACTGTCATTCTGGACATGCAAATAAATCCTCCTCTGTTCTTATTAAGCTGTTGTTTTGATGGCATTACGAAGCAGCCGGGGATTGCAAGATCCTGATTTGAGTGCAAAATCCTGATTGATTGATTTTTTTGGAAAGAGAGAGATCTACAGTGCTTGCTACGCTCCGGTATTGCATCTGGGCTAGATGAGCTGTGCAGGAAATAGCACAGTTTACGTGGTAAGTGTTTCACGAAGGATAAATGCACAATTGATCACGGCAGGAGTGGGAATGGGATAAGTTTTAGGGGGCTGCTGAATTATAAAAGGGTTCCTTTTCTCTCTGATAGATGGATTTTACCTGTCGTGCATAGAAACGTCAGTGTTTGAGAACTGCTCCTGAAACAGGGAAGGAAAATTAGTATGCATATCTTAACACCGGTAGGGTTTCTTCCTTCCTTCACTGAATCTGAAATTTGACTTGGCTCTTAACACCCAGTCCTTTTAAATGGGTAAAATATGGTCTAAATCTGTGTATATTGCAGTATTTTCCAGGTAGTGGTGATAATAATAATAATAATAATAATAATAATAATAATAATAATGAATTTATTATTTACACCCCACCCATCTGGCTGGGTCCCCCCAGCCACTCTGGGCGGCTTCCAACAAAACACTAAAATACAATAACCTATTAAACATTAAAAGCAAATATGGGATGTTGTGGTTGTTGTTTAGTTGTTTAGTCGTGTCCGCCTCTTCGTGACCCCCTGGACCAGAGCACGCCAGGCACTCCTGTCTTCCGCTGCCTCCCGCAGTTCGGTCAAACTCATGCTGGTAGCTTCGAGAATACTGTCCAACCATCTCGTCCTCTGTCATCCCCTTCTCCTTGTGCCCTCCATCTTTCCCAACATCAGGGTCTTTTCCAGGGAGTCTTCTCTTCTCATGAGGTGGCCCAAGTCTTGGAGCCTCAGCTTCAGGATCTGTCCTTCCAGTGAGCACTCAGGGCTGATTTCCCTAAGAATGGATAGGTCTGATCTTCTTGCAGTCCATGGGACTCTCAAGAGTCTCCTCCAGCACCAAAATATGGGATAAACGGTAACAAATATCTACTTAAGAGATATACAGCCTATAACTAGCCACTAGGGACCACTGCTTTCCTATTTTTTAAACCATTGCATCCTCTGAACACCCTAAGCCTGTGGACAGATACAGATGGGCATGTAGCTATGTCTGTGCATAGTATTTGTGTACGTATGCAAGATGTTGGGATTCCGATATGCTGTCATTTACAGCACACCCCTCATAATGTCACTGTGAAGTAATGAAATAAAAAACACACATCTGTATTTATTGTCCTGTATGACTTCTGGCTGTTTGGGATGGCTATAGCAGCATACATTCTGTACGCAAATATTCCAGATTCAGTCCATGACATCTTTAGGTGGGGTTCAGAAAGACCCTTGTCTGAAACAAGATTTGAATGTTTCCCCATCTGAAATGTTAAATGGAAGTGGCTGGCGTCCCAGGATGTTGAATGCATGAAACACATCTTATTATACTGTAGTCTCTATAAACAGGTTAAAAAGGTAAAGGGACCCCTGACCATTAGGTTTAGTTGTGGCCGACTCTGGGGTTGCGGCGCTCATCTCGCTTTATTGGCCGAGGGAGCTGGCGTGCAGCTTCCGGGTCATGTGGCCAGCATGACTAAGTCCCTTCTGGGAAACCAGAGCAGCGCACGGAAACGCCGTTTACCTTCCCGCCGGAGCGGTACCTATTTATCTACTTGCACTTTGACGTGCTTTCGAACTGCTAGGTTGGCAGGAGCAGGGACCGAGCAACGGGAGCTCACCCTGTCGCGGGGATTCGAACCACCGACCTTCTGATTGGCAAGTCCTAGGCTCTGTGGTTTAACCCACAGCGCCACCCGCCTACAGGTTAGACAGCACCTAATCAAACTAATATTAATAGAAAAACATGGAATTGCTGACTCCTTTTACGTTAAGGTTCTGCTTGAGGATAAGATACATACTATTACACTGGCTGTAGCAAAATTCCTCTCACTAAGAATAAGAAATCAGTATGTAGCAGTGAGAATGTTAATAGCCAATAATTGGAAAGGAAATTACGTTCCAACCAAAGAAGAATGGCTGAATAAATAAAGCAAACCCCTCTGACATGAATTTATATCTCCTCGCAGACATAGATAAGTATGTGACCTGGCGTGTACCACTCTTTGCAACTGCCGCTAGGAAAATTATATAGCCAAGATAGCCACCAAATGTAAAGGAGATGAATTTATTTGACCCTATCTACATCAAGGTATAGTCTATCTTTATCACCAAACTCCAAATATAATTGCACATTGTATTAATTAACATTATTTTTTAAGATATTATTGGCCATGTGGTGATTTTAGCCTATAAATTTTATTGTTTAATGTCTTAACCTGTATATTAAGGTATTTTTATAGCTCCGTTTAGAGTAGGTAATGTCTTGATAATGTAAATGTTTTAAGTTTTTTTGTATTCATCCAGCGTATTTTCTTTTAATTGTTGAATGATTCTGTGTACATTGTGGGCCTTTGGCTATGTGCAATAAAACTGACTGACTGACTGACTACAGGAACATTACAAAACTTGAATTTTATTTTTCTCTGTCTTTCTCTCTCTCCTCCCTCTTATTTTAGATCTCGTTCCACAATGTTGAAGAGCACTGATGATGCCTCCCTCTTCCTTTGGGTCCGCCACCTGCCCGCCTGATAAGACTTGGCTCCAGAATGAACATAGCGTCCGTGTTTAATGCCTTGCTAGTGTGCATCCTTGCGGCTGTGCTGTGGAAATACGTCAAGCTGCAAGACCACGTCTCCGTCTTGGAAGAGGAGTTGCTCCTCACTCGCCAGACGCAACAGCTCTCTCAGGTCCGCATTGACTACCAGGCTGCTCTTCAAGACCTGCTGCAAGATGGCACCAGGATGGTGTGCGCCGGCAAGATCCACACGGATCGGATCTGCCGCTTTGAATCCCTCTGCTATTCCACAGAGGCGGAAGAATTCATCTTCTTCCACAGCAACTCCTCGGTCATGCTCCCCAACTTGGGCTCCAGGAGATTCCAGCCTGCCCTACTTGATCTCTCCTCGGTGGAAGACCACAACACACAGTACTTCAACTTCGTGGAACTGCCAGCCGCGTCCCTTAAATTTATGCCAAAGCCAGTGTTTGTCCCTGACGTGGCCCTGATCCTGAACCGATTCAACCCGGACAACCTGATGCATGTTTTTCACGATGATCTCCTCCCGATCTTCTACACCATGCAGCAGTTCCCAGATTTGAACCAGGAGGCCAGATTGTTTTTCATGGAAGGCTTTAGTGAAGGCTTGCATTTTGAGCTGTACAAACTGTTGAGCAGCAAGCAGCCGCTGTTAAGAGAGCAGCTTAAGACTCTGGGCCGCCTTCTCTGCTTCACCAGGTCGTACGTGGGACTGTCCAAAATCACCACGTGGTACCAGTACGGGTTTGTCCAGCCGCAGGGGCCGAAAGCCAACATCCTGGTCTCCGGGAACGAGATCCGCCAGTTTGCCAAATTCATGACAGAGAGGTTCAATGTAAGCTTGGAAGGGACACCCAGCGAAGAATATATTGTGGTATTCAGCCGAACCATAAACAGGATAATCCTCAACGAGGCGGAACTCATTCTGACGCTCGCCCAGGAATTCCAGATGAAAACCATTACCGTTTCCATCGAAGACCACGCATTCTCGGATATCGTGCGCCTGATCAGCAACGCCTCCATGCTAGTCAGCATGCACGGAGCGCAGCTCGCAATGTCCCTCTTCCTTCCCAGGGGAGCCACTGTGGTGGAGCTTTTCCCGTACGCCATAAACCCTGAGCACTACACACCTTACAAAACGTTGTGTGCCCTTCCTGGCATGGACCTCCAGTACGTCGCCTGGCAGAACACCGAGAAGGAGAACACGGTCGCTTACCCAGACAGGCCCTGGGATCAAGGAGGAATCGCCCACTTAGACAAGGCGGAGCAGGACCGTATCTTGGCAAGCAGCGAGGTTCCCCGACACCTCTGCTGCCGGAACCCGGAGTGGCTTTTCCGCATCTACCAGGACACGGAAGTCAACATTGCTTCCCTGATCCAGGCGGTCAGGCAGACTGTGAAGACGAAGCCTGGGCCTAAGAGGCAGGCATGGACCAATGGCAAAGGCATCTACCCGGGCAAAGTCAGAGGTGCCAAGTGCCAGACCTCCGTCCAGGGCGCCAGCGAAGCCAAACTCTCTGTGTCCTGGCAAATCCCTTGGAACCTGAAGTACCTGAAGGTCAGGGAAGTGAAATACGAAGTGTGGATACAGGAGCAAGGGGAAAACACGTACGTGCCTTACACCTTGTCCCATCAGAACCACACCTTTTCGGACAACATCAAGCCCTTCACAAACTACCTAGTGTGGATCCGCTGCATTTTCAACAAGAATCTCCTCGGGCCCTTTGCAGACGTGCTGTTGTGTAGCACATAATCACCACCCAGTTGCTTTTTTTTTGGGGGGGGGGAGTTGATTCCAGCAAGGGGCTTTGAAATAAGGCAGAGTGGTCCCCATATAGTCCTGTAGTTTTCCAAGCAGCTGACCAGGACTTGTAGACCACGCTAGTGCCTCTGTGTCCATTTTATTATGTTCATTATCGTGCCCGTCTCTGTGGCATTATTTCCTGTCGGTGTTTGAGTTCTCTTGGTCCTTGAAAATGAAAATGAAATGGAAGGTAGATGTCGTACCTTGACACAATAACCGGAACATCTCTCTCTTTTGTGTAGTGAATATTTTAAGCCAAGATTTCTGATGGAATTTAAGTCTCTCTTTGAATGGGCAATCTCTTTTGCGTTCTCCACTGTTCAGTTTATGTTTTATGCTTCCCTCCCCAAATATCTGTCTCCAAGAGCAACATATCTGGTACCAGAGTCCGTCATTAAATTGTTGAAAACATGTCTATAAATGTACAAAAGTATGGTTTTCCTTTCGTCTGGGGTTCTCGCCTTCCTCCTTTCTGAGATTGGTCGGAACCCCGCAGCAGCAGTCTATACCTCGTTGTCAGGGAACTGCCATCAGCTCAGAGGCGGGAGATGGAAGGGCAGTTGTGTTATAGGGAGACCCGGAAACTGCAATTAAGCCAGAATGCAGCAGCTAGACTGGTGACTGGGAGTGGCCGCCGGGACCACATAACACCGGTTCTGAGAGACCTGCATTGGCTCTCAGTACGTTTCCGAACACAGTTCAAAGTGTTGGTGTTGACCTTGAAAGCCCTAAACGGCCTCAGTCCTGTATCCCTGAAGGAGCGCCTCCACCCCCATCGTTCTGCCCAGACACTGAGGTCCAGCTCCGAGGGCCTTCTGGCGGTTCCCTCATTGTGAGAAGTGAGGTTACAGGGAACCAGACAGAGGGCCTTCTTGGTAGTGGCACCCGCCCTGTGGAACGCCCTCCCTTCAGATGTCAAGGAAATAAGCAGCTATCTTATCTTTAAAAAACATCTGAAGGCAGCCCTGTTTAGGGAAGGCAGCCCTGTTTTTAATATTTAATGCTGTATTATGTTTAACACTTGATTGGGAGCTGCCCAGAGTGGCTGGGGAAACTCACCCAGATGGGTGGGGTATAAATAATAAATTATTATTATTATTATAGGGAGCCTCTGAAAATCTTGCAAAGCAGTTCCTCTTCCAGTGAGGAGGAAAGCCCCACCTCCAGTGGAGAAGAGGGCCAGAGGATGCTAGGGAGAGCCTTAACACCGAGCCTGAGCAAACCAGAGAGGCAGGAAGCGCGCCCTTCCCAGTGCCCATTCTGCGCAGTAGTCTTCGGCGCAGGGAGGGGCGGAAAAGGCTGGGGGTGATGCGACTTTTATGCTGGGGGAGGCACAAAAACCGACCACTCCCGGATTCTGCTAGCGATTGAGCCGGGCATGAACTTACGACGCTCTTCACTGTAAATAGTTTGCACCAAGAATAAAGCCAGTAAAAGACAGGCCGGAGTTTTGCCTAGTTACTCTCGAGCAACCACAACAGCATTTGACACTCGTAGTAAAGGATTAGGCATCTCAACCGCTTTGCTCCATCATTTGCTTTGGTCAGGGCCGTCTTAAGCATATCCGGTGCCAGGGTGCAAAGCTCCCTCTGCCACCCCCACCTGTTGTCGAGGATGGCGCTGCCAGCGGGGCTGGAGGAGGCGGGCAGCAGCTGGAGGGCAGCTCCTCTGGTGGGGAAGAGGTGGAGGCTGGACGCGGCGCCTCCCGGCTCAGCTGGCCGCTTCGTGGCACGGTGGCCACGGCAGACAGAGGCTCCGGGTGCGGCGCTGCTTCGGCACGGCATGGCGGAGGCGGGCGAGGGCGGTGAGCTGATGCCAGGAGGTGCCACGTCCAGCCTCTGCCTCTTCCCTGCCACCCTCCAAAACCTGACGCCCTGGCGCCACTAGCCTCTATGGGTAAGACGGCCCTGGCTTTGGTTGTTCTGTTTTTCTCTGACCGTTGGGAGACCTAGAGATTTGCCAGACAGGCTCCTTTGCCTCCCTTAAGGGAGAGGAGCCGTTTTATTTGTCCTTCTCAGTATAAACGGTTAAAATCGTTAGTAGGATTAGAATATCACTTGTAGTTGAATGGTGAATTTTGGACACAACGGAGAGATAAAAGATTTGGATTGTCATAGAAGACACAGGAGGAAAAGAGTAACAACAGGACCCCACAAAGGGAAGGAGGAAAAGTCTGGGAGATTCCTTGGAATCTTGTTTTTATGTTGTATGTTAGATATGTGACTGTAGCACTATCTGTAGCACAATAAATAAATTTTTTAAAAGGAAGAAAAGCTTGCCCTATAGCCAATATCAAAGGCTAAAAAGAAATTGCAGTTTAGAAACTGATTACCAAGAAGTGTCCAATAATCTGACCATACTTTTGAAAAGAGAGGGGTTACCCTAGATTTACTATCGCAGCAGCCCCACTGCGAGTCTCTTTAGTGAGACGGGAAGAGTTGTTTAAACTCCAATGAAAAGACCTTTCATAGGAATCATGGGCAATTTCTCTGAAATATTCCAAATTTAGTTACGCAATAAAAAAAACTTGGTGTGATGGCCTGGGATTCGGACTCAGAGGCTGAACCTGAGGAATCCCAGCCTGCACAGGAGTCCCCGCCTCCAGAACCAGCTGAGCCGGGGCTGGGGCATGAGCCTGAAGGGTCCTCACCTGTGCTGGATCCTCAGGTGCAGGCACCAGCTGAGTCTGCTCTGGCTCCGGAGGTGATGGAGGACCCATTGCCTGCAGGTGCTCCACTCTCAGCCCCGTCAGAGGAAGCTGAGGTTGCCTCTGGGTCCGGTAACCCTCCATCCTCTCCTGAACTGCAGAGGCTCAGGGCAGAGAGGCGGAGGGAACTAAGTTCCCACAGGAGGAGTGCTCGCCTCCAGGCCAGGAGAGGCGAGTCATCAGAGGATCGGGGCCGCCCTAGGCCTCGGGGCAGGTAAAAGCCAGCCAGCCCCAGTCCCAGGTTGCGGGAGCAACATTGTTGGCAGCCTGTTCCTGCCTGAACCCTGTCCTGCTCTTCTGCCAGAGTTCCTGACCTCACCCGACTCCCTGCCTTGGACCCAGCTTCAGCTTTGACGGACAGCCTCCATACCGCACCTTCGACCTCAGACTGGATTCGGACCTCACCGCACGGTTAACCCTCGGGACCAGCACACTTATTTATAAGTTTTGGCCCATCATTGCCTCTGTTCCGGGGGTGCAAAGTACTGCTTAAAATAGGATTTATCATAAATAAAAACACTGAGGAGATATTGACTAGATCAGATATCCTCTTTCCTGACTTAAACCGATCATAGTCGGGCACTTTAAATGACTTCAGGGTGTGTGGCCTTTCATTAAATTCTAAAGAGGTTGAAATTCCCAAGAGAGAAAACCTTTCCCCTCAAACCTGTTCCACAATAAACGTGGTCTATTTATAATTAAATGTGAATTCAATAAGGCGAATGAAGGGTGTACCACTAGGAGCATGTGAGTGAGAATAATAGAGCATATTTCAAGAATTAAAGAACAGTCTTTAGAAGCCCCTTTGGTAAGGTACTTTTGGGAAAACCATGGAGGGAAGCCGGACTTCAAATTTACGGTGTTGTATAAATATATTGAATACCCTCACAGGAGAGAGAACATTCAGAAACGCCTTATGCAGACAGAAACTTGTTTTATTTTCCAATTTAAAATTTTGGAACTGTTATGGAATTGGCATGGGGGGGCACTTGTTTGAGAGCTGTTTCTTTGCTTGCCCCCTTCCACTCTCTCATAGCAGAGCAGAAAGATTCCAGAAAGCTTTCCGTCAAATTTGTACAAACACAACATACACACTTTTCTAATAAACGAAAACCCTGTCTCTTTGTCCCTATGTATATGAACTCTGTCCGTTATGATGAATGAACTTTGTATTTGCATACTACCGGCAGCTGACCAATCAGAAGCGCTGGATTTTGACAGCTAGCCAATGGGGGGGGAGGGACATTGTGGTTCCTGTTAATCAATTTTGCCTTATAAATCTCTACTCATTAAATAAAGAGTACCTAGACGGCATCTTTAAAAGCAGAGACATCACCTTTCCAACAACGGTCCGTATAGTTCAAGCTCTGGTTTTCCCAGTAGTGATGTATGGAAGTGAGAGCTGGACCATAAAGAAGGCTGATCGCCGGAGAATGGATGCTTTTGGAAAAAGTGATGCTTTTGGGAAATTTATTTAAAAATTTCAAAAAAAGAAAGAAAAAGAGAACAGTGCGAACCTCTTTCCACACTGCGAGAAGCTGATGACCAGGGCTCTGGATTGCTCACCGGGCATGTAATAACATCACCATGGGAACCCATGACGGCTGCTGAGATTAAGAGAGCCTTACCACCAGCCTCAACAGCGCCAGGACCAGACGGAATGACCGTGGAGCAGGTGAAGAAGCTGCCTCGGTATGCTGGAGAGGCAACCTGATACAGTGGTGCCCCGCAAGACAAATGCCTCGCAAGACGGAAAACCCGCTAGACGAAAGGGTTTTCCGTTTTTCAATGTGCTTCGCAGGACGAATTTCCCTATGGGCTTGCTTCGCAAGAAGAAAACGTCTTGCGAGTCTTGAGATTTTTTTCCGCTCCCCCCCCCTTTTTCTAAGCCGCTAAGCCTTTAATAGCCTTTTAGCCGCTAAGCCGCTAAGCCTTTAATAGCCGCTAAACCGCTAATAGCGCTAATCCGCTAAGCCGCTAATAGGGTTGCTTCGCAAGACGAAAAAACCGCTAGACGAAGATACTCGCGGAACGGATTAATTTTGTCTTGTGAGGCACCACTGTAATGGTATGCGGGGAATGCCCCCAGTCTTTGCTGGGGGCTCAAACAACTCTGATCGCCAGGAAGGAACACGCCCTCTTATATTATACATAATATAATATAAGAGAGAGCATAATGAAAATGGCTCATAGGTGGTACCTCACTCCTTCCAGATGACCAAGAATGTATAAAAATTTGGCGAATGCTTGTTGGCGATGTGGAGGAAATAATGGTGACATGATTCACATGTGGTGGACGTGTGAAAAGATTAAGATTTTTTGGGGGGAAATATACGATGAATTAAAAAAGATGATGGGGATAACTTTTACTAAAAAACCGGAGGCATTTCTATTAAGTATTTTAGATAAAGAGATCCCCAAAAATCTAAGAGGTATTCTTGTATGCAACCGCAGCAGCTTGAATACTTGTGGCCAAGGGATGGAAAGATCACGAGGCTCCAAAAATAACAGATTGGCAAATCAAATTACAGGAATTGGTGGAGACAGCGCAACTGACTAGGAAACTCAGAGGAAACTCAAAGCAAAAATTTGCGGGAAAATGAGATGGTTATGGAAGATATGTTCAAAAAATACAATAATAGTTTTGACTCTGTGCTAGCATTCGAGTGATAAAGAAACTAAAAGGAGGTGGATAACAATTAAGGATTTATTATGATTTCAGAATGTAGTGGAAAAATTATATAGAAAGGTTTATTGTTTCGTGTACATTCGATTGTAAGATAAAATATATGCAAAGGGACTTGACAGGAAGTCAAAGTTGAAAATATTTTGGAAGATAAAAGGGGAAAAATATTTACTTTCATTATTATCGTTTTGTGTGCGGGTGTGGGTGTGTGGGTGTGTGCACATATGTGTGTTTTTGTATGGAATGTTTGGGAGGAAATAAGACGGTAAATAACAAATAACAAACTAAACAAACTAAATATTGATGTATGTAATTTTTATTTCTTAATTATATTTAGTGGTAGTATGGTTGTATTGTTTTTTGTAACATAAAATCACTCAATAAAAATTATTTAAAAAGAAAGAAAGAAAGAACATGCCCAAGATCTGGGAGACTTCCGCCATATGACCAAATTGAAGGTTTGTTTACAGGTTGGTTGCAATACCATCAGGTGAATGATATATTGAATGATGATAAAAGGAAAACCGGGTTCAAATATTTTAAAAAATCAAGATTTCAAATAGATTTAATAGAAGGCAGAGGTAAAACATTACCCAAGATGTACGATTTGTTATTAGAACGCTTTACAAAAGATGAAGAAGTGAAAGAAGCAATGATAAAATGGGCAATAGTTTTTGGGCACAATATTGAATTGAATGCTTGGTGTAAATTATGGAATGCAAGTATAAAATGTACTGCACGTACAGCCTTAAAAGAAAATTTTATGAAGATGATTTATAGGAGGCATCTAACACCTGTAAAGTTGGCAAAAATGTATAGGATGAGGGATAACAAATGTTGGAAATGCAAGGAGGCTGATGGAGACTTTTACCACATGTGGTGGATTTGTGATAAAGTTAAGAATTTTGGGGAGATGATTTATCATGAACTTAAGAAAATATTTAAATATACCTTTCCCAAAAAATACAGAAGCCTTCTTGCTGGGTTTGATGGGGAAAGGGATTAAGAAATCGGACCAAAGACTGCTTATGTACGCCACAGCAGCGGCAAGAAACATGCTGGCCCCAAATTGGAAATTACAAGAAATTCCTACCACTGTGTAGTGGCAGACGAAAATGATGAACTATGCAGAGTTAGCCAAGCTGACAGGCAGGATTTGAGATTAGGACGATCAGAGATTCATAGAAAGTTGGAGTAAATTTACGCTGTACTTAAAGGATAATTGTTATACTTTAAAAACACTGGCAGGATTGAAATAACTCCTACAGTGCAATAGATAAGAGGTTTAGTGTTAAAATACACGATTTAAAGGAATAAGGGATACCTGTTGAAGGGAAGGAGGGAAGTCACAAGCTCGGCAGAGCTAAAAGTATATATGTGGTTTGATGTATTGTATAAAACTGTGTTGAGAAAAATAATAAAAAATTATTGATAAAAAAAATATATCTGGGAGACTTCCGCCCAATAACTGTCTCCCTGGTATTGACTAGAGTCTTCCATAAGGTCCTGGCTGCGCGATTGACTAGGGATGTCAATCTAGACCCAAGACAATGGGGCTTCCAGCAGTTCGATGGGTGTTCCAAAAACATCTTAATCCGGGATATGGTACTTCGGTATCATAAGCAACGGTCTGAACTGTTGTATATGGCCTCCCTGGATGTGGCGAAAGCATTCGACTCCGTGGCCCATAATACCATCAAGGAAACCCTTCAAATGATGGGGATCCCTGACGCGATGACATACTACATAAGTGATGTTTATGACCGGAGTACCACCATACTTTCGTGTGGTGGCGTGACCTCCCAGGAATTTCACCCCAGGTGTGGGGCGAAGCAGGGTGACCCAATGTCGCCCTGTATATTTTACATGATTATGGACCGCCTCCTTTGGAAGATACTGAAGCAGGTAGGGACTGACCTGGGAGAGGGCGTGTCAGGGAACGGCGTAGCCTTTGCTGGCGATCTGGTACTGGGGGCATCTACACCAGTAGGGCTACAAACTACCATCGACATAGTGGGTGGATATCTAGCACTATGTGGCCTCACTGTAAGCTCCGGAAAGAGCTTGACAGTATCCCTGGAGAATGTTCCCAGGGAGAATAGAACGGTGGTGAACCCGCGGCAGGTATTCACCTGTAACAGCAGACCATTGCAAGCTCTGAAGTGGTCAGACCAGTGGCGCTACCTGGACCTGCGCTACCTTCACGCCAGATAGACGAATGGCAACTCAGCCTCTAGACCATCTTAAGGAGCTACTGGACACCATTGGCAAATGTGATGGCCTGGGAATTGGATTCAGAGGCTGAACCTGAGGAATCCCAGCCTGCACAGGAGTCCCTGCCTCCAGGACCGGCTGAGCCAGGGCTGGGGCTTGAACCTGAAGGGCCCTCACCTGTGCCGGATCCTCAGGAGCAGACACCAGCTGAATCTGCTCTGGCTCCGGAGGTGATGGAGGACCCATTGCCTGCAGGTGCTCCACTCTCAGCCCCGTCAGAGGAAGCTGAGGTTGCCTCTGGGTCCGGTAACCCTCCAGCCTCTCCTGAGCTGCAGAGGCTCAGGGAAGAGACGTGGAGGGAACTAAGTTCCCGCAGGAGGAGTGCTCGTCTTAAGGCCAGGAGAGGCGAGTCACCTGTGGACTGGGGCCGCCCTATGCCTCAGAGGAGATAAAGGCCGGCCAGCCCAGTCCCAGGTTGCGGGAGCAACATCGTTGGTAACCTGTTCCTGCCGGCACCCTGACCTGCTCTCCTGAGTTCATGACCACGCCCGACTCCTCGCTTTGGACCTCGCTTCGCCCCTGACAGACAGCCTCCTTACCCTCGACCTAGGACCGGACTTAGACCACGCCGCACGGTAACACCCCTCCCCCGGGACCAGCACAGCACAGCTCCCTTGAAACCTCAGCAACCAATGTTTGGCTTTCGTTCTGTCCTCCTGCCATCACTATACCACCAGCTCTCAATGGTCTCTACCACTTTGGGGCTACTATAACTTTATGACCACTGCTCCATAGAAATTGTTGTTATACTTTACCATTCACCCTATAGATGGGTTTATGAAGCATTTCTGTATCCTTCTGCTGTGCTGAAGAAGAATTCCACAAAATAGTGGGTATATCTGGAATCACTGTTCACAACGTCTGTTTGCGAACTACTTCGGCAGCGTGGGATGCCATAAACAAAGCTGTACAGCCTGTTTTCACCAGATAAAAATCTGATACATTGCTTCTTTCAGACACTTGCATAGTCTTCAAATACCTTCAAGAGAGTTATGTTTATTTGGTTTTATGTTTTCAATAGAATCCATTAAGACTGCATATTTTGTGACTTTCAGAGATTCATAAGTTTTCTGTTTATGTGGTTTCATATATTTCATATTATATAAAGAGTGTATATTGATATCGTATCGTTGTATTTGGTCATTATGTTGCCTCGGATATTACTGACTATTGTTTGTAACATAGGGGTTAAATTGTTTGGTTAGTTGCTATACCACCAGCTCTCAATGGGCTCTACCACGGTGGGGCTACTCAACAGAGTAGACCGCTGTGTGAGGTCAGCAGTGAGAAAGTGGCTAGGTCTCCCAGATAGTACGCCTGTGGCGTATTTGCACACTAAGGTCAGCGACGGAGGCCTAGAAATTTCAGTGATGCGCCGGATGATGCCAAGACTTTGTAGGGATAAGCTCCTACGACTGCCACTATTAAGGACTATTTATGACCACTGCTCCATAGCAATTGGTGTCATACAATTCCATTCAGCACATAGATGGTTTTATGAAGCATTTCTGTATCCTTCTGCTGTGCTGAAGAAGAATTCCACGAAACAGTGGGTATATCCAGAATCACTGTTCACTACGTCTGTTTGCGGACCACTTCAGCAGCATTGGACGACATAAAACAAAGCTTTACAGCTTGTTTTCACCAGATAAGAATCTGGCCCATTGCTTCTTTCAGAGACTTGCATAATTCAGAGACTTATAAGACTTATGTTTATTTGGTTCTATGTTTTCAAGAGAATCCATCAAGAGTGCACATTTTGTGACATTCAGAAATTTAGAAGATTTCTGTTTATTTGGTTTTGCAGAGAGTGCATAGTTCATACATTTCATATTGTTCAGTGTTCTGTATTGATTATATAAAGAGTTTATATTGACATAGCATTGTTGCCTTGGATAATACTGACTATTAAGGACGGAGCAGTCTACATCTGGGACCTTTCTGAGGTGGGAGCTCTCTCTGGTAGAAAGGGAGAGGGGAAATAGCCTTTTTACATCTCAAGTTCAAGATTGTCGATGGGCCAGTCTCCTGTACCAATCGGTGGATGGTTGCGCATTGAAGGAGTCTGGAAAAACCCATAGCCAGCATAACTGGGTCTACACAAAGTTCCTGTCGGACAAGGACTATTGAAACTCCATTAGGAAGTGTATTAATGCGCTTCCTACCAGGTCCCGCTTGGCCAGGGAATGGAGAGCTATGTCATGGCGGGTGCCAGATGCCCTAAACTTTGAACCAAGTTCTCCAAGTCTGCTACAGGTCTCATGTGGCGAGACTGCATGATGCTGTAGTAAAGTACATCGCGAAAGGACTTAGGAGACAGGGGTACCATGTGGATTTGGAGCCTCACTTCAGAACATCCGACAGTTTGAGGAAACCTGATATAGTGGCGAGTATTGGACGGACCGCTTGAATTATCGACGCCCAAGTGGTGGGTGAACAGGTGCCAGAAAGTCCAATACTACGCAGGTATCAACAGTCTCCTGGAGATGGTTAAAGAGTGCTACCAAGCTCACGGCATGTATGGCATTAAGGGAAAATACGTGGAAAATGATATTTAGGTGGTACCTCACACCAGTGAAACTGGCTAAGATCTATAGGTTAAAGAACAAAAGATGTTGGAAATGTGGAGAAGTAGATGGTGACTTCTACCATATGTGGTGGTTATGCAGCAAAGTGAAAGGCTTTTGGGAATCGATTTATAACGAGCTTAAAAAATTTTTTAAATACACGTTTCCCAAAAAACCCGAAGCCTTTCTGCTAGGAATGACAGGTAAAGAAATTAAAAAAGAAGATAAGGTACTATTTTTATATGCCACAACAGCCGCAAGAATCATGTTAGCACAAAATTGGAAAACGGACGCCTTACCTAATATAAGTGATTGGCAGATTAAATTAACAAATTATGCCGAGCTCACTAGAATAACAGGAAGAATAAGAGATCAAGATGAACAGAAATTTCATGATAATTGGATTAAATATTGGATATATATTGGGACTAAACTTTAAACGACACTGGCGGGATTGGAATAACTCTAACAGTAAAAGGTTATTATGTAAAAGAGATAAAATACGTGAATATAAAGTCTATTTGATACTTACCAAAGGAGTGGAAGGAAGTTCAAGGCTTGGCAGAGCCTAAAATAAATGTATTTATGATTTATGGAATGAATATATTATGTGTAATTTAAGTATTGGACTTTGTATAAGTTTGTATGTATATATGTATAATACCAATAAAAATTTATCACAGAAAAAAAAAAAGTCCAATACTACGCAGGTATCAACAGTCTCCTGGAGATGGTTAAAGAGTGCTACCAAGTGGATGACCTGAGCACCACATCTGCACAGTGCTCCTGCAGAGGGGCGTGGAGTGATCGCTCAGCAGAGGACCTGTTAGCCTGGGGTATTGTCCGGAAGCAAGACCTTAGGGTTCTCTCGTCACGAGTGGTGATCGGAGGTATTTATGCACATTCTATCTTTAACAAAACAACAGCCTCCCTCGGTGCTGGGACGTGAGCACCCAGGAAATTGCCCAGGTAATAGCACAGGACTGCTAGAAAATAATTTGTAAGTCTGCAGATAACCAGATGCAATTTCTGAGGGGCGTGGCACCCCAATGACAAGGGGGAAAATAGCCAAATGCCTCATCATCTAATTAGTGGCGCACATGAATGGATGAACGAGATTCCCACTGTCCCTATCTACTATCTAGCGAATCCACAGCCAAGGGAACGGGCTTGGCGGATTCTGTGGGATGTAAGAATCAGGTGCAGTCCAACACAACATTGGTAGAGTAGACATGAAGGTTGTCTCAGTCCTCCAGCCAGAACTTCCTGCTTTCCAGGACTGAGATGAAACTTCTTATGTGTAACTTGAGATGGGCATGGCCTCTCAAGAAGTAAAAAGAATCAGAAGCATAGGCTGGCGACCATCTTGTCTTCTTCTTGTCTCTATCAATGCCATCTTAACAACAGCACCACTAAGATGAACCCTTGGCTCCAGGCCAAGAGAGGAAAAGGGGAGCTTTCTCCCATAAGGAGATAGTTGCCACATTTAAACTATGTTCTAACCTTTTAGGTCTTATTAAGCGTCTTATTTTAGGAGGGATTAAACGGGGGAAATACCAGGAAATATTTACAAGAGACTCTAACGAGTCTGAGCAAGCTATCTGCTGTGCGTGTGTTTAAGAAAAGGGGAATGTTAACTCTGCTGATTTGGTTGAACTTGTAAAGACAAGTTGGGTTAGGATATCTTAGACAATATATCTTCCCCTGCATCCCTAAACATTCCCACTGATTCAGTGGAGAAAGAAGACCCTGGTGAGTTTCACTCTACTCTGGCCCTGTGAAGAGACATGAGAGGTGTAGAATAAGTGGGAGGCCCGCCGGTGAAATACCACTACTCTGATGGTTTTTTCACTTAACTGGTGAGGCGAGCCCCAAGGGGCTCTCGCTTCTGGCGTGTGCCGGGTGCGACCCGCTCCAGGGACAGCATCAGGTGGGGAGTTTTGTCTGGGGTGGTACACCTGTCAAACCGGAACACAGGTGTCCTAAGGTGAGCTCAGGGAAAAGAAAAGGAAGAAGAAGAAAAAAGAAAGGGAAAAACAAATTAAAGAGGCAATAGGAAAATAAATAGGAGATGGAGAATGAATGAAAAGATTCTGAACAGTTTATCATATGTGGTGGGATTGTAAGGTAATTAAACAATTTTGGGAAATGATATACAATGAATTGAAGAAAATGTTCCATTTAACATTTGTTAAAAAGCCTGAAGCATTTTTATGAGGGATTGTAGGGAAAGACCTGCCAAAAAAGCTGAAAAACATCTTCATGTATGCGACAACGGCTGCGAGAGTCCTAATAGCACAAGGATGGAAGACTGAAGAAACCCCAACTAAAGAATCATGCAAGAAAAATTGATGGACTATGCAGAACTGGCAAAACTGACATACAAGCTATGGGACAAGGATAACTGTGACTTTAAGGATGAATGGGAACCTTTCACAAAGTATTTGAAGACGCAACAAAGCGAACTGGACTCCTTGGCTGGTTTTGAATAAACATCCAGAAACTTTTTATTGATAATAATCAGCTAAATAGTTTGAGGATTTATACAACTGTGCAACATGCAGAAAACAGCATTTTTAGAGAAATCAAAGACTGGAACTGAGGGAAGTCGGGGGTGGGGGCGGGTGGGTTCTGTGGGGGGAGGGAGGAAAAATGGGGGGGGGAAATAAGGATGATATGTTTATGGATAATATGTTTTGTTTTAATTTTGAATAAAAAGTTATTTAAAAAAGAAGCGAAAAGATTCTGAACGGTGAAAAGATGTTGAGCAAAGCTCAAGACCTGTTAAAGGAATTCTTTGGAATAAATATGGCTCAAGATACAGATATTCGAGTGATTTGGGATGCAAGCAAGGCCTTTATAAGAGGATATTATATCCAATGAAATGCCATTCAAAAAAGAATTAGAGAAGGGGAACTGGATCAAATTAGAAATGAAATAGGCATAGGAAAGGAAAATATTTGAGCATCTGGATTAACTCCAAAAATCTAAATTTATTTCAGGATAACTATATAAAAATTTGACAAGAAATAAAAAAAATATTGAAACCTGGACTAAATTGAAGTTGTCATTTCTAGGTAGGATCTCGATCATAAAGATGAATGTTCTCCCTAGACTGGTTTTCTTATTTCAAATGATCCCAGTTCTGAATGAGGTAGGCTGCCTCAAAAAATGGCAACAAGAAATATCTAAATTTAGATGGGAGGGCAGGAGACCCAGGATTAAACATCGAATTTTAATAGATATAAAGGATAGAGGTGGCTTCCCCCTGCCCGATTTAAAATTGTATTACGAGGCAGTCTGCCTCACGTGGATGAAGGAATGGTGCAGTTTGAAAGATATGGATATGTTGGACTTGGAGGGACATAATAACTGTTGGAGTTGGCATGCTTATTTAATATATGTAAAGGCGAAAATACACAGAGATTAATTTTATAATGAATGGTTTTAGAGTGATGTTTGTGCTGTACTTTTGTACTGTTTTATTGTTGTTAGCCGCCCTGAGCCCGGCTTCGGCTGGGGAGGGCAGGATATAAATAAAATTTATTATTATTATTATTATTATTAAATCATATCATAAGGAGATCACTTCTCAAAGTTGGGGAGAAATATAAAGATGGGTTGGAGCTCAAAATCCCGTGGTGGGCCTCTCCAGTAGAGGCCACAGTGGTGGTGAAAAACAATATGTTGGAAAATTGGCATACCTAAAAAATACTTTTAAAAGAAGAAGAGAACCAATTGAAACTTAAGAGCTTTGAGGAATTAAGAGATGTCATCACAGATTGGTTCCAATATTATCAAATATTCAGAAGATTTAAAGTAGATAAACAAAAAGGGTTCGCTAAGGAAATCTCGAGATTTGAATCCGATGTAATAAATGCAAAAAGTAAAATCCTCTCTAAAGCTTATCGCCTCCTCCTCAAATGGGAAGTCGAGGAAGTTACATCAGCCATGATAAAGTGGTCTCAAGACTTTGGGTATGTTGTACAATGTCCCAATGGGAAAACCTGTGGAAGAATAGTTGGAGGATTTCCAGTCCTTGTGTCCATTTCCTGCCAAAAAGAATGAAAATGTGGCTGTTATGTACTGAGGTGAATAGGATCCAAACTGCAGCAGTCTGATTGGTCCTAGAACAATAGGATTCAGAATGCAGCAGTCTGACTGGTCCTAGAACAATGCAGCAGTATGATTGGTTGGCAGGAGGCACCCAATCCAGCTCCAGGGGGAAGTGAAATCCACTCTCTCTCTTTTTTTTTTTAAAAAAGATATTTATTAAAGTTTCACATAGAAAAAGACACATCAATAAGAAAAAAAATGTAAAATTAAGAAGAAAAATACAGTATACAAAATACAGAGGGGAAAAAAAAGAAAAAGAAAAAACAGTTAAAAACAATTCCATCTTTTCTTCACTACTTTTGGATTCACTTATTTTCTGGACCTCCTCATACCTCCCTCTTTTGTATTCCAATTCAGTTTGTTTCTCCAGCAATTTCTTTCCCTCCTTTTTAATCCCAATCCTTGATCTTAATATAATATAACATTAAATTTTTACCTATTAATAGCTAATTTTCCATTCTTTTAACCTTTTTAATCCTAATCCTTAATCTTGATCTATGTATAACTTTAAAGCATGTACAGCTAGAAACCACTTAATTTCAATCCATCATCACTCTAACATTCTTTAATTTTGCAATATTTCTGTAGGTAATCTTTAAATTTCTTCCAATCTTCTTCCACCAACTCTTCTCCCTGGTCTCGGATTCTGCCAGTCATTTCCGCCAATTCCATGTAGTCCATCAATTTCATCTGCCATTCCTCCAGTGTGGGTAGCTCTTGTGTCTTCCAATACTTTGCGATGAGTATTCTTGCTGCTGTTGTTGCATACAAAGTGAAATCCACTCTCGACTCTGAGTATATTTCAGTGGCAAAATGAAAACGTGGCATTTTTAACTGGCAGTTCTTCTCTTTTAACTGGCTTTTCTCTCAGCTTCCAGTAACGAATAGGAAGAGATGGTGTGATAGGAATTTTGAGGTCTTAGATATATGTTAAATGTTCATAAGCGTACCAACCAAGCACATACATAGATCAGCACAGGAAGACCAACCTGAAACCATTTTTGATTCCCAAACTGTCCCAAACTGACCAAATGTTTTCTCTGCAAGGTCAAAGGAAAATGGAAAAGCCTCCCCATTGCCTTTCCTTCACAAATCCTGTCTTAAGGTTATGTCTGTGTATGAACAGGGTGAGCCTGTGACCTGACTCAGGAACTAAGTATTTATTATTAAAAAATACTGGCCAGGCTCCCCAGGGTATCCAATCAAGCAAGCATTAACAGGTAACCTGCCAGACAGGAGATAAACAACATTCAAATTTCTGTTTAGACCGCCTTTTCTGTGATGTAGGTATGATGTATCTGGGGTGGTGGTCTTGATCTACAGGGTGGCAATTTCAAAAGTCTTTATAAGGCCTTGCGCGCCATTGCTCTGGGTTCCTCCTCCTCTCCTGCGTGTGAGGGGAGCACCCTGTTGCAACAGATCAATAAAGATCAGGCTTACTAGCTGCTTTGCTTCTCAACATTCTCTGGTTGGCCTCTGTTATTTTCTCCTACCAATAGGGAACCTACGTAGGGACTCTATATGGGCTCTTGGATACCCCATAAGGGAAAAAGGGCAGATTTTGTTTATGACAATGGAAACCTCGCAGGAGGAGAAAGAAAAACGGGGAGAATACGCATCTATTTATTTGCAGATATATTTCTTAAATCATTTAAAAAGCAACATTATGCAGGCAGCAGCCTACATACGTGTATTCTACTCATGCTCAATGCCAATTCATGTTTTGAACTAGGAAACGGTGGAAAAAATTGGCATGAAACAGCAGGAGAGGCAGGGAAACCCAGTTTACACGTCCCCACTGTCTTGTTCCCTTCCTTGGATTTTTTCTTTCTTGGGGTGGGGAGAAACTAAAGAATAAACTCTTTAAAAAAAAATGGAATAACATTTCTGCAAAAGCCATAAGTATTATTGTTAAGCATTGTTGGTAAAGATATCCCAAAAAATGTAAGAGAAATATTTTTATACGCTACGGCAGCGGCCCGAACACTAGTAGCAAAGAACTGGAAAGCGGAAAATGTTCTGACTATAATGTTGTTATGTACTGAGTTGAATAGGATCCAAACTGCAGCAGTCTGATTGGTCCTAGAACAATAGGATTCAGAATGCAGCAGTCTGATTGGTCCTAGAACAATGCAGCAGTATGATTGGTTGGCAGGAACCACCCAATCATGCTCCAGATAGAAGTGAATCCACAACCTGATTGGCCTACAGGAGAATTCCGGAATTAGCCAATCACGTGCAGCCCATTGTGTAAATAATGTATATAAAGCAAATACTTTGAGGGGATTTCCATTCCCTCCTCACCACCATGAGCTAAATAAAGAGCATGAAATCCACTCTCGACTCTGAGTATATTTCAAATGTGTTAAGGAAAAATCTGGGTGTGAGGCTGCTCAGTCACCCATCTCGTTGGGCAGAGCCCGCGGGTCCCTGCGGAATAAAGGAAGGAGTCCAGCCAACTGGAGCAAATAGCTGTAGACCAAAGTTTATTGCGCAATAGGTTCAAAGAGGAATTTTGAACCCCGAGGATGGGGTGACTTTTTAAACTTTCCCACCACATCCCAGAATACAGTTCGAAGGGGAGGGGTTAACCTTGGCAAACATGTCCAGACAAGTCCTTGGTACAAGATTAGCATAAGCAGACATGGCAGGGCAAGACTCAGGTATAAGATGAGCATAGACAAATATGTCTTAAGTACCCACCACCCAAAAGTACAATAGAAGTTCCTTTGCATGTCTGGAGCCTGAGGCGAGTCAGGTGATGAGATTTGGCTTCCTTTGGCTAACAATGAGCCCAGCAATCTTCACTTCTGAGAACTTCCTGGAGTCCTTTTGCAAGGGGAAAATAGCTTTGGAATGGGGGGAACTGGGAAAGGAGATGATTTTATATTATTTTTAAAGCTAGGTGACTTCCCTGAGCTGTCAAGTTGGAAGGATATATCCAGGCATAATATTTGCAATATTTAACTTTAAAGATGTGCCCCCCTCCCTGTA